GATGGAAATAAAAAAGTTACTTTCCAATCCACAGCCGACATTTAGTTCACTGTTGGTTTGTGCAACTACTGTGATATTACTCCTATAATCCTTTCAGAATCTAACTCCAACCTGCGAGGTCCATCTGTGCCTCAGATATTAAGAGTCAAAATACCGTATTACAACACTTTCTTATTAATAAATGCTGTATGTGATCTATATATATATATATATATATATATATATATATATATATATAGAAGGATAGATAGATCGATCCACTAGCAAATGTTTTGATCCTGATGAAAGTCCCAAGGGAGGACTGAAACATTGATCTTTTAACCCTTGGTCAGGCGCAATGTGCGCAATAGGCCACTTTTACAAAAACAAACTTTTTACTCAAATAAAAACATGTTTATTATTCCATTTACTCTACAACATTGGCAAAAGCAATTTCTGAGCATTTATTTTAATAAAAAGTAGCATGTTCCATACATAATGCACGTTTACACTTGCTGCACTCATATCTTGATAAGCGACGTTGGCTGCTATCCGTAGTGCATGTAATGCACCTTCTCCTCTTGCTAGGCGTTTCCAAAGTTTCCTCTTTATCTTCTTATACATTTTCACAATTACGAAATCGTTTCAGTTTTGATTGAAAGTGCAGCGGATTGTTTTTTCACTTTGTCTTTGAAGTCCATCTAACGTAAGTTTGTGAGAAAGCTGCTTCAGAAATAGACGCCTCTTTATTGGATTCAAATCATTTCCCAGATAAATTATCTGCGAATTTATGCCAGCAACATTCAACATGGTGAAGAATATATTCATAGGCCAACGTTTTATATTCCTTGCAACGCTGAATGTAGCACACATTTTGTCGACATTGTCTACTCGTCCCTTTGCGGAATTGTAAAATGTAATTATCGATGGTTTCTTTTTCTCGCCTGTTTCTGAATCAAGAGATTTATCGTGATGAAAGCTGGACACAAGGATAACAATTTTGTTCTTCTTCGGTACGTATGATACTAATGTAGTACCGCGATTCAATCCAAAGCTACTTGAATACACTTCCCTAGATTTCGTTGTGACAAATTCAGGTGGCAGCTCTCTTTTGTTTTTCTTTACTGTGCCAACGTAGGAAAGTTTAATCTCTTTCAGTTCTTCCACTAAATCCATGGCTCTATAAGCTCCAGCCAAATATAATATACCTATGAACGCTTTTATTTCAATGTCATCAGTAAGTTTGGTGTCTCGTTCACGTCCATATTTATTTTTGATAATATTTATATATTGGTTAGTATATTTTACAATGATATCCAGAATATCTCCAGTGAATAAGTATTTCCAACAGTCAACTGGAGATTTCGATAACTTTGCGGGGCCTATAACACCTGGTACTGGTAACTGCTTCAACAAATTATTCTTGTTGGGAATATCTCGATACCATTTACTGGACTTGTCTTTTCTGAGAAAATATGAAGCGTTATCTGTGCTGTCGTCATCTCTGAATGCTTCATCATTTTGTTCTGATTCAGAACTCTCAATGCGTGCTTCCATGTTATCTTCAGTCACGCTATCGTCACTTTAATCTGAATCTTCAAAAATATTTTCATCATCTGATTTATCCTCTAGCATTTTCATCATATCCGCTACATCATTCGGATTATTGAAATGGAAAATTCTCTTTGAGTTGTCCTTTTTTTTTTATTGCCCTATCTACAAAGAAATAACAAAAATAGCATTATTGGGCGCAATGTGCCTGAGAGGAACATCGTGCCTCATTATGGAGTTGAACATTATAACATTGAAAAACAATCAGGTATGGCATTAATATGCTTGAATTAATTAGAAAAATTACTTACCAATGTAATTATAGACCTATAATGGTTATATTCAGGCTCGGACTGGCCATCGGGCACACCGGACAAATGCCCGGTGGGCCGCGATGGCCGTGGGGCCAAGGCCGGCAGGGAGATCACAGGATCTCCCCGGCCGGCCCCTGCAGGGCCAGCGCTATCCGAGCGCCGGCCCGGGCTATGTGCCTCCATAGGCCGGTGGGGAGATCACAGATCTCCCTCACCGGCCCACAGGCACTGTCACAGCCGGCCGCCGGCTGGGTGAGGGAGGGAGGGAGGAAAGAGGACCCGGCGGAGCTCTAACAAGCAGCTCCGCCCGGTCCTCTCGCGGGATTCTGAGCGTTGCCGCGGTTACCGCGGCAACGCTCAGATCTCGCGAGAGTGAACTCTAACCAGCAGGTTAGAGTTCACTCTCACCACTGGACCACCAGGGAAGGCAGCATGGTCCCCCTCCTCCACGCAGAACGGATCTCCCTCCCTCCCAGGCTAAAGGTAAGAAGGGGGGGGGCATAACTTTTTTTTTTTAATTATTAATAATTATTAATATAAATAAAAAAAATATATTTAAAATAATTTCCCTAACAGCCCCCCAGACAGCACACACACAGCCCCCCAGACACACACAGCACCCAGACACACACAGCAGACACACACAGCACCCCACAGACACACACAGCGCCCCCCACAGACACACACAGCACCCCCAGACGCACACAACACCCTCAGACAGACAGCACCCTCACTCCCACACATATACAGCACATATATATTATATAAAATAACCCTCAGTGAGTTAACAGACAAATAAAATTAGAAACCCAGAATGTGACGGCAGATAAAAACACCCTCACACACAGCACCCCTCTTACACAAACACGCTGCGCACCTCACACATACAATACGTCCAAATATATTTTTTTTATATATATAAAATGTACAGAAAAATCAATTTTCCATTCACATGGAATAATTAAAAGTCCCTTTTTTTCACTTTAACCAAGTCCTGTGAGTGCATCCTCAGTTTTGATTTTTGTATATTTCTGACGTTTGGGATATAGCACCCAGGCTATTAGTTCTTTCTTATTACTTAAAGGAGAGTGCCAAGCATCCTGTTTTTTTGAGATATATATATATATATATATATATATATATACACACACACACACACACTACAGCACCCCTCACACTGCACCACTACACACATTACGCTCCAGATACACGCTAGATCCCTTACCCTATATGCACTCTTAATCCTCTACACACACACACACACACAATCTTCTATACACACTCTGGGTCCTTTACACACTAGATCTCTTACACACACACTGCACCACCTACACACACACTACATTCCTTGTAAGCAAACACATACAACATTCTCTAAACACACCCTCTCTACACACAGTAGTGTGTGTGTATAAGTGACACACACTACGTCACCTATACACACTCACTACTGCCCGTATGCACACACTCGCTACATCCCCTATAACACTATGCCCCTATACACGCACTCTCTACAGCCCCTAGCCACACATATTACACCACAAAATTGACCTATTTACACAATACCACACCACACTCAACACACAGGCAATCCCACAAGCATGCGCCAAACACATGCACCATACACTTTCCTGGCCCTTTTGTCCTCTGGTATCCCACTTGTGGAGACACCAGAGACAATTTAAAAGCAAACACAGCACAAGCATGTTATTACATTTGCTTGCGCTGCGCAGAACAAATACAGGGCCTTTTTCTAATGCTAGAGCTCTTCAGCGGGGCTCTGCGCATTGAACCAACATGCTCACTTTCTCTGGCCCCGCCCCCTTTTGGGGGGGGCCGCTCTAATTGAAAAATGCCTGGGCCTAATTTTTTTCCCAGTCCGGTCCTGGTTATACTGCAATCGGGCGCAATGTGTCTAAGAGACACAAAGTGCTGCGACTCGCACACACGACGTTCAAATGCGTACTGCGCATTATAGGTCGCTGCAGAATGTAAAAACAACAAGCTACTGAGGCGGCCAGGCGGTAACGAGCACTCACTTTGGTAGGACAAAACAACAAACATTGGTTGTACCTGTTGGATCAGTTGCGCCTGACCGAGGGTTAATCTACTTCAAATAAAGCATTGGATTTTTAATAAGACTGGAGTGCAGCCATATATCTGGATATGTGTGTATATATTTTATATATAACATACAAGATCCAGCACACTCACAGTTTTTATTAGTTTTTTTTTTTAAATGTATTTATAAAAAACTAAAATAAGAAAAAATAAACACCTAGGCATCTAGTTACATTCTATGATCATACAACGCATAAACCTGCCACAATGCCAATACACCTTATTTTTTCAGGTCCTATTCTAGCAAGCCAATGCCTGATCTTATAATATTGATCCACTTACTTGGGAAATTATAAGGTTAAAAAGGGCTCTGGAATGAGGCACTTGCGACAGGGAAGGGTGCAAAAGTAGCGAGTTGGCCTGGACTCCCAAATATATTAAGAGGCTGCCTTCACCTGAACATGTATACATTATAGCGTGCTGCTGGGGCCAATTTAAACAACATACAAACTCCAGAACACTCACTCATTCACTAAACAGTAACTTAAAAGCTCACAGAATGTAATAGTTTGTGTTTGTAATCTGTTTTTCAAACACCTAATTTATACAGAAATATTGGTTACTTGCAGCGGAAACAAATTGATATATTCTGCATGTACTTGTTCAGATATATCCTCTAGGCTGTTCTCTACTCCTAATTATGTGTATCAACAATTAACCCCTTAAGGACCAAACTTCTGGTATAAAAGGGAATCATGACATGTCACATGTCATGTGTCCTTAAGGGGTTAATTTACTGTAATGTGCCACTGCATGATTTAACCCTTTTGGACAGCTAGATTATGCTGCTCATTGAAGTATTTCCTATATATGTATCTGCAAAGTTGGGCTGGTAGTTTGGAATTGGCTATGGATATATTGTTGATGAAATGGCCAACGTGTATTTAACCCCTTCCCTCCCGTGTTGCAGGGACTGTCCCTCCATGTCATATATCTGATTGCTATTCCCAGTGTCTCAGCATCCTTGGCCACTCTGTCTCCCCCTGGACCCCCTGTCAGTGTGGGGGTGGGACGGAGGGGGTGACGTGCTGAGGAGTGGTCGCTGTGCCCGTACCCAGCCTGGTGTTATTGGTTTGCACTTGCAGACCCCGCCTAGCCAAAAGTAAGGGGGGGGGGGAAAGGAGGCGAAGAAGCCCTTCTAGTTGTCCATTCTTGCTGCAGCATTGTACTGGGCTTAGAGTGGAGGTACCGCTCAGAGTTTGGGGTCTCCACGAGCTGGTGAGGGGGTACCAGGTCCACTGGAGAAGACCTAGCAGGAAGAAGCACCAAAGCTGAGTTTGAATGAGAGTCCTCACCCTGCACCCCCGGGATGGTTCAAGGTATAATATGAGCTTCCTTGCTGCACCCTTTATTAGGAGGTGGGGGGCTACACCCCTGTGAACGGTGCGCTCCCTCCCAGGGTATTGTCTTCACCGAGTGGGGGGATAATGGGGGAGGAGGAGGGGCTGGGTGTGTGGCTCAATGCTTTGTGTGACATGCTTGCTGCACACTGTGTTTTTATGTAGACATTATGATCTGTTATGGGCTTCATGGGTGGTGCATGCACAATCTGTACATTGCATTCTGCACACTGTATATGGGTATGGTGTATATGCAGAATGTTATGGGACATGTGGCTTATGTGGGTAAGTGAATAGAGTTCAGTATATTTATATAGAAGGAGATATACATGCAGTTTCTGCCAAACTTTATAATCCTGACCCTTTGTGCCAGTTACATGGGTCATTCATGGCACCGGTTTATTTGAGATGTTCTGACTCTGGAATGCTGTGATACACTCCATACTATTCAGGAAACCAATTAATGGAATAAAGAGATGTATAGGGACAGCTTGGCTGTAGGCTGGACTGCTTTGTTTTAAAGGCATATTATTATACATTGAGTATAAAGCTACATCGGGTTCATGGGAGTGTTTTTGAGATAGATACTAATTAATATAGATATAGCCCCACATTTTTTTTTAGCCACTGACATAGTTTTTATTTTATCCTGTGTTTATGAGCTATACAGACAATACTCTATAACCATAGTCTTTAATGCATTTACTTAGATTTTGTCAATAAAAGGTCAGTTTTGTTTTCAGCGTTACCTTGTTTCTAAAAACCTTTTGTACGCCTCTGTACAATTTTTTTTCTTATTTGATTGCATTAACTGTGTCATTATTATTCAGCTTGAAACACATGGAGGTCCAAGGCAAATTACTGTTGGTTCAAGGTAAATACACCCTTGATGATAAGGATAAATAGTCTCCCAATGTCCCTGCTATGGAGCTGTCATATTAGACTTTTTTTCTTATTTAGTTTATAAATAGAACGCCACCTTTAGAAAACAAAGCATGCAGTTTTAATACTCAAGTCAGATAATAGTGGGTGTGAATTATGGGCGTGTGGGTGTGAAATATGGGCTTGCATAATATCACAATAGGTGTACTAATGCTACACATTTGTAAATAACGCCAAAACATGCTCTGACTCCATATGAACCCTAACATATAGATGAAATTGAAAAAAGAAATAAATCAGAAAACAAGTAAAACTGCCATTTAAAAAAAAAGTGTGCCCTTTTACTATATACCACCGTATAGCTTTGTGTATTTCAATTTCTGCTTTACAAACATGACCAATTAAGATTCAATACGTTTGTAAAATGTGATCCATACATGCACAATAATTGGTTCACTTGTTGTGCTACAACCCTAACTAGGTAAGCTGAGCAGCCTGACTCGGGCATAGAAATGCTCCAAGCCTGGTTTCGGATCAGTGTTCTCAGGGGAATTATTTAAAAGGCAGGTTGATTTGATTGTACGGGTAAATTTTCTTCCTTATATTTGTAAGAAATATCAGCTGAATTTCAAGGAATCTGTGTTATCCGTGAAATATAAATTAATCAGCTCTTCTAAAATAAATATATGCGCAAATCTTGACTCGGGTTTTCTTTGTAAACTAGTCATCAGTAAGTCAGAATGTTTTACCAACATAGTCGACGTGTGTCTGGAGAGATCATGATCTACATTCAAAGTTTTCTAAAGCTTAGTATGACTGTACAAGAAGATGGATCGAATCCACAGCTTTAATGCCACGGAATGTCTCTGTATGTGGCCATTCATTCTTATCACTTGGATCTTGGAAATATTTTGACTGTTAAAAATATCTCAGACAGTGACTGAGGATATTGAAGGACTCTAAAATCTTTTAGACATTCAAAGTGGGAATATTTGTTTGTTTTAAACACATGTAGTCGCCCGATCTAGTACCTGGCTAGGGATCTCGAGAAATGTGGTTCAGAATAGTCATTGGTGGCAAGCTTTGGCAACCGTGGTATAGTGTTTGCACATGTAAGCATCGGCCTCCCAGGTCATTGACTGTTGCTTTGTTTTATACTAACACAGTTTTTGTTTCTTTTATAGACTTGGAGAGGTTTTCTGCTAAAGTAGAGATGTTATAATTGATGTAAGACACAAGCTAGTCCCATCATATTGCGATAATAAAGGCTCTGCTTTTCTAGAGGAAATTGTCCAGCTAGGTCATGCTTTAAAATTCTTAATTTCAAATGAAAATAAAATTTTGATTTCTATGTGTGTAATACAGCCATATTGAATGTATAGCCCAACATCTGGGTGAACTTCATCTGCTGTCTTGTCTCTAGTTTTAACCCCACAGACACTGTAAAAGATGAAGATGCAATCAGGTCCATCTCACTGATTTTCTTCTTTTTGTAGATCTCAAGGTCACCTTGAAGTTAATTGCCTTTAAATGTATTTAGATACCAGACATTAAACCGTTATGATAGAACCTGTTTAATTTGCAGTCTGTTATAGTGTTCTATAATGTTCTGATGCTCATACCTTGTCATGGTGTGTCTTTGGAAAGGTGTGTGATGGATTGGAGGGAACATTGAATGTCTTTCTCTGATTTGATTGGTTCATGTACCTAGTGCAATACGGCTAGAAAATGTCGTTTCTTCTGTCAAGGTTGCCCCTTAACATTTGTGACATGTTGTGACAAACCATTTGTCAGGAATTCAGAGAAAAACAAAGCAGAATGCGTAAGACATAATCAGTGGAGATGTCAAGCTCAATCTTCAGTCTCTGGCCAATTGAGTCACCTTGGAAGCCCCAAGGGCATAAACAATTCACTGCTCTTCAAAGCATTACTTGTTCGTTTGGCATTCTGAGAGTTAAAACAATGCCTCCATCCGTCGTTTTCAAGGTTTTGTGACATTTAGAAGATCTGCTGAGGGAAATGGATTTGACAGCTTCAAAACGCACTGAAATAGTTTGCAAATGAGACGGTTTCATCCTGAAAATGTCACTGCTTGTTGCTAATTTGTATGCATCAGCATCCAATTTAATAATGTGATGTGCTTCGAGAAAACTTGTTTATCTTGCTTCGATTGAAGATGCATTTTACACTTACCGTCCAGTCTCGTTAAAAAAAACAAATTTATGTCAAAGTCTTTTGTCTTGGATTCTACTGAGCATTTTAGTTTAAGTACTAATTGAAAGCCTATCTGGTATTTGGGATGTGTGCAAACATATAATGTCATAGAGAGCCACTGTTAACCTCTTAGTGACTGAGGCTTTTCCCAAAATCCACACGGTTGTCACTGTGGCCTATTTTGCACTTCTGTTATGTGTTGGTTCCACTGTACTTTCCTGCTTTTTCATTCAAGGACCACTAAGGTTACCCATGGCACTTGATTTCATTGAGGTGATCTGGGTGCAGTGGCTCCTGTAGCTTTAACTCTGCAATGTAAATCCTTGCTGTTTTGTAGAACATGTGACATGGCAGGGTCAAACTTACCTCTAGTGGCCGTTTTCCTGACAGCACCTTCCTAGAGGTAATTCTTCAGCAACGACCGAGTTTCACTCAGTCATGTGACGTTCTGCATCCATGGGTACGTCGAACGTCATCAAATATTGCTTCTATGGAAGTATTTGATTCAGTGCTTCCCTGTGAGAAGCATTTGATTGGACGCACGAGTACGCTTGCGGCACACAAGCATCTTGTCCCCAATACTCCTCTATTGGGGGAGGGGCATGGCTTAAATCTAAATATGGAGCTATAGAATTAGGAATACATGCTTCTATTCCTAATGCTTTAGTGTTTCTTTAAAAGAATCAGTACGTTTTTTTTTTTTTAAAGGCTGAGAAGACTGTTGTCTGATATCTTAATGTATGAGTTTTACCACATTACAAATGAATAAAATATTAAGGAGGAAAATACATTTTTTCATAGTTTTGGCTATAATTTGTACGCAACTAAAAAATAACTCCTTGATTTTCTAAGTAGGTCTTTTCTATTTATTTTTTTAATGTTTTGTATATATCCAGAATTTCAGTTTCCCTTTTTTTTAGGTTATAGGACAAATATTGTAAGGAGTGAATTAATACTTTATAGTCTCAATTTTTGCAAAGGTTTTGCTTTCATTCCAATAGCTATCCCAGAAGAAATTTAAAGAACATTTTGACGCTTTAGCAACCTCTGCCAAATCTACTGGTTCTATGAAATGTTTATTAAATTCTATTCTATTAAATTTAATTTTCAACGGGAATATCACAGATCATGTGTCCCATTGCTGTCCCATAGTACTGCAGTTCCCCAGATGTACAGTTTTGCAACACTTTTGGGAAGTTGTAGGATCAAATTACTGTAATGCTAATTTCAGTATTTGAATTTCCATGTCACTTTTTTTTTTTAAATTCTTTATTTATGTTGACAAGGTATAACATTCATATATCACATATCTTTCGTAGCTCAAGCGTATTTTAACATGCGCAGTATGTACAGAGTGTCGTGGCATTCACGAGACATAATCATACAATGAGCAGCACATTGAGAACATCTCCCATCGCCCCCAAAGCCTATCGTGTGTGCTACTGTAACTCTTTCTGATACTGTGAGTTGTATTTTGTCAACTTAGTTTTGTGTTTTATATATAAAAAGAAAAGAGTGAAATAAGAAAGCGTTCGGTAACAATTGAAACTTTGTCGTTGTATTAGCATATCATTGGTGTGGACTCTCCGGCTGACGACGGCCCTTCAGTCTATCATCCCCCTGTATAATGGGTGTTGCCCCGTGCTAGTTTTAGGGGGTTCGCTATGTGTGCCTCGCCCTCCGGTCTTATGGGGGCCTATTGTATCTCCCATTGCGGGTCGTTATTGCTTGAATGATGTGCTACCGGTAACTGGCATAGTAACTGCCAGGCTGTGCTCTACGCACTTGCGGTCACAGCTGGGCTTTGGTCAGTTTCTGGATAAGTCTCTCTTTACACCCTCTGGGAGACTTATGCTGTATACAGTAGAGTAAGAAATAGAAGCGAGAGAAAGAGTGAAGAGTGTCAAAGAAAAAGTCAGAAGAAAGCATAGTAGAGGTGGGTTTGGGTGGGGGGGGGAGGAGGTGCGGGTGGGTTGGGAAGAGCAACAAAACTGCTTCCTAGTGTTCATCCATCCAGTGGACAGTGGATATATTGGATCTCTCTAAGCCAAGGTTCCATGTCACTTTTGTAACCAATTATTGAGGAATTTCTAGGATAATCCAGTGGTTCCCAAACCAGTCCTCAAGGCACCCCGACTAGTCTAGGATTTAGGGATTAACCCTATGTGTTTTAGGTGTTTTTCAAATAAGAAAAAAAAAAACATTTTGGACACAACTGGGTAATCTCTAAGTCTTAGACTGGTGGGTGCCTTGAAGACTGATTTGGGAACCACTGGGATAACCTAATTTTGGAATGTCTCTTCACCTGCCTCCCAGTGACTGCATTTGGCAAAATTACACAAATCTGACCAGTGTCAAGCTTCCATGCTATATATAAGCTTGTAAACCCCTAACCAACACCAACACTAGTTAACCTTGACAATGAACTACTTAGTGAATTGGCTTCCAGGCTGAGTGATCAGTGTGAGAGCCAGTTACTGCTATGGCAAGCGATCAGACAGTCTGGGGACCAATCCGTCTCTATTTCTGGACCACCTCACTGGTAACAGCAAGTATGTGATTGCTTGCCTCCCACTTCTATGATAACCTCACTAAGTGAGACTGGCTTTCTGCCAGCATTTTAAATGGCCAACATACATACCACAACCACATAAGAATATGTTCTGTAAAGTGGGTTTGAAAATCAATCTGCACAGCCCTGCTTAAGTACATGGCAAAAGATAAAACCACAGAGATATTCGCTATAAAAACATAGTCATTAAAACGTGGATTGTCAGCAAGGCAACGTGAATTTCAAATTTTGAATTTTATCCACGTGTGCTATGTTTTCCACTCTTGAACTGAAATTGGATTTTCAGTTTCTGACGATACACACTTTATTGAATAACCTACCTGGTGGAAGCATTGACATATCGTCAGTAACTTTCTCAAGAAGCAATATATCCCTATATAGCAAGGGATACTGAGTTTAAGTAGTAAAAAGTACCGACTAAAGGTTGGTGAGCAGAGGAAGGCTGTCAAGGAGGGCAATTGCCCAACAAGCCATTAGCTTACATGGTTGTGTGCTACAGATCAGCAGACTCACAGCGCAGTGTGCTTGGCAGCCGACCGAGACAGCCGCATGGTGCTTGAGTCCAACATTAGACCTTATTGTTCTCTTTTTGGCTATAAGCCTATTAACATTGGGGACCACTCTGCTGCCTAACTGGCTCCCTCTTGTCTGCAACTAACAGTCTCAGCCCATGCGAGGCTTCTCTGTGGCCTACAGAGGCACTCGAGGTCGGGGAAGCGGCTGATCCTCGACCTTGATTTGAAGTCTGTGGACACTGCACCCTGTCCCCCCCCTCCCTACCTCCCCCTTTGGACTGATGGGGGTTATCCAGGCTCCCACTGGTGATCTGGATGAGTCGACTTGCCGAAAACCATCTACCCACTGGCGAATTGGAGAGTCAAGGCCTACCTACCAAAATGGCATTCCTGCAAGTGCCTGCGGCCACGCATGTAGAACCGCTGCTCCAGGCATTTGACAGAGTCTGCGCAGCCTTATGGTCAAGGATCTATGATTGGGAGCTTACTTGTAGTCCGGATGACCCGGTAGTAGCACCCCAGAGCCATCCAATAAACTGCTGCCGCATGTACAGACATCGCCCACGTGTTTCCAGAGTGGCGCTGTGAAGGAGATGGCGCAAGAGGCGACCACAGAAAATGACTGTATCCCATCGCTCAGACAAGCGTCCTCGCTACCACTCACCCAGAGAGCAGCAGCACAAATCTCCTCACCCCCAGTGTGGTCAACATGCTCCATTGGTAGCTGAAGCTAAGTGGCGAGCTTGCAGGAGTGGGACACCGCAGATGTGGATTCTAGCCAGAGATCTATTGACCTTTCTGTGGAGGATTCGACCGGACTGACATGGAGCTTGGGCTCAGTTGGGGGGCTTCACCAACTTGGCAGATGGCGGGAAAGGCTGGGACCCTCCATTAATCGCCAGAGGCTAAGAGCCACTTGAGCCTTGCCTTCATCTAGGATGTATCACTGCTATGATCATCACAATATAGTTCATGGCTATTGCTGTTTTTCCCTGCTTTTGCCCTCTTATATTCATTTCATCTGATTACCTAGTGACCTAGTGGTATTTGTAACTATCTAGTTCTATACAGCTTGACTTAATTTTGCTTACCACTAGAACTATCTTCCTTCTGTTTCACACATTCTCTAACTTAAAAAGTTCTGCACTATCGACATTTCATAAATAGATTGCATTGCTGTCTTGACATTTACACTATTGTGACGTGTTTGCCCATTCTTGATTGTTATCCTGTGCATTACAAAAAAAAAGAATGCACACTGTGTTGTTTTTATGTAGACATTCTAATCCGTGATGGACTTTTATAAATCTGATACTAGCCGTAAGAAGCTCACAAGACCCATACATCAGATCTGCACCCAGCAGAGGGTGCAGACCAGAGGCTCAACATTCACTGGATCAAATTTGTTTGAAGGAGCAAGATGTTACGGCTTTAATACTGACTGAATTAAGATGTTTTCCGTCAAAAGAGAGTTGGTAAACTTATTGGGAAAGCGTTTGATACAGCATTTATATTCTATGAATATGTATAGCAGGGGTAGTCAACCTTTTAATACCTACCGCTCACTTTTGTATCTTTGTTGATGGTAAAATTTCCTTACTGCCCACCAGTGCCGTAGTAACTAATTTAAGAGTGCAAGTGCGATTGGTTTTTATTTTTTTAGAATATGTACTTAAATTTATCTTTTTTACTATTTTCTATTCTACTTTTCTTTTTTATGTGCAGTGTGTGGGGTGCGTTGCGAGTGTGTGTGTGAAGGGTGCATAGGGGCTATGCTGTGTGTAGGTGGGTGAGATGTGAAAATGTATCTTAATGTCTTCCTTTTTCTTACCTTTTACCAGGGAGGGGGGACATAATGCTGCAAGCCCTGGTGATCCAGTGGTAGCATGTTCACTTGAGCCTGCAGCTCCTCCGGCTGAAGGCTGACTCTACTGTCCTCCTGCGAACACAGCTTTGTATCGGAGCATTGCCATGGTAATGCGCGGCAACACACCAACCAGCCTGCTCGCTGGAGGAACACCGCGCCTCCCAGGTACTTCCCTCCCTCTGCTGGAACGAAGTGCCAGTGGGCCTGTGAGGGAGATCTTTGATCTCCTCACCAGCCCGAGAGGGCTTACAGCTAGGCTGGCTCTGCATGTGCCAGCAGTGGAGATGAAAGGATCTCTCCTGCCGGCCTTGGTCCACAGGCCATCGAAGGCCCACTGGGCGTTTTCTGCAGAACCCACCACCGTCCACCTGAAATCCCAAACCGCTCACTAGTGGACAGTACGGACCAGGTTGATTACCCCTGATGTACAGTGTAAATATTGTATATAATGTAAATTTGGTGGCAAAAATCTAAAGAAGAGTTCCTCCCTACCTGCCCCAAGTAACCATAGGGAGAAAGTGATAAACTGTTTTTTTTTTTGTTTGTTTGTTTGTTTTTTATATGCATGTTTATACATAGCGAAAAAAAGCAAATATGTCACTGCCTGGGATCTTTGCCTAAGCGGTAACTTGTCCTGTGTCAAGTTTTATCAGGTGGATGAAAAGTACTGAGACAAACTAGTCACTACACTGTCTCAGTATATCTTTTGACTAGGCTGGAATTTCAGTGAAGACTCGCTGTTTATGAAATACTTAATTTGGGTGGGGGTGAACGTGCTGCTTTATACAAATATATACCCCAACTCCCCTCCGCCTCCTCCCACACAAACTACATCCCCATACATCATACTACTTCCCCTGCACACGCAATACATTCCTTACATGTACACCCCCTACATATATATATATATATATATATATATATATATATATACACACGCCAACAAAAACAAACTACATACCCTGAAAGTACCACATACACTGCATTCTCTACACACATCTTCTCCCCCACCCCTCCATACATGCACTGCATCTCCTATAAACACACACAATATCCCCCCCTACACACATATTATACCACAAACACAATATAAAGAGATCCATTTACACACTCTACACCACAAGGAGTCCCCATAACGTACACACAACCCCACAAGCAAACTCCAAACACATTCACATTACAGCTTCCTGTCCCTATCCACTTATGGAGACACCAAAGAAAAGTCACCAGCAATTGTTAGGTTTATTACAGTGGAACTCTGTGATGCTGACATGCAAAACTCACATTACTCTGTGGTTTTTTTTAGAACTGTGGAGCTCTGTGATACACCACTATGCACATTAATGGAAGTTTTTTGTTGTGGAGCTCTGTGATACCCTACTATGCACATTACTGGGAGAGCTTTGTTGTTGTGGAGCTCTGTGATACATTCTTAGACACTGCACATTACTGGCAGTTTTTTAACTACTATCCCGTAGTTGTAGTCTCTGGGTAAATAATGTAAATAAGGAAAAACCCAGAGCTCCAAAGTTTGTAGCTCACAATGTGGCATGGAGAAGCTCCAAAGCAATTGAGAAGGGAGAAGGCGGCAGATGCACTCTGTGGAGCTAACGGAAGCGGAAGAAAACCTTCCTGACTCCCCTAATTGACATCTGGGGATTTTTTTTCTTTTTTAATTGGCACTTTTATAAACTACCACAAATATGACAGACTCCAGACTCAAACAGCACTTCAAGTGGTTTGTGTCTGGAGTGTTCATTTATATTTTTTTCTCTGAGTTAACCACTTACCATGAGAATTGTGAATCTCAAAATACAAACATAATGTTGTGCTTCTTCATAAAATGTTTTCCTAAATGTTAAAAAAAGTGTTTATATGTATACATTGTGTGCAAATAGTGCCCTCTAGTGGTTAGTTAGGAATAGTACTTTGCACAAAATGTTTTAATAGATCCACCATTTTTTTTTTTTTTTTTTGCTATTAATAACCTGTCAGTTTAAGTAATGGATAGAATGTTTTATAACTGTCTGATCTTTCCATGTAAGAAAATGCCCTCATTATCCCTTAGCACACCATCTAAATAAACATCATGGCAGTCTCCCAGGTCAGAGTACATATAACCAGCGCCAGTGACAAAGTGCTGCTCTAACTCGTCACAACATAAATATATGTTGGGGGTCATTTATTAACTATGGAGAAATATGCACTTTCCTGCCCCCTTCCCAAAACAATATTAGTGGTGAGAATTAATAGTCCAGGAATGGGCCACACGTTGCCCCCCTTTCCCCAGACTCTGAAATTATATTAATGATTGTCCGGGGCCGTACCATAGCCAGGGATTAACTATGGTCACATGGGGTAACCAGGGCCTACTAGAGGGGAATAGAGGGGAGCTTTGTTAACTCATTTGTTTTAATGTAATTTTTGGGTATTCCAAACACTGTTTTATTTATTGTACTGGGAATATGTTTTAAAAAAAATAAAAATACATATATATATATATATATATATATGTATATGTTCTAATAAGAAGTGGTTCTCACTGCACACTGAATCCTGCCTTCCTTTTTATGTTAAGGATGTCTTGTCAGTAGTTAATGCTAAATAAAAAAATATAAGAATTCGTGTTCACAGCAATTTAATCACTGCTTGTTCCATAAAAATAAAAACTTTATTCCACAACAAGAAATATAGTAAAGTATTTTGACAAACAGTGATTTGCTCCCAATCACATAGAATCCGTACATCTAGGCGTTTCGTGTCTCCTGACACTTTATCAAGTTTAGCAAGACCCATATTTTTTCTGACCATGGTTAATGCAGTAAACTTGGAACAGTACAAAGAATGCATGTTTCACTACTTTGCTACTTGGAATTTTTGTATTTTGCAGTTAATCCCCCCCCCCACCCCCACCTGATTCTTACACAAGGAAAGCAACCAGTTAGAAGAAGACTGGGATTTTCTAAGACACATGGGGGATTTTAGGGGATTTAGTGAGTGTTCTGATAAATGTGTGTCTGGTTTCACCAGTTCAACGACTTGCATGTTCTCTTGAATTTTTTTCCATAAAGTAGTTGGCGCAAGTTACTAGAATGTAGTAATTGCAGCATTTACAGACTGTCTCCTTTATTTTTTTAAATGACAGTCTGAACTCATGGTGACATTATCAAAATGAGAATTGGCTTTCTTAGACAAGTCACTTGGTAGATGGTTGAGGTCAGCCTGAGGCCAGGTTCCATATAGTTTGAAGTCAGCCATACACCCTCTTATTATAAAGCCCTCACAAGAAACACAAGTGGAATGATAGATGATGATCGTTGGTGGGTTTTAAGGACCTGCAAATTGATAAACCCTAACACTGTACATTAAGCAGGGGCCCTGGCAGACTGGGTGGTCACCGGAACAACATTAATTTAATTAGCCCCCATAACATTGCCATGAGAGTGAGCGCTATGTGCCCTTATGCTCAGTATTATAAAATCTCATGCCACATACCATGGGGCTCATCCTGATGGCTACAATGTGGTGCTTAGTCACATCTTATTGGAGGTGGACCTGCAAATGTTCAGATAGTAAATTTAGTACAATTCTTTCGCATCAGAAACCTTTGTATAGCCAGATCTCCCCTTTTAAAAGAATTCATGAGAGCCCGTGCTGTGCGTGTCTTTGATCTGCAATGTAGTCTGTTGTTGGCTCTTTTATGTATAAAAGGGGAGGCCTGATGCCATACATTGTGCTGTGCTCTGTTCAGAGGACACACTGCCAGCTGATGTACAGTCCTATAGTCAAAGCCAGATTTGATGGATATTTTGCCATGTGTACATGTCGTATGTTGAGTTCTAATTTCATTGTTGCTTAGTTACTGTGGTTGGCCTGCAGAACACAGAATACGTGCACATGCTTTAACTGTCAGAAGCCCTGTGCATTGTGTGATATTGCCGTGCTTGCTGTATGTGTGGAACTGTGCATGTTATGGGTGAAATATAATATAATCTCTTTCACAAGAGATGTCTCCCTGCTTCCTTGCAGCCTGGAGAGCAGTAACATGGGGTAGTATGCATGGGTGTAACAAACTGCCCCGTCTGGAAGATGGAGCTGCTGGAGAAGCCGAAGGTAAAAAGACTACGACTGGACAACATGTATGAAGGTGAGACACTGGAAACGTGAGCAGGCATGCCTCCCATACATTGTCGTCTGTAGATCCTCTAATCCATTACAACAGGAGGCAGCAAGGTGTGACCGTGGTAGCTTTGGCATATCCGAGCTCAGTGTGCCTGGCTCTTGGACTCCGCCTCTCCTCGTTTACGGATCTAGTTCCTAACTGATCACTGGGAGATGTAGACCGTAACAAAAACACCTACTATGGTATAACACATTGATATTGTGCAAAGAAATAGTTGGTAAAATGTTCCCCTGTTTGACCAGTAACATTTGCAGGGTTGATCAGTAAACACCAGATTTTGCCTATATGGATACAGTTCAGTTAAAATTTTCACCAGAATAGTGATCATCATATTTCCTAAAGCTAATTCCGCTTGGAATTCTGTCAACCTAATCGAATCTGCACCAATTGGCAGGATGCATTGTGTGGTTTAAAATAGTGCTTTTCACATCCGAACCCTATACATGTATTCCTTACCCTATAGGGTTAAAACCACCATCTAGCCCCCCTGGGCACTTCATTCCTCCCTAAATATAGCAAAATCTTACTCGTATTCAAGCTTGAAGCTGTAGCTCTGCATGCTGTTTGCATCAGAATAGCAAGCTGTCTGCTGACATCATCAGAAGTGGTAGCCTGATCCAATCATAGTGCTTCTCCATAGGATTGGCTGAGACTGACAAGGAGGCAAATCAGGGCAGAGCCAGCACAATTCAAACACAGCCCTGGCCAATCAGCCTCTCCTCATAGAGAAGAATTGAATTAATGAATCTCTATGAGGAAAGTTCAGTGTCTGCATGCAGAGGGAGGAAACACTGAATGTTTGGATGCATTTTAGGCAGCCATGACCCAGGAAGGATCTCTAACAGCCATCTGAGGAGTGGCCAGTGAAGTTATCACTAGGCTGTAATGTAAACACTGCATTTTCTCTGAAAAGACAGTGTTTACAGCAAAAAGCCTAAAGGTAATGATTCTACTCACCAGAACGTCAATAAGCTGTAGTTGTTCTGGTGACTATAGTGTCCCTTTAAACTAAATAGGGACCAGATGCCTCCAGGTGGATGCACATGCTTTCATGCAAGCAAAAGATAATTGGAAGTACTATTTGTTCACTTGCAGCCTGTGTGCAAATAGTAAAAAAATACATGTTGATGTTTGGGTTAAAGGGTTCGTCCAGCGTTTCCCTATGAAACGATGAAATGCTGCACAGACCGAGTTTAACCCCTTTGCTGCTGGAGTTGTAACCCTACTTTTAGCAGCGTCATTAGCCATCATTGTTCGTTCTATGCATATTGGACGTCTGATGTCCGCATGCACAGCATGCTGTCAACAAGCGTCCAAAGACGACACCCTCTCTCCACGCTGCCCGTACCCCACCCTCCCTGACATCTGAGGGGGAGTGATGTCAGCACAGGGGTACTTGCCTGTCAGAGTGCTCTGACGGACATTTCAAAGCATGGGGAACCCTTTATTTGATTTGGCCTTTGATGCATTATTTCCTTTAGGAGTTCAACCATTGTAGAATCGTTTAACCCCGAAGTTGCCTCCAGCACCGCACTCAACTCCCCATGGTGGCATCAGACTTCTAAAATACTCCCCTTTCACAAAACTGGCTTAAAAAGAAACGCACCTTTTCCAATCCAGTTTTTTGAATGGGGAGTCACTGATTGGCTGAGAGCGTCTGCTGACCACTCTCAGCCAATCAGTGGCAACCCTGCCCAACAGCACTCCAAACGTTTCAGAAGCAAATGCTGCCAGGGAGGAGCTGAGACAGGTGCTGGAGGCAACTTTGGGGTTAAACTGTTTGAGAAAGGTTTAACCGCTGAAGGTAAGAATGTGCCTGGGTGCCTCATGGCACCATAACAACTTCATTTATATGTTAGATTTAGTTGTCATGGTGCCTAAACTGCCCCTTGAAGAATAAAGAAGACTGCTAAAGGTAAGTATGCACATTTAATTTGGAGGTATTAGATTTATTGCCTTCACCCCCCCAGTTATTAAGGGGAGCTGTGTAAGCAAAAAATATATTTGGGGGGAGGGTGGCTATTAGTTTTGGCCTGTTAGAATTAATATGCCTTTCACTCAAAGCCTGAGGTTGACTGTGTGAAGAGGGGGGTGATGTTACTGCGGCAGTGATTCTGGGTTGGTATATGCAAGTGAATTCAAGAAAGAATCACCTTTTTGCCTCTATTCAATTTCTGTGGTGTTTGTTTGCTATATACAAGTGATATATACCGTATTTATCGGCGTATAACACGCACCGGCGTATAACACGCACCTCATTTTAAGAATGATTTTCACAGTGAGAAGCACGCAAGCGCCTCTAGCGGCTGTCAATGAGACAGCCACTAGAGGCTCTGGAGGCTGGATTAACCCTCAGTATAAACATAACAGTTTCTCTGAAACTGCTATGTTTATATAAAAAAAAAAAGGGTTAATCCTAGAGGGACCTGGCACCCAGACCACTTCATAAAGCTGAAGTGGTCTGGGTGCCTAGAGTGGTCCTTTAAATTTCAAATAAAGAACTTCTTACCCCCCTTTCTTACTCCCACCTCTTCTTACCCCCTTCTTACTCCCCCTCCCCCTCTACTTACCCCCCTTTCTTACTCCCCCCTCCCCTCTTACCCCTTTCTTACTCCCCCCTCTTCTTGCCTCTCCCCCCTCCCTCTACCCCTTTTCTTACTCCCCCTCCTACCCCTCTTTCCACTCCCCTTCCTCTCTTCTTACCCCCCCTTTCTTGCTCCCCTCCCCTCTTCCTGCCCCTCTTCTTCTTACTCCCCTTCCTTACTCCTCCTCTCTTCTTACTTTCCTCCTCCCCTCTTCTTACTTCCCCTCCCCCTCTTGCCTTTCTTACTCCCCTCTTCTTACCCCTTTCTTGCTCCCTCTCCCTTCTTGCCCCTCCCTTTTCTTCTCCCCCCCTCTCTTGCTCCCCTCCCCTCCCCTCTTCTTACCCCACTCCCCCTCTATTCACCCCCTTCTTACCCACCTCCCCTGTAGCGTGGCCGAGCCGCTCTGCTGTCCGCGGTGGCCGGCTGGAGTGATAGGAGTTCCTGTTTCCTGTACCCGGTCGGACTGACAGGAAGGTGCACACTGAGCGTGCACCTTCCTATCACTCCGGCCGGCCACCGCGGACAGCAGAGTGGCTCGGCCACGCTACAGGGGAGGTGAGTACCAACTCTTGACAGAGCGCTCAGGCGGCTGCAGTATTTAAAGGGCCGGCGTATAACATGCACCCACAATTTCTCCCCTATTTTCAGGGAGAAAAAGTGTGTGTTATACGCCGATAAATACGGTATATATACATCGATTACTGACCCTATAGTGTTAAAACAATCATCTAGCCCCTGGCCCCCCCTAAATATGGGAAAATCTTACTTTTATTCCAGTCTGCTGCTGCTGCTGCTGGCTGTGGCCCAGGTATGTCTGCTTGTCTGACTTCATCGTAAATCTGAGGTCTAAGCCAATCACAATGATTTCCCAGGAAAGCATTGGATTGGCTGAGACTGTCAAGGAACCGACACAAGCCAAACACAGCCCTGGCCAATCGGCATCTCCTCATAGAGTTGCATTAAATAAATGCATCTGCATGCAGATGGTGGAGACACTGAATGGCCGTCACACTGTGCAGCACTGCCCCAGGAAGCACCTCTAGCAGTCATCTGAGGAGTGGCCAGTGGAGTAACATCATAGGGCCTAGGCTGTAATGTAAACACTGCCTTTTCGCTGAAAACACAGTGTTTACTGCAAATAGTCTGAAGGGAATGATTATACACACCAGAACAAATACAATAAGCTGTAGATGTTCTGGTGACTATAGTGTCCCTTTAATTTTAATATGCGGCTTGCTAGCAAGTGCTAACCAGCTGCCCCATAATTAAAGGACCACTATAGTGCCAGGAAAACAAACTCGTTTTCCTGGCACTATAGTGCCCTTAAGGGGTGCCCCAACCCTCAGGGTCCCACTCCCACCGGGCTGAAGGGGGTTAAACACTCGCCCTTCTCCAGCGCCGGGCTCCCTCGGCGCTGGGGACTCTCCTCCTCCTTCGCACGCGCATTCAGCCAGTCCATAGGAAAGCACTCTCCATGCTTTCCTATGGACGTTGGCGTCTTCTCACTGTGAAAATCACAGTGAGAAGCGCGGAAGTGCCTCTAGCGGCTGTCAATGAGAGAGCCACTAGAGGCTGGATTAACCCATATGTAAACATAGCAGTTTCTCTGAAACTGCTATGTTTAAATCAGGCAGGGTTAATCCTAGATGGACCTGGCACCCAGACCACTTCATTATGCTGAAGTGGTCTGGGTGCCTATAGTGATCCTTTAACCCTTGCACTGCCAAGGGATTTTTTTAAATCCTGTCTTGAGTTTAAGTATCTGGTTCTGCAGTGATTAGTCCTAGCTATGTTCCAGGTTGATTCATTTTGGCTGAAAATGTGCAAATTCTCTGTTAAGTCCCCACAATTCAGTAAACCCCACATTGTTCGCACGCTAGCTCCTTACATTACCTGCGTTTAGAGCTTGACTGTTCTTTCATCGGTGATTGAAGCCAGACATGAATGAAAGTGTTTGGAATAGACAAATGTTTTCATCAGGGTTAGATACATTGATAATTACTTGGGATTGTTCTGTGAGCCCAAATAGATCTCTTACTGGTCAAATATATTTCATTGTCGTTTGTTTAAAGTCAGGTAAAATAAAATATTTTGCACTATTCTCCTGAAAGGGAAGATGAAGCTTATCAGCCCTATGGGCCCTGTAGATGAGGATATAACAAGTTACTGATAAAAGCATTTTATTGCAGACAGCTTACTTGTCAGCTGAAGGAGCAAGCAGACAGCAACGCTTGCTCGGCATCTTTAAGTCACCCATTGGGAAGGAAGCCATGTACGTTTAATAGTCCCTTTTTTCTGACATCCGGCATAGGCTGTTGTGTGCCCTTAGTCTGTTGGTGGGTGAATTTCTATCATTGCTGCTGCAATGACAGCTGCAGGCATACAGATGTAATTGGTTCTGGGGACCTAGTTAGCATTCTGTCTGTCTGGAGTTATTGGCCTCGACCAGATCAGTCTGAATGCTACTATCTAAGGAAGATACACATTGGATAGAGGTAATGTATAGGTACAGAATAGCAGGGAACTAAATCAAAAGTAATTTGGGGAAAAAAAATGCAGGTTGCACGCTAGGTACAAATGTATCAGGAGTACACATTGGCCTGACTTATGAAGGGACACCAACACATGTAAAACCTCATGAGACATACCAAAGAGACAGAATGACTTGTAGTAGAGCAGAGATACTGAGAGAGATCTACCTGTTTCTTTTAGTGTATATATACCTTGTACCTACATAAATAATTTGCTATAGGAGAAAATTATTTCCACATTGGTATGCTGGCTAAATTCACCGGGTTCTTAAAGATCTGTCTATTTAACATAGTACAAAAATTTAATACCTGCATAAAACAAAGGAATTTTATTACAAAGTACAGTGGAACCTCAGAACTCGAACATTCCTGTTCTCGAACAATTTGGAAGGTGAACTGAAATTTTGCGTAATACAAATGTCTTCTCGGTACCTGAACACATCACACGGCATTCAAAGAGGGACACAAGTGTGGGGAAGCATGGGATACAAGTGTGAGATGAGGAAATCTGGGCAGATGGACTATGTAAAGGGATAGAGGAGAAAATAGGGAGAGGAAAACCAGAGGGCAGAGGAACACAAGTAAAGGTTTAAGGGATATGGACAGAATTATTATGCAAGGAGAAAGAGGAAAATAGGAGAAGGATACCAGAGGACAAAGGGACACAAGTAAGGGAAGAGGGACTATGGACATAAGGATACAAGCAGAGGAAAGAGGGATATTAGATATTTTGGACGTGATACAGCCACTTTTTATGCTTTTGTATGTAATGGCAGAAGAACAATTACCTAATTTTGGGAGTCTGGAACGGACTAACCCCTTAAGGACACATGACATGTGTGACATGTCATGATTCTCTTTTATTCCAGAAGTTTGGTCCTTAAGGGGTTAAACAAATTTACATTAATTCCTATGGGAAATGTTGATTTGGTACTCGAACAAATCGGAACTCGAGCAGCCTTCTGGAACGGATTAAGTTCGAGTTCCAAGGTTCCACTGTAGCTCATTACTAGCTATAACAGCAGTATATAGCTTGGCACCATGGGATAGAAACCCCTAGTGTGTCTACAATGCCCAGTTATTAAAAGCTCAGTAGCAGAAAATTAAATGAATTCAGTGCTAAATGACAACAACCGAAAACCCCCCACACAAAAAAGCCAGACATGCATTTTGGTGTGTAACACCTTAGTCAGGGATGACATAATCCATAGAAGGGACATAACTAATCAGTGACTGTAGCTGGGCAGTGCGTAAAATATCTTAAAATGGACATTAGAATTATTTTTCTTAAATGGACACTATAGGCATTGCAGTTTTAGAGAAACTGTTTATAGTGCAGGCCGCTAGAGGCTCTTCCAGCATTAACATGGAGTTTAACCTTGTGAACCGATGCTGGACCTCCTCGTGCTTTTTTATGAGAATGTCCAACACCTTAAAAAAAACCCATGAGGAAGCTCTAATGCGTGTGCTGCACTCGCTGAGCATGCACATTGGGTTCCTGGATTACCGTGACATCACTGGAGGAGGAGCATGATACAGCACAGAGGGATGCTGTAATCAAGCAAGTAAGATAAGGGTTTTTAACCTATTCTTGACTGCGCAGGGGGGCTGAGGGAGGTCACTGAGGCAGAGCAGGCTAATAAGTGGGAATTAGAGGGAATTCCTGCTCTTGTGCATTCGTCTATGTTTGGGGAAATGTCCCTGAACACAGACATGCGCACCAGAGCAGGGAATCCCTTAAATCTATGTTCGGTGAAATCTGCCTGAACAAAGATTAGATGGATTCCCTGCTCTGGTGCGTTCGTCTATGTTCAGGGAAATTTCCCCAAACATAGAAGAACGCAGCAGAGCAGGGAATCCCTTAACTCCTCACTTACCGACCAATTCGTTCTACGACCGGGTCGTAGGAACGGAACCCGGTCTGTAAGTGAGGAGTACCTGTACAGTTTTGTATTCCCAACTTTATAGTGTTCTTTCAAATGTTTTCTTTAAGGACAAAAACATACTAAAAAGGCATATTTTTTTAAACAGACAATTCAGACACATTACAGTTAGTTGTACTGTGTGGGATTTGTGTATTCATATTACTTATGGGTGTTTGTTTTGTAAGAGTTTCGCTCCATAAGCCCCAAACATGCAGCCTTTCCTCCTTTCTTCTCCAACCTGCAAAGTTGTTCTTTTTAGTCCAATAATACTGCTGTAAATGTCATAACTTTTCTGGAACTTGCAGTTCAACTGTTTTTATCTAGTTCGCAATACTCCTAACTTTTTATTTTGGCAATTATTGTCTGTGTGACATTCAGTAACTTTACACTATAAATGTTGGTACTTTATAAATACACGCAACAAGTTGAATATAGAATGTGACCGATTTAATGTGTTTGATTAAGCACATCTTGGATGAAGTTAAGCCAGAGGTTATATCGTGTACGGTACATACACGGGTACATTTTAATTAATGACCGTGTCTGTTCTTTCTCACTGATTACCTCCTAGTGGATGAATTCCTAAAATATATTCCTGAGTGACGTTGGTTCAGCTAATTCCTCTTTATCTTTGCATAATAACCTGAAGCGACTGCTTACTAGGAGGCTCACAATCCTGCCGCTATACCATCTGCCTCTCTGTGCACTGGGATAAAAATAGCTGCAGTTATACGAGTAAGCACTGAACCGCAATATCCGTTATCACAATGTATTCACCTGGATTCTGGGATATTAATAGGAATTCAAGGCTCTATTTTGCATGGTATGTATTTTAACATCGCCATGTATAATAGAAGCAGGATCGTATTGCTAATCATAAATCCTGGATATGTGCATATAAATAATATTACTGGTAATCTCCTTTCTTTCACACATGTGTACAAGGGATGCGTTTTGTTCTGCACTGCAAGGCGATGTTTTTCACTCTGCATCTCTGGACAAGTGTTGTAAGTGGTGTCCTGCACCCAATGGGATGAACGGGGGGACATAACCATTGGGTGTGAGGCAATGTATGCTACTCTTGATGAGGAAATGAGTGTCACCATCCAAAAATGTAGTGCATCATTGGCCAGCCCCACTCATGGGTGCCCATGCACAAGCTTAATATTTATATACGTAATTATACTTTTTTCTTTAGATTATAAAACTTATTTGAGCAGGGCTCTCGCCACCATTTTGTTCCTGTATGTTTAACATGTCCTGTTGCAATTACACAGTTGTAAACACATATATATAGTGCTACAGGATATGTTCTGAATGATAAACTTATAAGGTGAATTGTTAACCATGGATTGATAATCTATTGTTTGATCATTTCCTACATGTTAATGGTTGCCAATGAGCCTTTAATAATATCACAAACTTTTCCCGTTTTGTACATACCTTTTTCACACTGTTGTTTGAACGGGGAACCAATGATAGGCTAAAAAAGTCTGCTGAGGAGGGATCACCACTAAACGTGACACATGTTACTGGGTCGGCCCCCAGCCTTTTGGACCATGCAGAGAGCACTGTTTCCTGCATGGTATTAATGCGTCCTGCATGGGCAGTGATGCATTACTTTTTCGGGTAATGCTGCTCATATTTCAGACTGGCCTGCCGGTCACCTCATAAAGATATACATTGCATCTCTGACATGTCCCATTATTGTGCTACCTGGGGGGTCAGTACCCTGGTGTCCCCAGATGCAGGATATCAGGAACTAAAGCGAGATTGGTGGGAGTCCTGTGCTCTCAACCTGTCACCGGTGCCTGATCCAGGGTTTCTTCATTGAAGCATTGGACATCGCTGGAAGACGAGAGACAGATCTGGCGAGTGCCATCTTCACAACTAAAAGTTTAAACCATTCTGAAACAGTTTAACCCCTTAAGGTTGGACGGCACCCAGGACCTCCTTGCACCATAATAACAACTTCATTTAAATTAATTTATGGTTCCTGGAGTCTTTCTTTAAGCCAAGTTTTAAATTCACGATTTCCAATTGTGGAGTCATTAACACAAAACTGTGAAGACCTATTTGGATTGTGATAGTGGCCATGCAATATACAATACTGGCCAAAGTTTAGAAACCATTATCAAATTAAATATAAAATACGCAATTGCAGCTCAAATATGGTACATTTATGACCAAACATTCAATATTAAAAGAGATGCAGAATGTTCCTCTAATTAATCGCTAATATGATTAACCTTTTGACCTTTAAGTAATCAGGCAGTCATAGAGTTAACGTGTATCACTTCAGCCGTGAAAAAAAATGAGGCAGTTTGTATGTGCCTGCAGCACGTAATGTGCATAAGCTGTGAGCTTGCCGCTGGTTATTATGAGACATTATCCCAGTGTATGGTGTAATCTACACACTGTAGCCTGCGGCAGACTGTGTGTGTGACCAGTAATCACATAGAGAGTGTGCTATAAATGGTGTGATCTGAATGATGGCCGATATGGCAGTCCATGGGCTGGCTGTTGGTAAGACTGTTTGTTTTTAGGGTTAACGGTCTCTTGTGAGCTGTGTTTTCTGGCTAATGTCGTTTGTAGCAGTCTGTTGGCAAAAGGATTAAAACCATGCAGCATGCGGGTTACAAATATATAGCGATTTGCTGTTTATCTGTGATGTGCGGAGGGATTAAGTGTTTTCTAAGAAGCTGCACTTGGCTCTATATAGGAATTGTTCCAATGCATGCGTTTTCTGTAATGTTTGTGGTGCAGGGTCCGTAGACGGAGCTTACTGGATCATAAATGCCACATATTGCTTTCACGGTACTGGTAGAGAGTCTGCTTGGAGTCGGACTTGCTGGTGTAGAAAGCATTTTCCTGTTTGTGTTATAGGATGTCTGCGATGAGTCATTTTGTAACGTGATTAACAAGCTGCTTATTGGATTCATGTTATTTATTTATAAAGCAGTAACCGATCGCTGTGCCCTTTCACCCAGTTGTTACTGGATATCCCCTCGCACCCTTTGAATCTCAATTCTCCCATTGTCTCCCTTCTATACTTTTCACAATTTCTCGAGCACTCTGTTTGATGAAGATGCTTTGGAAACCAGGCAAAACAGGACCCGTTACTGGAATATTGCTGTTAAACGATACAGCTAAATATTTAGCTCTTCCACTGTCCACAGTATAACACCCAGCAGCACACAGTACATGCGTTTTATTGGATCAATAATGTGCCTGGTCATTATTGATAGGTTAACTCCAGGACTCCACTTACTTACACTTACTTAGTATGACACTTTAGCCTTGGGATTACATAGTTGTATTCCTAACGCTATGGTGTTCTTTAAGTATTTAGGAGACCATCCACCACGCCTCCCATTTGCAATAAAAAAAAATAATTTTACTTACGTTTCATCTCTTGCCCCACCGGACTTCATGCTGCCATCCCTAATCATGGTTTTGTGAAATCAGATCATGGGCAGAGTCAGTAGCTGAATATAAGTAAGATTTTACTATATTTATGGGAGGGAGTAGGGGGGCTAGATGGTGGTGTTTGTGTTCCTGACCCTATAGTATTCCTTTAAGCTGTAGTGGTTCTGGTGACCATAATGTTCCTTTTAAGAATTGTTTTTCTGTGGTTGAAAAAAACCTGTCATCTAACTTTTTTAGCTGGCTCCTAGATTCAAAGAAACTTTGTTAAGCCCTGTCCTAATGTCCTTCTTTTCTAGAAGCTCCATATACTCATAGTAATGTGTCTTTAAAATACAAAAAAAAGTTTTTAGAAATCAGTCTGAGGAAGTATTATGCATTGTTCTTGTTCTAAAAAACATTTTAGTTGTATAAATTATTAGTAAGTCACCTAAAATTTCTCAGAACAGCCCTGCCTATTGCCACACTCCCACACACACCCCTAAAATTAAAGTGCCCCTTTTCGTCCATGTGAAATGTTGAGAGTATGCATCCAGAGATATTGGCAAGTTGCACCCCCAGCACGTAATTTAGGCAGCCCTGCAAAAATTCCATCAGTCGTCTGCATGCGCTTTGGCCTGGAGATCAGTTCAACCAAACGCTTATCTTTGAGTACTTCAAAGTGAAAATACGCTGCACATACAGACTCCAGGCACCAATACCACTTCACATCAACAAAGTGGTTTCAGGGCTTGGATTAACCATTTAATTATTTATTTTAATTATATATATATATTGAGAATTCCACTTTATCTGAGCAGCCATTTTGAGTGCGATTCTAATGTGTCGAACCAATGCCTTTCTATGGGAAAGCATTGTGATTGGCTGAGATAATTTCTGATGATTTCAGCAAAGGAGGCGGATTAGGGGTGGGGCCAGACGCGAAGAGCCTGGAATAAAGGTGAGTCAAACACGTATTTAAACTGAGGTAAGTGGGCCGACCACCTAAACGGTGGCTTTAGAAATATAGTGTAAGGATTACACGTTTGTGTTCCTGACACTATAGTGCCTGTTTACGTACAGAAGAAAAGGAGTTGGCTGTGCCATGGGTATCCAGCAGTCATCCATCTCTACTGCCTATAATAAACTTCAGAGCTAAGGGGGAACCATTTAAGAACTGTATGTTTTCTGATTATTATTTTTTTAAGAAAGTCACACTGGTAGAAGTCACTTAAAGGGATTCTCTAGTGCCAGGAAAACAAACCCGTTTTCCTAGCACTGTATAATCTTGGAGTGCCCCCTTCCCACCGCCCCGCATCCCACGTCGCTGAAGGGGTTAAAATGCAGAGCGTGAGGACGTCCAGCATCGTTTAGACGACCAAAAGTAGTCTAAGAAGCCGGAAGTCCCTCTAGTGGCTGTCTGGTAGACAGCCACTAGATGAGGACTTAACCCTTCAAGGTAATTATTGCAGTTTATAAAAAGTGCAATATTACACTTGCAGGGTTAAGGGTGATGGGAGTTGGTACCCAGACCACTTCAATGGGCTGAATTGGTCTGGTTGCCTACAGTGTCCCTTTAAGTACTAGGTTTCGGAAATTGTTGAAGTAATGATTTTACTTTTAACAGCAGTGGCCTCTTCTGCTGGCGTAACACAATATTCTCTTCCTATGGACTTGTTCATTCTAAATTGAGAAATCAGTTGGGGTCTGATATAGCAGAAAAGCTTGTTGTTGAGTCGGCTGCAGAAGACTGTTTTACGTTTTTCATGTGAGCCCAGCTGATGTATTTCAGTTTTTTTTATTTATATATATATATATTGTTTAACCTCTTCAGTTAACAAACAATGATGTTTATGCTAAATAACGTTATTGCTTTAGTTAAATAAAACTATTTCTGTAATTCTCCAAATATGAGTGATTGCCCTATTAAACTAAAATCTATTCTGACATAGTGTTACTAATCTGACAGGTTATTATTCTTGCATTCATCTGGATGCAAGTTTAAATATTATAACTACCAGCAAGAATAGGTCTTTACATTTAAATCAAGTCTCACTGATTAGTGATTTAAATAATGATTTAAATTGTAAATGAAGTCGATTTGATGGGGTGCACAGAGCAATAGCAGCAGTCAGGGCCCAAGCCCCCGCCATACACAAGTCATAAAACATATACATATTTTTATTTATTTTTCCCCCAGACTTATTTTTTTTTTTTTTAATGTGTTCATCTTAAACATTCCATCTTTTAAGTTTCAAAGAAGCTTTATTTGTGCCGTCAAAACAATGACAGCAGTATAGCAAGGCAGAGAAGTAACGTATGAGTAACGTCTCTCATAAAAACAATCAACAGTGTTATAGAGCTTAATACAATCGAGTGACATCGCTATTAAATCTATTAGAAAGCTGTAGTTAGATCAAGCAGAAATTGTCACCAGGTAGCCTCACTGGATTGGGCATAAAGCGAGCTGTTATTCGATCACTTTAATACAGGAAGGGATATAAGCTGCAGTCGAGGTACGCAGGTCTCATATGTAATCACTCGACCCTATATCGTGACATATAATAGTGGAATAGCCCTATAAGGTGCAGAAACATTAAGGAGTAGCTTGTGTAGGCTTCCTTTTTAACTAGTCCTTTGTGCCGATGTTGGTGTGAAAGGGTGGAATCCCCTGAACATATACATACTTACACAGTAATAAAAAATATAAATTTATAATCTGTGAAAAAGTGTGGGGGTTACTTGAGAAAGGTCCGATTTGTACGACCAAAATGTTGGGGTATTCCTTGACCCAACAACGCTGATTTTCACCAGTGATAGAGTGCTAGCATGTCTGCTTGCTATTATTTGATTTTCAGTTTTGGCACATTTTTAAATCTCAGGGTCTGTAGCTATCCCAGCTAAACGTGTAACAAAATTAAGCCTCTTCATGTGAGGATATCACACCAAGGATGGCTTACTGGTAGCTCTCTAGCAATAGTATAACTACAACTTCTGTGGTGCTTTGCCATTATGCGATTTATAGCTGGCATTAATGGAGGTCCTAGCTGGAGAGCTACCCCTGAAATACACTGTATACATCCTCCCAAGTGATTGGACCTAAATCCCCCAGTCCCACTTTTGGACCTAAATCCCACTGTCCTTCTCTTCTATCCTAATGTCCCTCTTCTCTAGGGGCTCCATATTGTTGTATGACTTTATAAGAGAGATCTGCAGCAATAAAACCTCAGAAATGTGTCTTTAAATCCCAATAAATGTATTTAGTGGCTGTCTGGTATACTGCCACTAGAGGCAGTCCTAGGACTGATATGTAGACAATTCTTGAAGTGCGTCTGATCTTCCTAAAAGAAAAATTATAATAATAAAAAAAAAAAAAAATTTCGAACTCTCCGAACAGAATGTACGTTTAGTATACAGTGTAAGTTCTTTCAACTGACATCACTAATATAAAATATTTATTGCTTGATAAACTTCAGGGTCTGTAACCAGTGGATCATAAGACTACTACTTTTCTTAAAATATATATTTTTAAATTTTCATATAGAAATCCTCTCTCTATATACAGATAGTGAGTTCCTGCCTCTTACATTCTGCAAACATTTGTTAACCCCTGATCTAGACTATTGAACAGTGGGTTAATCCTGAGCCTAATCCAAAAACGACATGCTAATAACAGACACATCTGTTCTCACTCACAATACATACAGCAGTCCAGATCAATGTATCTCCCCTACATGACTGGATCGTTCAGTAAAAGTTGGAATCCAAGCTTTAAATTCATCTGGGTTAACAATACTGTAGAATTAGTTATTTTACCTTTGCTAAAATAAAACTAAATTCATCTCCCTGTCCGTTTCCTTTGTATTTGTCCTCTGTATGTAGCTTTAGGGATTAGTGTGTGATCTCGTAAGGATTAAGGTCAGTGTGAGTTAGTGTGATGGGCAGAATTAAGCGCTTGGTTGAGCTGTTGCCATGTTTCATCAGAAATCTCATTATGCTATGGATGCAAAAAAATTAAATATGGTCGTTTTCATTGTGATTTAGTTGCCTAAACTATGCAAGTTGTAATTCTGGTACTATTTTTTTTTTTTTTTTAAATGTATTTATTTAAGCTGTTAAAAGATAAATAGCTGAATGGGAGTAATTCTCCAATTGTAGAAGTTTTTGTCTGCTATTTTTGAAATGTGGTTGGCAAATCTTTTAGTGAATAAACGAATTAAAAATTTACATTTCTTCCCCATCAGAAAGTCAGATACTCGTGTTAGAAAAGTACAGTAATATTTAAAGTAACACACCAAGCACCATAACCACTACAGCTTACAAAAAATCTGTTAGCTCTGCTGAGCTAAGCCCCGAAATGCAGGGCATTGCTCATTGGCTTAGAGTGATCAGCTGACACCCTCAGCCAGTGAGCTAACCCCTGCTAAGATGTTCCAGTTCCTAATACTTTGACTTCTTCCAATGGGGTGGTGACAAGGCCAGCGAAATATAGTGTATATTGTACGGCGCAGCAGAATTAGTTGGCACTACATAAATACCAATAATAATAGTGGTTAAGGTGTTTGCAGTGTTCCGTTTAACCCTTTTCTAGGGCTGAGTGGCACATTACTCATATGAGAGAGCTGTGAATACCTGGCAAAGGTATTTCAACATTTTGGCACAAATAGCTGATAAATGGCAGAGTTGGAGTTCTCTGCAATTTCTGGTTTAACATACTTCTCTCTACCTTTTTAAACCAAACATGTTTAATAGGTCCCAAACACTTTGTAGTTTGTAAAATCATAGAAAATCAAGGAAAGTCCTGCTTATGTAGGTTTTGTATTTAAAATAAATGTACCATGATAAAGAAACATATGTTCTGGCAAATTATTTTGTTACATTATCTGAACTTATTTGAATTGCAAAAAAAAAAAAAAAAAGTCTTATATACTCTACGGCTGTGTGGCAGACTCTGCATCATTGAAAATATACTGGGGTATTAATTATGAGGTATTCATGTAAGGTGATGGGCTATGTATTCGGTATTCCAATATAGGGATATGCTGATTGGGTTTCCCACAGATCACAGTGTTGCCTTTTATAAATGTGTCCGCTTTATTTATTTATTTTTCCCATTTTACAAAAATTGCAGATTTCTATAGAAAACTGCCACTTTTATAAATGAACATTGTTACACTCCCCCTGGCTGTCAGTCAGAAAATCTGTCCTGTTACTTCCTGGTTTGGTTAGCTCAGTGGAGCTAGACTCAAGAGGCAGCATTTGCACAGAGCACCTGCCTTGCAAAGACTTCTCATCAAGCTGCATTGGGAAGTCTGTGATTGGACAGTCACAGAAATTATGGGTGGGGTTAGAAAGGGGGGACTTGCAAAGGAAGCAGACAAGAGATCTTCAGTTTTTTCAAGCCATTTTTATATATAACTCTAATGAAAAAAATGCATGATTAATTGCACGCATATTTTCACAAGGGATATATCTACTAAAAAGTTATTTTTTTAACATTTAGGCTGTTGACTGTCCCTTTAACACATTCTGCTCTGCTGAAGCCCATGTAAGGGAGCAGGGAGAACAACGTTTGGGAAGAAGTGAATGATGGTGACTTATAAGTAGCCATACCCAGCATTTGTATTTCTCTCCGTAACACAGCTGCTGAAGAAGCAGAGGGATACAGGTTCTCATGTGCCCTCACACTGGAGCCCAAATAAACCAGCTGGCACACGGTACAGTACTAATAAACCCACAAGAGCTCTGGAATGGGTTGTAGGAGCAGCAATGTTTTCTTTTCAACAGCTATACCCACTGTGTCAATTAGTTTTTCTGATTGTCAGTACAGTGGATGCAGTATTTACGTGCCAATAACATAAGTTAATATATAAATAGATGGGTGACGTATTGCCACACAGAAAACTACATTCTTTTTTTTTCTTTTTTTTTTTTTTACCAGTTTTTGCATTTTTATTTTCATCTTTCCCTCATATATAAACCATTAAGATCACAGAAAAGCCCTCCGTTCAACTTTATTTTGACGTAAATCTGAAAATTCTTTATCTATGGAACAGTTACATTTATAGGGTTCACCATAGCGAACTGGCAGGTGAAAACCCCTGTTGCCGCTGAAGTTCTGGATAAACTATTTACATAAGGAAAGCTGGATCATACAAAAATGAATGTTTTAGCCTTCTTGCCCGAGATCTTTTGCATGCATTGCAATAATAGTTTGAGGCATTGTTGGTTATAGAGGTTAGTCAGGGGGTGTTGTTGTGAGTGGTTTGAGCTGCAGTTGATGGCTGCCAGTGGTCGCCAATTCCTTGCCATATTTTTCCACGACATCATCGTTTGTACAGTAAACCTGGTTGCAGTGACTTATGGAGAACTTATTCCCTCTACCACTGCCTAATAATATTGGTGTTCCCTTCTGTTTAATTAATAGAACGTTTGAGCTAATACACTTGCTAGGATATATGATCTGGTTTTTATTAAAACAAAACCTTGGAGTGATTGGAAATAGGAGGTCTGGAGACAGGGAGTAACAAGCAGTTCCAGCTCGTTAATTAAAAAGTAGAACTTTCACACAAGCAGTTATTAAATTAGTTTCATAGTTTTAGCGAGCGGTTGATCCCTCTGCTTAGAAACTAGTTGTTGTGGTGATGCCACAGATGAAGAGACGACCAGCATATATAACCTGACAGGACATTGTGCTCAGACATTCTGCGGGTATTAAATCCCTCCCTAGCTGTGTGATCTGGATTACTCTTTCATCAGGAAAGATTTAGTCGGAGCTGACCTCCATGGGCGTTTTATGTTTCTCACGTCCCAATTTTGGCGATTTACTCGAGAGACATGTAAATGTGAGATGTGAAAGGCGCAGAAATCAGGGGGGTGGAGAGGGGGGGGGGGGGTCTGATAGTGGGTTCCTCTTCCAGTGTTTTATGGGAGGTCCATTTTCTGGCACAGAAGATTAGTACTGTACAGGTCACTATAATCTCTACATACCATGTGAATAAAATGTCCCCACAAACAGTTCAGCCAGAGCCTCCAGGATTATTTGCAGGCGGCCAGAATCATCTGCCTGAAACCTGCAGAAACCACTATCTTTCAGCCAGTGTTTCAAGGGTGTTATACTTTGCCTTCTTAAATTACTCCAGATTAATAATTCAACGGATACCTTTGTAACCGAAGCCTACTAATTCTGTTTGTGCCTCCAGAGAGTTCAGGTGCGGCTACATCTGTTTATTGTGTATGTGTTTTTTTTTTTTGGATTGGTGTAATTGAAGATTTTAACTGAGACGTTTCTTCACCACCACAACCTCCTCCTCCTCCTCCTCGAGCTCTTTATCTAAGCAGAAGATTTTTTTTTTTTTCCAATGCCGGTTCCAAGCAAGCATACAAACATTAGCCGTTCTCATAGCTGGGATGCTGCAGGTTTGTATGACAGCAGCTGGGAAGAAGGCAACTCACCAGGATATCAGAGAGCAGTCGGCAGAAAAAATTCTCTGACCTACAACAGAGAGGAAGCATTTTACAAGCTGCCAAACAGCAGATCCCGCGATATTATCTTGCCAGACTGCTCGGAGATAAAGACGGACCTTTGTTCATACCCAGACACTTATATCCGAGGTCAGCAAGGTCACTCAGTGGTTCAGAATCGCAGGCCAGTTAGAAACCGCTCAGTTCCAGACTTCTCCGATCCCTACGAGAGACAGGTGGCAATGTCTACGCGTGGTTCTGTGCAAACGCATGACTACTATAATGATCCGTCTATGTCTTGTAGATCACTGGAGGATCCTCGTTATTACAGAGAGCATGCACTGAATCGTGCCGGACAGAGCTATGGGGCACCTGTAAGCCGAACAGTTTGGGAACAAACTCCAACTCGATCTTTCCAAACACAGGACGCAGGTCGTCTGTACAGAGACCACACGGGTAGAGTTCTCACGGAGGGTCAGCGTTCTCGAAGTCGTGATTGCTCTCCAGCAAGATACACAGTTGAAACACCGAACCCCAGATATGGCTCGGAGGCGAATGCATTCCCCAGCAGACAAATTTATAATGAGCTGGTGGAAAGATCCATTGATCCTTTAACAGGGAGACAAACCGCTCCTACCTGCTTAGTGGTGGAGTCTAGTGAAGCTGCTGCTATGGATGGTACCCTAGGGACATCTTCTATTTCAGGAAATCGTGGGTATACTTCAGCAAGAGATAATGTCAGTGCTAAGATGGCTTATGATACATATGAGAACTCTCTGGCTCAGTCACAAGCTCAGATGCCACATGTAGATATGGAATTCCTCACTACACTGCGGAATGAAGGCCTGTCCGAGGGTACTATCAACGCATTGATTCAGCATGGGTTCGACACGCCCAGTTCATTGGCTGTCATGGAAGAGCATGACCTAAAATCAGTAGCTGCTAATCTTGGACAAGCAAGATTGCTTTCAGGGCTTATCAAGAGCTATCGAACAGATCTACAAATGTTACGACAAGATCAGCAGAAAACTAACTCTCTAAGAACTCGAGCTCGCTCCAGTAGCTTCAGTCATCGTGGGGACATTATGCGCAGTGAATTAGTTGGGCAAACTCTTACTAATCCCACCATGGATGGGTCTACCAATCCACAGGCTAATTTATCACTACAGCCAGTCTCACCCCGCATGGCTGAACTCAACCGTCGTCCTTCCAGTGCTCCATCCCAGCACCTCCTGGAGACAGCCAGCTACCCTTCCTGTGGAATGAATACCCAAAATCCCCATTTCATTGGTAGTGTTGGATATGTACAGCCTCGTCCTGCCTCTGCCTACATTGCTCAGTCTGGTGTTCCCATGACTGTTGTGCACAGTAATTTAAATCCTGTGCCAAAAACGGCTTACCCCACGAGTTACACTGTGCCCATGGAGCTCATGAAGAGAGAGCGCCTACCTCCCACCTCTCCTTTGCACAGCCCTCACTGCAGCCCCCAGCTTCTACGCAAACAAGGAAGTCATCTGGATACCACTCTTAATTTGCCACCACCTGCTATATCCAGTCAGCATGGCCTCAATTCGCCCTACCAAAAAGTAACCAGAAGAACCGGACCCCCTGTTATTGTCTCCACCATGGCATCACCAGAACAAAGTAATTATAACCGATCTATTTACAAAAAAGCGGCGTTCTTATTTCACTAGCTGTAGATCTTGGTGTCTGTCGTTCCCTCTGTCTAACTATCTGCGTTTAATAATTTTAAAGGTTAATAAGGCTATAGGATATTTATCAATGAATCAATTTATTTATATATGTATGTTTAGTGCTTTGCCGTGAGTGTAAAAGAGGTTCTTGCCATAAGTCCCTAATATCATGCACCAACCACACATTTTATGATCCTACTTGAGTTCAGGTGGTGAAGCTGATTACTCTGGTTTTATATTATAATATAGCATATTTGTGCTATTACAGAGACATCCAGGATTAAGACAGTAAGCCAAATAAACAGTTTGTTTTAGGTTTTGTTTACACTATCAAGATGAATATGGAAACAGAGTTTAAGGTAGTGTGTGTCTCTCCAAGCTACCTCTGAAAAATGGGCTTTGTATAAAACAGCATAATTATAATTCATTTATTACAATATGAATTACACATCTACTAATGTTTGGGATGTGAATAAGTCTCTGCTACGTTTATAAATGAACTAAAATATTTAGTCTGAGCTAGTCTATAAAAAAAAAAAGGTTTTATGTCCTATGTGTATAAATCTCATGCTACTGGGAATTGGATCATGCTAAGATTTAATATTAAACCCAACAAGAAAAATGCCACCTGTGTTCAAGAAGGAAGATCTAAACAAAATATTCAACAACACATCAATTAACAAAATAGAATTTAGCCACAAATATTATTAAAATCAGATCCAAGAATAAAAAGACGTCAGTCAAAACTGTAATCATCTGTTATTGACCGATGTCCTTGTTCAGGGGGAGAGCTGTACTAAACTGTGATTATATTGGAGAGAATACACTCCACGGTTCTATCTACTAAAGTCTGTGAAGGCTTTATTAATGCAGTTTGTAATCTCCAGAGTGATGTAAATGATTAAATCTATACTCTACATGTAAATATAGAGAAAACCCTTCCTGCTTCTCTTATTATAGTGAATGTTTTTGCACATGATAAAATACTGGAACGCAGCCCAAATAACGTGCCAACTCTGCCTATTTTGTGATCTGCTCTGGGATTTGAAAACAAAACAAAACTGTAGTGTGTGATGACTAGATACACAAAGTGCAGGATTTATACCAAATATTTATGACTGCTATTTCAGTATTTTTCATTTTCATTTTGCAGGTCAGTAATTTACTTGTTGTTTTTGTGAATTTCCTTCTTAAATGTAGATTGTCCCCTCAAAACTATAATTAATATAATAATCCTTTCATCAAGTTTTGACTGGAAGATCCTGATCATATAGTGTACCTAAACCCCCCATTATCTTTGCCTAGATTGGGTGTTTTTTTTTTTTTTAAATGTGAGCTTTGAAGTTGCTGTTTAGTGGATGAGTGAGTGCGCTGGATCTTGTGTTATGTACTAAAGGTAGGAATGAGTTTTTTCTCATTTTGTTTACGTATACTTCATTTAAAAAAAAAAAAATCTATTTCCTTTCAAAACTTGATGAAAGGGTCATTTTATTAAAAAATTTTTTGAGGTGACAGATGTTGTTTAAGTCATGTAATATTAATTTGCATAATGCCATATGAGATATTAATCTGTGTAACTGTAGGCTGCCATACAATGACTCCATAGTCTGAGGCCCTCTTTGCATGCCCTTAATCTGCCATTTGTGGTGCCTAACATAGTTTGGTCATCAAGTGTACAAAGAAAGACAAAGTGAGTGTTTAAATGAACACACAAAAATAGTGCTGAAATGAATAGGTCTATACATACTCTAGGAACCAAGATCTTTTATACTGTTTCCTTGACACCTACATTAATGGGCAGAATGAGAAAAGTCCTGCAGTCTGTAGAATTCAAACGCTGCTCATTATTCAGTGATGAATCCTGCAGCATGTGAATTATACATACTGCAAGGCAGCCGTTTTCCTGTGCTACCGATCATCATAAAGAAGTGATATTTCTCCAGATACACACATTGAGTTTTACATGCTATTTATCATTTAAGCAGCACCCTATTAATGTGTGTCTGTGCATGTTTACAACCATAAAAAATATATTAATCTGTAAAGCTTACTGTAGAACATAGTTTTATTCCCTTAACTCAGTGTCCACAGCTGTCAAACTAAATGATGTAAAAAAAACAAAAAAAAACCCACATCTACTTGGCCTTTAAAATCATGTCAAAGGCTAAAACCAGTGAGTTTTAGCAGTCATTCTGCTAGAAATCCACACTGTCTGAAAGGCAGGCTGAGGATCATAGGAAATGTAATCCACAAAAATTTAGTACATTAGTTAGCCAACATGGCCTAATCCTTAGATCGTTAAGGGATTAACTTCCCTTCCTTGTCTGTACACTTAGCTTTATACTGGGTGGAATTACAGTCTAGAGGTAATGTATTGATACTAGCGGTGTAATATCACAGGCAACTCAAACTGTTAAAAATTGACCACTTGAATGTAAAAGAGGTTCTGCAGCAGCTGTGATCTTCCAGCTTCGTTCGCCATGTGTAGGTTCGTTATTGGCCATTAATGCATTGGTATCAGATATTCGATTTTCCTTTTTTTAAATCACAGCCTTGTTAAACCTTTCCTGCACCAGCTCCTGTACAATTTGTTGAGGTTTAGATGTTTTGACAAATAAGGCTTCAGATCCCTCTCATAGCGGTCTGTCACACTGAGCTGTCCAGGTAATGCTGTACTGCTATTTGTTTTTCTGAATCATCCTTGGTAACTTTAGCCCCATTTCTCATTGCATGTTGCCAAGCAACCAGTAGGTGTGGCCAGAATCCCAGGATGAGAATCTCCACGGTTACCTGCCAATTTATCTGACATTGCCTCCAGGCCCTGGAGGAGGAGGAAGGCTGAAACTGTCAGAGGAACTCCTCTTCTTTAGACATGTTTACAGGCCATGCAATATATACCCACATAAGTCTTAATTAACCTATTTAGTACAAGGGTATCCGCGGAGCATCTCAGACTGCCAGTGTAATGCAATGCAATATCTAACCGCACAATTATAATTAACCTTTTCACTACACGGGTATTTGGGTAGCATCTCTAAAAGTGTAACATGTTGCTAGGTGAGACATTGTATGAATTACAGCAGGTGGAGCTAATATGAGCCTCTCCAATTGTTGGGTTTAAAATTCTTGCATTTTTCTGAGAATGACCGATATTGTCCAACAACTATGTCAGCTATTTGTGGGAGGCTACACAATGCTGTGATTAACTGTGTGAGCGTCAGAAACAATGAGTTGTAAAGTGTAGAAATACTTTCAAAGTTTGCAAAGAATGTATTTAACGCAATTGTGCTAAATCATTGTGTTAACCTTTGAGGAAATTTACCCATTGCATTTGTAATAATGTTAAAACATAATGAATTAAAATACAGTATGTGACAATCTAGTGAAATATTACAATTACATCTTAAGCTGATGCATCTGCAGTCATTTTTCAGACTGCCCAAACCAGGAAGTTATCACCCAGTCAGGATGCTGTAATGCTTTTAAATGCGATTTCAGCTACCTTGATACATTTTATATAAGTAATACCATTAGGAAAGCCCAGCTATAGAATGTAATGCTTTAATCGTGTCCTATTTTCACACATTTTTATATCTGAACTTCAGATTCTGAACACTAATTGAAGTGTGTTTCCAGCTGATACAAGGAGAGATCGGTTATAGTTGTAATACCTGTCGCTGCTGTAGAAGCAGAAAATTTGTCCTGGTTTGTCCTCCACTCTAAACTGCTGTCCTAATAGTTTAGAATCACAGCAAGATCTGTCTCTTTAGAGCAGTAGCAGCCCAATTTGATTCTAAGAGGAAGGCATTGTATTCAGCACAGATCCGAAGCTTTGTCATTGCTCTTACCTGTGTGATAATGACATATAATTAGGGTGGCTGGTTTTTAACAAAATATGTGCAGTGAGGTTTTGTCATTGGCAAAGAATGTTTCAAATCGCATCTATTAGGGCCATTCATTAAAAGGATTCATTGTCGAGAATTCAAATTGGATTTCAGACTTGAGGCCAAAATAGCCAAACTGGTAAAATCTTTAAAATTCGAGGCCAAATAGCTGGATCAAAATTCTCTTTCCCTGACAATGAACACTTGCTGTGATGCCCATTGGTGCTCCTGTGGTCCTACATATTCTATATCAGATAGAGGAGTTTGGGAAATGCAGCTGGCTTAACATATAACATTTTTAAAAAACTAAATGTGAAATGAGAGGTATGCTTTATCTATCAAGACATGTCAATCAGTGGTGTGCAAGGGTACATTACTTGTGGCATTATGGTTCCCACTGAGTTGAACATTATCTCGGGAGTTTTATTTATTGATGTTATATTATAAGCAGGCTCACAGGCAATGTACAGTTCAGTTAAATAAGTTATACAACCTAATAATATATAGAAGAACAAGGCAGCTGTACAAGAAATGCTATAAGTTGAGAAATATTATGGTTGAAAAACAACTGGCGTGTTTGTTTTCTTGAGAACATTTTGTGAATCCAGTTGAAAATTTTTTAACTTTAAAGGGACACTATAGGGTCCCAGACCACTTCAGCTCATTGGCGCTGGGCGTGATGGAGGGGGCAGTATTGCTAGGAAAACAACTTTATTTTCCTAGCACTATAGTTTCCCTTTAACAAAAAAGGTTTAATTTTTATCACCCGATTCACAAAATGTTCTAGTGCGAGTATGTTTCTGTCTGAATTCACTAAAGTGAATTACAAATGTAAGGTCAAACTAACTGAACTGGAAAAATTCTCTGTTGGCTATGCTTTCAGTTCGGCTACTTAAAGGGAACAGTCAGGCACCATAACAACTTAAGCGGAATAAAGTTGTTATGGTGCCAGGAGCATCCTGGAGCTGGCTTACCTTTAGGGGTTAATTCGTTCATGAACGAAACGGCTTGAGAAACATCTGTGTTTTTCTCAAGGCGCTTTTCATGAATATGAATCTGTCCGAGGCTTCTGTTTGAAGAATCTCAGAGAAGTTGAAAAAAACGTTTGTGAATATTTTAACCCTTGAAGGTAAGCCGGTGCCAGGTCAGATTGGTACCATAACAACTTAATTTTGATTAAGTTGTTATGGTACCTGGAGTGCTCCTTTTGAGGAACCACTCCATTGAATTTAACAATTTAGTAGATATACCCCCAATAATAAAATACTGTACATGTTTTCTGTGTGGGTATATAAAAAACAGTTTGCAAGAGCTGCAGACTGCCAGCCCTCCCTACTTTCAGTGTGTGCAGGAAATACTTCAATCACACGCATCTAAATCAGCGTCCTCTGTGCTGGAGCTGTGAGGGCAAAAAGGCACACAATTGTGTCTTTCCTGTGTATCTCGATCAGCTGTATTACAGCTAATTGAGAATGGGGTAAGGGTTTAACAGCCCAGTCTGGTTCGCCTCTTCTGTTAGCTGTGTGGGGCTTAAATACAAAAAGGGAGGTTTTCTTTGTGAAACACCTCCCCAGCTGTCAGAACACAAAGTTTTATACTTTTATAAACTGTCACAAATATGACCGACCCAAACTCATAAAGGACTACAGCAAGTTTGTGTCTGGAGTGTTCCTTTTGAAATTGTTTTTGAATTTACTTTGAATTCCCTCTTCAGTAAAAAGTGGGTTAACAACAGAGCTGAACATTTTGAGCAAAATAAGCAAGTTATTATAGTTTATACATATATTTCTTTTCAGGAAGTGTTTGGGAAGGCTGTGCAAGTTGCATGCAGGGGGTGTGTCTAGAGCTGAGTAAACGGTGATTCAATTCATAAATGGCAGATGATTAAAAAGTGAGGCTGCAAGGGCTTGATTTATAAACCAAAACTGCTTCATTATAGGTTCACTATAGGTTCAGGAAAACAAACTTTGTTTTCCTGACACTATCATCCTTAGGACCCCCCCACCCTCAGGGCCCCCCTCCCTTGGAGCTGAAGGGGTTAAAACCCCTAAAGCCACTTACCTTTATCCAGCGCTGGGCTCCCTCTACTCCCCCGCCGACATCAGCCCCCGAGTGGAGCGGAATGCACATGCGTGGCAAGAGCCGCACGCGCATTCAAACAGTCCATAGGAAAGCATTTCTCAATGCTTTCCTATGGACGTTTTGCAGGCTGGATGCGATTTTTCACAATCCGCGTTGCTGAAGCGCCTCTAACGGCTGTCAGGAAGTTCTCTGAAACTGCTTTGTTTACATCTGAAGGGTAAAAACCTGGGGGACCTGGCACCCAGACCACTTCATTGAGCTGAAGTGGTCTGGGTGACTATAGTGTCCCTTTAAACTAAAGTTGTTTTGGTGACTATAGTGTCCCTTTAGTTATGTTCCTCTTACATTTACTCATATGCTGGGCAAATTGCTAGAGAGAACCACCCTGGGATCCATAGCATCTTGTTCATTTCTGTCTGTGGATTGTCCACCTGTTTGGGGTCCCCACAAATATTTTATATATATATATTTTAATAGGTAATCAATCACAGGTCTTCTCTGGTAATATGTGACCAGGGTATAATAGCTGCTGGTTCTTTTTTTAATATTTGTCTGTTACATTGTAACCAAACTGACAGCTGCAAGACACTGAGTGAAGGGTAAGGTGTTTGGGTGGAGAGATGAGGGAACAACCACCATTGTATATTGGAGCAATAGTTAAAGGGATATGATAGGCATTAAAACAACTTTAGTTTAATAAAGCAGTTTTGGTGTATAGCTCATGCCTCTGCAGTCTCACTGATTAATACTCTGCCATTTAGAAGTTAAATCACTTTGTTTATACAGCCCTAGTCACACCTCCATGCATGTGACTTGCACCGCCTTCCGAAACACTTACTGAAAATGAACCTAGATATTCTAGCTTCCTATTTTGTGTCTAGAATTTCTAATCTCCAGCTCTGTTAATAGCTTGTTTAGGAAGGTTGTGTAAGTCGCATACAGGGAGGCATGACTAGGGCCCCATAAACAAATTGATTTAACTCTTAAATGGCAGAAAATTGGGCAGTGAGACCGCAGAGGCATGATCTATACACAAGAACCTGCTTCATTAAGCTAAAGTTGTTTTGGTGCTTATAGGGTCCCTTTAAGATATGTTAGTACTATACAGTGTATGTTGTTACATTGGAAAAGTCCATATTCTGTATTCTGACAGATTTCTGATCCCAGGGCAAAGGTATATAGTGCCGTACAATGTACTGTAAAGTAACTGTGCTGCAAAAACCACAACCTCTATGTTGATTTATAATGTGGATTTCATGTTTGTTTTGTATAGCTGTTATAGCTGGTATGTCTTTAATCCAGACATACTGTTCAGCCGCTAATATATATTTGTATATTGTTTCCTCAGGTATGCGGCCACAGACTGTGAATGGTCCCATGCACCCACGTCCGCTGGTTGCTCTGCTGGATGGAAGGGACTGCACAGTGGAGATGCCAATCCTGAAAGACCTAGCTACAGTGGCATTCTGCGATGCCCAGTCCACACAGGAGATCCACGAAAAGGTTAACTGAATGTGTAGCGCATGCAGCAGTTCTATTGAAATACTGCCCTGTTTGTTCAATTTCAGTTGGTATACTATGCTATAAACACCGAATAAACCAGCAAACGTTTTGGCAAAATAGCAGTTTTAAAAAAACTGCTAAATGACTAAAAAAATAAATTGTCTGTGTGTGTGTGCATATATATATATAGTTAATACATTGCTAAACACAAATACACACACCAGTCAAGCCATAAGACCTGCTTTTCCCACATAAATCTCACTTTAACCCCTTAAGGACACAGCTTCAAAAGCTTGTCTTACCCTTAAGGACAAAAGACATTTTTGCATTTTTTTGCTGTTTGTGTTCAAACGCAATTTGCATCTCTGTCATTTATTGCACCAACACATATTATATACCGTTTTTCAGAGGGCAAACAGGGCTTTAATTTTATGTCACATATACATAGATAGATTCTCATTAATTATATTAAAAAAAAAAAAGCCACAAAAAGGGGGAAAAAAACAAAAAACATTTTTTTTCACAGTTTTGGCAATAATAGCGTGTGCATAATATGTCCAGCTTAGAAAAAGTAATTCAAAACAAATTCATTTATGTGTCTTGATTTATAGAATACACAATATGTATAGGATTTCAGCTTATTTTGAAAGCTACAGGTCACTAAATACAAGGACTAAAATAAAATTTTAATGTGAAACAATTTTAGAAGTTGGTATGTTTGTCTTGTAGGTTTAGTAGCCACCACAGAAAACAAAATTGCCACACAAAAGTATATATTTATATAAAGTAGACATCACAGGCTATTTACCTAAGGTTAGTTTAACACTTTTTACGTAACATTTCATCGCCAATCTCTGCTAAATATTGGAGTAAAATTGTGTTTTTTCTTTATTTTTGGCATATACACATATAACAAATTGAACCTTAGCGTGAGATAATTCTTCTGCAAGCTTGTACCAAGTGTAGTGGTAATAAGCATTTTTTCTGCCTTTTTGACACACAAAGTGAGTTTGCGCAGTATATTTTGCAAATCTTATGTGTGCTACGACTGTATAATACTTCATATGTTGCTCAGCTATGTCGGCTGAGTACAGCAATACCCCCGTATGTACCTTTGCCAGGTATATGTGGATGTTGAAGGGGCACATTTGAGACGCAGCCATTCAGTTTTTCTAACTATGAAGTTTTACGCTGTGTCCATGTTCCATTTTAGAGTAGATTAGCTGGCTGGTTATTCAAACTTCCCCACAAACACGTACTATTTATTAAAGAATACACCACGGGGTAATTCAAAAGGCATATTGTGAACCGTAGCGTGGGATCATTTTTTCGCTAGTGTGTTCCAAATGTAGTGGTAATGAGCATTTTTTAATGTAGATTTTTACTTTGTAAAACTAGTTTTTAAACTTTTTTTTCCTTATTAAATGTTTTAAACTTTCTTAACTTTTTTTACACTTTTAAAATTTTTAGAAACTTTTCTTTTACCGTTAACCCCTAACTAGCAGTACGCAGCACTAACAGTAAATTCCCCACTTTCCCATAACTCCCACCCGCCCCAGCTAGGAAAATATATAATTATAAAATATTTAAATTAATTAATTAAATAAATTGAACCCCTGAGGGTTAAAAAAATAAATAAAAGTTAAACCTCAGGCATTAAAAAAAACTTGTGATACTGTGATCTGTATTTTGATCACTGTAGGCAGTGATCAACTGGCACGGAAGGGGTTAATTTTTATTTGGACTGGGTAAAGGGGGTGTGGTTTTTTTGTTTTTTTTTTACTTAAACGTTACTAAAACATTTTTTAAAAGCTTTTTTTAACTTTTTAAAGCTTATTTAAAAACTTTTTTAATGTTAACCCCTAGTTAGCCTAACACCAAATCCCCCAATTCCCCACTAACATCCACCCATCCCAGCTAGCTAAATATATAATTTTTTTAATATTTAAATTAATTAATAAAATTAATTTAACCCCTGAGGGTTAAAATAAAAATTAACCCTCTGGGGTTTAAAAAATAAAATAAAAAAATCAGATGACAGTAAAATGTAATCCCTGACAATTGATCGCTGTAGCCAGTGATCATTTGGCAGGGAAGGGGTTAATTTTATTAAAGCAGGGGAAAGCGGGGGGGTGGGATTTAACTTTTTTTTTTTTTTTACAGGGAGTAGAGGATCAGCACTGATCCGTCTCCCTGCACTTCACAGTGAACCCGGAAGCGCAGGGAGGTGGATCGTGAGTCCCTGCAGCACATGTGCTCGCTCTGACAGCCTGTCAGATCGATCACTGCTGCAGAGGCAGCGCGGTCCGGTGCTCCCAGTCTGCCTCCGATACCGAGGCAGACCGGGTGAGCGTTAACCCCGCGATGACGGCGATCTGGGGTTAACCTTAGTAAATGACAGAAATTTGCCATCAACTGTCCTTAACTGAAGGACAAGGTTGACGGAAAATTTCCATCTCCGGTCGGGAAGGGGTTAACAGTGCTCTCACTACTGCAAGGGATTCTGGGTAGGCGTATGCAAATGAGCTCAGCAAAGAACCACATTTTTGCCTCAATTCCACTTTATACATGGATTCCTGGGAGTATGTGTCTGCTGTATACAACAGCTTTGAAACACAACTCAGGAAGAGGAGCAGAGCCAGTGAACCACTCATGGACTGCTGTTTCATTGTTAATGCAACTCATCAGCATGAGTAAAAAAAGGTGGAGGGGGAGGCGGCGCTACAGGTAAAAAAAAAAAACCTGATTATGAACAATACAAGCACATATACAAGACACTACATAACAGAAAATACATACAAGATAAAAAATAAAAAATAAAAGAGTTTGAAATATAGATACTTTTGGGACTGCTGATTATCATTCATTAAGTCCAAAAGAGTCTATGCCTGATAAATACAGCAACAAGTCCAAATAAAACCTTGTATAAGAAGTCAATCACAATCTTGTCAGGGGAAGTATTCCTCAGCATGGGATATTCGTGAGATCCGTGTGATATTTGTGAGATCCGTATGAAAAAATAAAAAGACAGCAAATAATGGTGCAGTATAACCCAACAGGTATTAAGTACCATTTTGTAAGAGGTCTATATTATCCTACTCACGTTTTCCAGAGCTATAAGACAAGCTCTAGTGTGGATGGCATACAGTGGTACAATCCCCACTTATGGATACGTGAAGTTTTGTAGTAGATGGATATCTTGTTGGTATAATGACCATATGAAATATAAAAGAAACAATAATAGTGCTTATTGTATAAAAGCCAGAGGTGAAATAATACAATTCTAAGTGGTTACTCACATTTTATTGAGCAGGCAGACTGCCCAATTGATAAAGCTTGAGTGGTATAATCCCCACCAAGGATCCTTTGGAGTAAAATTCTCACTGGAACAATAAAATCTCTGGTGCCAAGTAAAAATAAAGGTATAGATAAATAAAAGAGTAAAATGGCTGACTCACAAGTTGAAAGTGGCCAAAATACCTTTAATAAAATACAGCAATTAAAATACCACAACGCGTTTCTCCCCTTAGGGCTTTCTCAAGTGGATAAAAACATTTACCTGACAACACTGGCTTTTTATAGGCCTCAGATTACTTGATTTTGGCGCCAAAATGACATCCTGGTCATGTGACCACTTATATTTTTTTAAATTAATTTTTTGGTATAACTTTATTATAGAATATGTTTCAGCCATATTAGGGAGGGCAATGAAACATATGTCAACCCTATTAGGGAGGGCAATGAGAGAAAGTGGAAGGAGGGAATAATTGAATAAAACATATATGTGACAAGTGCAAATATGGGTTACTCAGACCAGGGTTTTTTTAAGCATACATTTTAAAATATGATAGTAGAAAATTATAATAAATATAGATATAAAAAGGTCACAGTAAATTGCAAATATCAGAAAAAAATATATAAAGATTTAAAAGAGCATATGTACATATAGGATAAGAATAAAATAAAATAACATTAGTATACTTGTATCACATTATAAACAAAACATAATATGCAAATTTATAAAAAGATCAAAATCAACGTTTTAACCTTCAGGGGCAAGCATTTTTAACAGGAACACCCAATACATTTCTTTCTGACCCCAAAGTTTTTTTTTTTTTTTTTTTTTTAAAAACACCTCCCCTCCATGGTATTTTACATTTTGGAATTCCAATACATTTAGGATGTTTGGGTTTTTTATCATGTTTGCTCTGCCATCTAATTTTTAGGCATCTAGTGGTCATTCCTACATACTGGAGGCCACAAGGGCACTTCAGTAAGCATATGACATTTTATGTGTTTATATGTTACAACAGATTAGGTCTTTTATGGGATATGATGTGTGAGTATTATTAGAAGTAAAGTGCGTGGTTTTTGACTTGATTTGTGGATCCGTGGTTCTGCAAACTATGCATCTGTTACATTTAAAAAAAACAAAAAACTTTAGATTTAGTTAAAAAAATATGAATTAGTGGTAGAGGGATCTTTTGTATAATTTTTGGTAAGAATAGTTCTAAAATTAGGAGCTCCTCTAAAAATCACACTGAGTTTGTCTGGGATGAGCGTTTTAAGTATTTCATCCTGTTTTAAGATGTGCCAGTGTTTCTTGATGATTTTTTTCACTATGTGGCTTTTGCTGTTAAAGTTAAAAAAGATAGTGGATCTTTTTTTATTCTTTGTTTTATATTCTAAAAGATTCTTCCTGTCTTTTTGTTTTACAGTATTTAGTATTTTATTTGGGTTTTCTGGTGAATAATTTTTGCTGGTGAATTGTTCTTTGAGGGTTTTAGACTGTTCTTCAAAATCTTTATTGCGGGAGCAGTTCCTGCAAAGGCGCAGGAACGGACTCTTGGGGACCCCAACTAGCCAAGGCTGGTAATGGCAACTAGATTTGCATACGCCTACCCAGAATCCTTAGCAGTAGTGAGAGCACTGTTGAAGTAAGATTTCTGTGGGAAAAGCAAGTCCTATGGCTTGACTGATGTGTGTATTTTTGTTTAGCAATTTATTATACATGTATATATGTATTCTCCAATAACTTGCCAGATCAATTAGTAGACTTGTGTATTTGGTTTTGGATGACTCACGATTTGTCCTAAATCCCAAACTTTAAAGTTCCATCACAAAACAAACAAAACGGCCAATACATGAAATTTTGCCTTAGTTTCATGATTTGCAGAGTTAAAAAATATCAGCTATTTGTCTGTTGGTAGCACTAGCAGGCTAAATGTTATTAAAAAAAAAACTCTCGGTTGCAGGTTAATCGTGTAACAGCCGTCACATTAAAATGTATAAATATAAAATAAAGCTCTCTACCACCCCCATATTAGCATACGAAGGTATAAATTGTCTTTTATGCCCCTACTTGCCATGCAGCAGGAGGGTACATGTCTACTAAACGGTGAGCTAGTGGTCACTTCAATAAAAAATTAACAACTGGACAGCTATTACTACCCAGTTGCTAAGAGAGGCGGGATGGGGTCAATAAGCACCTAGCCACACCTACCCCCATGTCACCCTAATAATAGTGAGGGGTGGGCCAATAAAAGCTTTCCTATGTTGTGAAAGTCAGTGGATCAATCTAATTGGTTGCCAATTAATTACAGTTAGTTTGAGTAACAGGGCAGAGATAAAAATGTCTAAAATAAACACACTGTGCTGTCACATCAACAATTATGAAAAAAACAAAAGAAATAATAGTGCTGTACACTATGTACCGGTTGTATGTAGACGATTTTCATTGTCCCAGTATTTTGATTATGTGTACTGGTATTCAGTTCGTATAGGGGCTATTGCTGCCCCTATACAAACTGAATGGCCGTGAAGGCTGTTGGATTGCACTCTATTTTTGTAAATAGAGTTCTAACGTATACCATAAATTTTGATGGTCGGATGCAAGTGGTCGAGCAACTGAACTGGGCACCATTTGTTACCTGTGGGGAATAGTTGTATGTCGACAGGCGGTCCAATTTGATTTGTTTTGGATTGGTGTAGTGTCAGTACATAGTGGTCCCCTACTTTGTTTAGGTCTGCTATTTTGAGCATGTTGGTAGTATCTTTAGTTTTTTCTACTGTAAATTTATTAGGCAGTAAAAACCCATAGAAGGCCAAAAATATAGCGGTTTTGATGGTATTGTTTATTTCTGTTTCGAACGGCTGCGTGTACAACACATTGGATAATGCTCTGAACTTTTTATTGTCCATTGGTTGTCGTTTCATGGGTTTGTGACCTTCTAACCATAGGATGTCTTTTAAGATGTTCTTTATTCGGTTTGACGACATAAAGGTACTGTGACTGGGGTATGTGTTTATGAAGTGGTAGTGTATGCCTGTTAGATATAGTTTTATTGTATTATGTGTGTGTTTTAGATTTAGGTGGCAAAAAGAGGTAAATGCCACCATAGTATCTAATGTCAATGGGTTTTTGATTTGGTATTCGGTGATGAATCTGTTGGATATGATGAGAGCTCGGCCGTATGAACGTCTGGTGTTAGCTGAAAGTGCTGTTTGTGCCAGCATTCTCCCGTGCGGCATTAGTATTGCTACTCCAGGATGAGTTCTGGTCTGTTTGGGATTCACTTGGCTGTGGGATGCTCTTGGAAGAAAACCTGTAGGTTGGAACTAGAGGGCATCAGCTGCTGTGTTATGATTGCCTGGTATGTGTTGTGTTGCTGCCAACTACGTGAGTCTCCTGACGAGACCCATGATTGTCAGGGAAGAGGACCTGCCTTTGTTAATTATTTCATATGCCGCCGTGTTTTCTGTGTAGCATTGTATGGTCTTTCCCTTCCACTGGTGGCCCCACACTGCTGCCACTATCAGGTAGAGTTCAAACAGTGCAGAGGTTCTGTTGAATGATGGCAGAGTTACGATCTCTATTGGCCATATGTCTCTGAACCATTCATCACCGAAAATGGCTGCAAACCCTAAATGGGCTGCTGCGTTTGTCCACAACACCGGGGAGTTTTCTGTTAAAAGTGGGATAAACATGTTTACCCCATTCCAGTGCACCAATAATTGGCTCGACATGGTCAACTCTGCCCTAGCCTGTCCGTCCAGTGTGATTATACTGTCGTCGTGTGGTCGGTTTGGTAATAGACTAAGTAGTCTTGAAATAAACGCGCAAACCTTGTGGGATTATCTTCATGGCAAAGTAATGAGAACTCAGGAGAGATTGAATTGTTCATCAGAGGGACCACTTCTCGGAAAGACCTGCAACCTCTGCCTTGATTCTCTGAACTTTGTCACTGGGGTGACTAGCTTGCATCGGTACTGAGTCTAGGCATATCCCTAGAAACAGGCCCGGACTGGCCATCGGGCACACCGGGCAAATGCCCGGTGGGCCGCGATGGCTGTGGGGCCGAGGCCGGCAGGGAGATCACAGGATCTCCCCGGCCGGCCCCTGCAGGGCCAGCACTACCCGAGCGCCGGCCCCGCTGTGTGCCTCCGTGGGCCGGTGAGGAGATCCCCTCACCAGCCCAGAGGCACTGTTACAGGCGGCCGCTGGGTGGGGAGGGAGGGAGGCAGGCAGGAGAGAGGACCCGGCAGAGCTCTAACCAGCAGCTCCGCCGGGTCCTCTCGCGGGATTCTGAGCGTTGCCGCGGTTACCGCGGCAACGCTCAGCTCTCGCGAGAGTGAACTCTAACCTACAGGTTAGAGTTCACTCTCACCACTGGACCACCAGGGAAGGCAGCATGGTCCCTCCTCAAGGCAGAATGGCTACCCCCCCTCCCTCCTAGGCTAAAGGTAAGAAGGGAGGGGGAGGGGGGGACATAACTTTTATTTTTTAATAACTTTTTTTTTTAATTATTAATAAAAAAATTCCCTAACAGCCCCCTCACACACAGAGCACCCAAACACACCAGCACCCCCAGACACACAGCACCCAAACACACACAGCGCACCCAAACACACACAGCGCACCCAAACACACACAGCACCCCCAGACACACACCAGCACCCCCAGACACATATTTATACATATATACATATATATATATATACATATATATATACACACATATATATATACACACACATATATATACACACACATATATATATATATACACACATATATATATATATATATACACACATATATGCATACATACATATATACATACATATATACATACACACACATACATATATACACACACATATATATTATATATAAAATAACCCTCAGTGAGTTAACAGACAAAGAAAATTAGAAACCTAGAATGTGACGGCAGATAAAAACACTCACTCACAGCACCCCTCTTACACAAACACACTGCACACCTCACACATACAATACGTCCACACACACACTACAGCACCCCTCACACTGCACCACTACACACATTACGCTCCAGATACACGCTAGATCCCTTACCCATGCACTCTTAATCTTCTACACACACACACACTCTTCTATACACACTCTGGGTCCTTTACACACTAGATCTCTTACACACACACACACACTGCACCACCTACACACACACACTACATTCCTTGTAAGCAAACACATACAACATTTTCTAAACACACCCTCTCTACAACCCCTACACACACACTACTGCCCGTATGCACAAACTCGCTACATCCCCTATAACACTATGCCCCTATATACGCAATCTCTACAGCCCCTAGCCACACATAATACATCACAAAATTGACCTATTTACACAATACCACACCACACTCTACACAGGCAATCCCACAAGCTTTCCTGGCCCTTTTGTCCTCTGGTATCCCACTTGTGGAGACACCAAAGACAATTTAAAAGCAAACACAGCGCAAGAATGTTATTACATTTGCTTGCGCTGCACAGAACAAATTCAGGGCCTTTTTCTAATGCTAGAGCTCTTTAGCGGGGCTCTGTGCATTGAACCAACATGCTCACTTTCAGAAGGGGCGTACTTGTCATTAGTGATGACAAAAAACACCCTCTCTGGCCCCGCCCCCTTCTTGGGGGGCCGCTCTAATTGAAAAATGCCCGGGCCTAATTTTTTTCCCAGTCCGGCCCTGCCTAGAAACGTCAGTTTGGTGGTGGGGTCTACAGTTTTCTCAGCCGCTACCGGCACTTCTGACATGGAAAATAGCGCCACTGTCTTGGCTATACTCTGAGGCATGGTATTGGGGCCTTCTACTGTCAGAAAGTCGTCCAAGTACTGTACTACGACTGGACAATGGCTGACGTTTAGCAGGAGCCACAACAGTGGCTGCAAAAAGATTGAATAGTTTGGGGCTACTCTTGGCCCCGAAAGTTAACCGTCTGGCAAAATAAGAAAAAGACCATTCCATTTTATTCCATTAAATGCCACAGTGACGGATGTATTGGAAGCAGCTTGAAGGCATTGGAAATGTTGGTTTTGCCAAGCTACTATCCCCAGCCTTCAAGATTGCCTGTACGGCACTGTCTACCGTGGCTTATATTCCTCTATCTTTGCTGCTGAGGGAATAAAGAAAGAGTTATGCATAATACTCGCCTCCGTGTCTTTAATAGAATTATGACTTTACTTGATGATAATAGTAAAATCTGGGAATTGTAGGTTGTTACACTCGAGTGTGCCTTTTGGTAGAGTGATTAACCCTGTGTGGAACCCCTCCGTGAAACCCGTGAGTAGGAATTCTAGAAAATCCTGAAGGGTGAGAGCTAAGGTAAAAAGCCAACGTGTCGACCTGTACTTTGGTCAGTCATTTCCTGGGGAAGAGGCGGTTTGGGCACATGGACTTAGTGTGGGCTCGGTAACAGCTGGAGCAGACATGAAACAACCTGCTGAAACTGCAGCCTGCTGCGTTGAAGTTGTTGCATAGCTGTGCCTTGCCCCAAAACACAATTTAACCCTTTCTGTTCGACTCTACTTGTCCTAGGGTTGGTGTAGTTAGTGGTAGGTAAACTGAGACTTTGAAGAGCAAATTGCACAAGCCGGTGGTTCTAGCCCGGCAAAGTGACGACAGAACAATTCAGTGTACGTGTGACTCCAATCTATCCTAATGTTGAACTGCGCAAAGGTTGCTGCTGCCTTGGCTGAAAATGATTTGTTATCATCGTAAAAATTGGTACCACCGTACTTGTTCCCCAGATCTACTGACTTGTGCATGTACAAGTCCAGTTCCTCTCTACGTTGGGGAAAATTGAAGCATATTACGTCTCTATATAACCCGAAGGCTAGTACAAAGTCTGGTATGGACAACTTTTTACCTAACCTAGGATTTTTGGCTTTGAGCACCACTGACGGGTCACTGTAGTTGTACATCTTGTTTTCTACTACGTCTTGTGATACAATCAGTATTGATATGAGGTTTACGTCCTTTCCCTCCAATATGTCTTTCTTGATGTTGGGAGAGACCATATGTGGTGTGATGATATGTGTAGCGGAACCCTGTGAATTCTGTGTACCTGTGACATTACCCTGCAAGACAGTTTGGTCTATGATTTGTGTAGGAGGAATATCTGGGGGACACACGGTAGCTGGTGCTGGAGATTCCAACTTTTCCATTCTTTGAATTTATTGATGGATGCCAGCATGGCTACCATTGTGGTCTGAATCCCTGTAAGGCGGTCATTAATATTATTTTGAGTACTGGTCATAATAATTTTGTATAACTCTGCCTTCCTGGCAGTGGCAGTATAATGTACCCCTACACCTCAGATCTGCATCGATCTTTGGGATAGTCCATGGTCTTAAAGAACAGGGGCTTGATTTTTGCCTGATGTAGGGGTTGTAGTTGGAGTGGGTGGTCTAGCTGGCTTGCTGGGTAGGGAGAAGTCTTCTCCTTGGTCTGACACGTGAGACATGCTATAATTAAATTTAAACGTGAGACTTATCCCGAAATGGTTTTTTGTGACTTGCGTTAACTGGCGTCTCTTTAAATGCTAGGTGGCAAAGAACTTAACTACTTTTAAGATGGTGAGGTCCTGCTAATTGCCAAGTGGCTGATAGAGGTGCTGTCTATGATTTGGCCCTGTGCTGTGCCATTAAAACAAAGGCAGGGTGTAGGCCTGTGGAGAACTTGATAAGCGGTAAAAGGATAAGGAAAGTCCCGTTCTAAACCTCTTAGCATAGTGTTGCGAGACTATATCTACGATTTGGACCGATGGGCGAAAATACTTCTATGTGAGGATGGGTGTTGGTTTCGCGGAAACTTCCACAGTACCTTAACCTGTATACGGGGCCATTCCAGTACCCTAACTGCCAGTTAACGATGCTAGGGGTAGAAGGCATGAAGGAAATAGCATACATGTTAACTTTTTTGAAGGGCTCTTATCGCTTGACGGGATGTCTGATTTATTAGTATGTACCACCTGTTGATAACCAAGACTATGGTTGGTAACTTCAACATGAATGTGTGAGGATTTAATATTAGCTCAGAGTGATACATACCTGAGTAAACCGATTCTCCTCTTAAGGGGTTGTAAGTGTGGTTGGGCTACTTCTGGACCTAGCAGATTGAAGGATTGAAATGAAGCTTATGCTTAATTTTCGAGTGATTAGGTGTGATAGAAATATATGCTTGACTATGTACTTGGTAAGTAGATTGGTTTTTTTAACTTATGAAATTTCTATGAACTGTGTGCAAACGTTTGATGTTACCTTGTAATTGTCTTCCTGATCTGTTTGTGTGGTTACGTATGTTTGTTTTTTGACTAGAGTTATTGTATGACCTGATTGCACGTAATATGTCTTTTACGTTATAGAGCAAAGTATGCTTGTAACTGTAGGTCTATGTTGGTTTACATGAATGAATATATAGGTTGTTCTATTTAAAGTTGTTCTGTTAGTGTGGATAATTTACATGACTTTTTTAATTGTGTGTAGCTTACTCTAATGGCCATGTTATGTAGATGCCAGAAACAGGTATAATGGCGAATGCAACCTACTGGTCTGTATATTTGTGGTACAGATCGCGTATTCGGGTAGATGCGAGACTGGAATTTAACCGTTTCATGATATGTCAAGACTCTTTACCGGGGTTTTATCTAGTATTCTTTAAACTGACAATCTCTATGACGAAAGTATTAAACATTTAGACATTTGATGGGGCCACAAGGGAATTCTTCTTGGCGTTACCAGAAGCGACCAGACGACGTCAGTCCAGTGTGTAGGTAGGTTTGGGTTTTTATAGGCCTCATCAACCCATCCCACAACTCCAGGCTCTGCCTTCCCAAATAGATATAAACACAATATATATACAAACACTAACTTAGTACACACATTTTGGGGTAAAAAAAACAAACTGTACTGTATACAGAAAAATACGTTATTATGCATCGCTTGCAATATATGCTGTACCATTGTTTTCTTGCTGGGGTTAATGACCATTTGTGTTGCAGGTTTTGAATGAAGCAGTGGGTGCCATGATGTATCACACCATTACCCTGACACGTGAAGACCTGGAAAAGTTCAAATCTCTTCGGGTCATAGTGCGAATAGGCAGTGGATATGACAACATTGACATCAAGGCAGCTGGAGATATGGGTAAATAGTAGCTATAATTTGATCATTTCCATGCTAAGATTAGGGGTCCTCATACCTAAGGTGCGGGAACTGTTATACAGTTTTTACTGCATATGACAGGGGCATTTCAATTTTATTTTAAATAAATAAGTTTTAATTGTTTAACATGTGATTTTACTCTGCTTTTGCTGTGTTCTTTTTACTATTTAAAGGGAATTCTAAGTACCATAACCACTGCTACTCACTTTAGTGGTAACAATGTTATAAGTGTAAGGGCACTTGATTTGGAGGTAGGGGGAGATATTTGGATGACCTGAACCATCAACTGATCGAATGTCTGAGGTCCTAACCTAAATTAAATTTTTAGAAAAAGCGGTTTGGCCGAACCAAATTTTAGGCCATGCACAAGTCTAGTATATACTATAGGGGAGTGATGGCGAACATTTTTCAGCCAGAGTGCCCAAACCGCAACACAAACCAACTTTTTTTCCCTCAATGTGCCAACATGGCACAAACTCTCTACACACAAGCTCAGTGACACACACACACACACACACACAGACACAAGGTCACTACACACAAGCTCACTGACAAACATACACACAGACATACATACATACACACAGTGAGCATGTGTGTATGTATGTCTGTGTGTCACTGAGCATGTGTGTATGTATGTCTAACATATACACACAAGCTCAGTTCACTAGAACCCACACTGTAAAAAGTCAGTTCACTGGCACACATCTGACAGCAGAGTATAGCTTGTTGCTGCTTCCCAGGCTAATCCTTTTGGAGCTTGTGAATCCACTCGATAATAAGCTCTCCCTCGCGGCTCTGGCACTCAGTGATGACTCAGAGCGCATGCTGGGAATCTCCTTGGCTGTGCTCTGTCATCACGCAGTGCCGGAGCCCCGAGGGAGACCTTATTATAGAGTGGATCAAGAGGAGGTACCTAGCATCGCATATTGCCCACCGGGGAATACTTTTTATTAAATATATTGCACATCCAGCAATATATTTAATAAAAATAAATGGCACTTTTCTTTGGAGGTGGCAGTATCCCTGCCAAGGAGCGCTCAGGTGGCCACCACGCTCCCGCACAGCTCGCAAACACTATGATGGGCCCTGCACATGGATGGCAAAATACCGCCCCTGTTAAAGTGCCGCCTGGGGCCATGGCCCCACCTGCTCCTATGGACAGGCCGGCCCTGCAGGTCCCACAGAGAGGGCTCGGCGTGCCATAGGTTCGCCATCGCTGCTATAGGGTAATGGTCATGTTTTGTATAAAAGTTAAACCATGTTGGTTATAGTAGCAGTGTTTATTTGAAAAATAGCTGTTTACTTAACAGAAACTATTTCAATGAATTTACTTCCAAGCAACTAAAGAGTTGTATTTATTTTACTAAAAAAAATATAATTAAATTCTGTATTATTAATCTTATTTCTAGGCATTATATTCACTGGTATATACAGTCTTTTGCTAGAAGTCTCCTCAACAGCATCATACACTGATCAGTCTCTACAATTAAACCACCTGCCTAATATTGTGTAGGTCCCCTCGTACTGCCCAAACTGCTATGATGGCATGGACTCCATAAGCCCTCTAAAGGTGTCCTGTGGTATCTAGCACCAAGACATTAGCAGATCCATTAACTCCTGCAAATTGCAAGGTGGGGCCTCCATGGGTTGGAATAGTTGTTCCAAAACATCCAACAGATGCTCTGTTTGAGATCTGGTGAATTTGGAGGACAATGCACACCTTGAACTCTTTGTCATGGTCTTCAAATCATTTCTGAACAATTTTTGCCATGTGGCATGGTGCATTATCCTGCTGAAAGAGTCCAGGGTTATCAGTGAACACTATTGCCATTTAGGGGTGTACATGGTCTGCCACAATTTTGTAGGTAGTTGGTACGTGTCAAAGTAACATCCACATGAATGCCAGGACCCAAAATTTCCCAGAAAAACCTTGCCCAGAGCAATACTACTTCCGCCGGCCGGCCTACCTTCTTTCCATAATAGTGCAGCTTCCTGCCATCTCTTCCCCAGGTAGATGACGCACACACCCGGCCATCCACCTGATCTAAAAGAAAATGTGATTTATCAGACCAGGCAACTACCATTGCTCAATGGTTCAGTTCTGACTCCTACATCCCCACTGAATTCGCTTTGGTGGTGAATAGGGGGTCATCATGGGGGCTCTGATTTATCTGTGGCTACACAGCCCTATACACTGCAAACTGTGATGCTCTGTATGTTCTGACACTTGTGTTTTTTTAATCTATTATGGTCAGCATTAAGATTTTTAGCAATTTGAGCTACAGTAGCTCTTGTGTGATCGGACCAGATGGCTAGCCCATCAATTAGCCTTGGGTGCCCATGACCCTGATGCCCGTTTACCAGTTGCGCTTCCCTGCATCACTTTTGTTAGGTACTAACCACTGAATACCGGGAACACCCCACAAGACCACAAGCTGGTTTAGGGATTCTCTTAGTAAGTCATCTAGTCATCACTATTTGGCTCTTGTCAAAGTCACCAAGATGTTTTCGATTGCCTATTTTTCCTGCTTCCAGCACATTGCTGCCAAATTTATCTCACCCCTTGACAGTTGCCATTGTATCAATATAATATGATGTTTCTCACTTCACCTGTCGGTGGTTTTAACCCCTTAAGGACCGAGGACGGTTCAGGACCGTCATCGGCATTTTTGCCTTGAGGACCGATGACGGTCCTGAACCGTCCAAACGGTCTGGGGCTACTTACCTGATCGCCGTCGTTCCCCCGGCGGCGATCAGTGTTCCTCCGGTTGTGGGGAGACTGCCTGCAGCCCAGACAGTCTCCCCACGGCAGATTAGGACCCCTGTGGCCATGTGATCGCTTAACACAGCGATCACATGGTCACAATAGGTGTCCATAGTGCTGCCTGCAGGGGGACTGTCTGTGCTGACAGGCAGTCTCCCTGCATGTGTAAAATCAGAAAAAAAATTAAAGTTAATGGTAATAAAAAAATAATAATAATTATATATGTATAAATATGATATATAGACATATATTATATCTATATAATATATGTCTATATATCATATATATATAATGTCATACTAAGTGTATTTTTATATTAATATGTACTTATATTAATATAAAAATACACTTATAATTAAATTACACACGTATATATATAATATATATAATAACTATATATATTGTATATATATATATTATTATAAAATATAAATAATAAGTAATTTAAATTAAATAAAAAATAAAATAAAAATTAAAAAAATTATATAGCTATATGAAATTTTATTCTAACTGTATTTTAAAATTAATATATATATATTTATATCAAAATACACTTAGAATGAATTTGTATATATATCTATGTATATAAAAATAAATAAAAATAATAAGAAATATACATACGTCCATATACAAAATTACATAAATAATTATATAAATATACACGTAGACTTCAAATATATAAATATGCATATATATTTAAATTCTACGTGCGTATTTATGTAATATTTTTACATAATTCAGTAATTTTATTGATTGCAATTTGAGGGACCTGCCTGCCAACCCAGGCCGAAATTCCAGAGAATTTAATTGGCTAGCACTGTATTTTACCCTGTAACGTTCTACGACACCCTAAAACCTGTACATGGGGGGTACTGTTTTACTCGGGAGACTTAGCTGAACACAAATATTAGTGATTCACAACAGTAAAACATATCACAGCGATGATATTGTCAGTGAAAGTTACTTTTTTTGCATTTTTCACACACAAACAGCACTTTTACTGATGATATAATTGTTGTGATACGTTTTCCAGTTTTTAAACACTAATATTTGTGTTCAGCGATGTCTCCCGAGTAAAACAGTACCCCCCATGTACAGGTTTTATAGCATTTTTGAAAGTTACAAGGTCAAATATATGGGTCAAATATTTTTACATTGAAAATGGCCAGGTTGGTTACGTTGCCTTTGAGAGCGTATGGTAGCCCAGGAATGAGAATTACCCCCATGATGGCATACCATTTGCAAAAGAAGACAACCCAAGGTATTACAAATGGGGTATGTCCAGTCTTTTTTAGTAACCACTTGGTCACAAACACTGGCCAAAATTAGCGTTCAATTTAGTTTTTTTACTTTTTTCACACACAAACAAATATGAATGCTTACTTTGGCCAGTGTTTTCGACTAAGTGGCTACTAAAAAAGACTGGACATACCCCATATTGAATACCCTGGGTTGTCTACTTTAAAAAAAATATGTACATGTGGGGTGTTATTCAGAGATTTATGACAGATAATAGTGTTACAATGTCACTATTGATAAATTTTAAAATGTATGTTTTTAAACCGCAATATCCTACTTGTACCTATAGCCCTATAACATGCAAAAAAAAGCAAAAAAGCACGTAAACACTAGGTATTTTAAACTCAGGACAAAATTTTGAATCTATTTAGCAGTTTTTTTCATTCGCTTTTGTAGATGAGTAAAAGATTTTTCAAGTAAAAGTCAAAAACATGTATTTTTTTCAATTTTTCATCATATTTTTTTATTTTTTTTAAATTAAAATACATGAGATTATATAAATAATGGTATGTAAAGAAAGCCCATTTTGTCCTGAAAAAACAATATATAATTTGTATGGGAACAGTAAATGAGAAAGCGGAAAATTACAGCCAAACACAAACACCACAAAAGTGTAAAAATATTCCTGGTCGCAAATGTACAACATCGCAAAAACAGTCCAGTCCTTAAGGGGTTAATATTGTTGCTGATCAGTGTATAGTACACTGAGGTAGAATAATAGAAATATATCATGGAACAATCTGGATTTGCCTTTCAGAAAGTCACCCTTTGATTCAAGGTATCTTTTAACCATCCTAATCCTGTTTGTGTTTCTGCACAACTTTAAAGGGACACTATTTACCAAAAAGACTTAGGCTTAATGAAGCCGTTTTTGTTTATAGACCATGACGTTTCATTTCCCAGTTCATGCCTTTTGAAGCCTCACTGCTCAATTCACTGCAATTTAGGAGTTAAATCACTTTTGTTTTATTTATGCAGCCCTAGCCACACCTCCCTTGGCTGTAACTAACACAGTCTGCATGAAAACAAAGTGTTTTCATTTTCAGTCAGATGTAAAAGTTTTTATCTCCTGCTCTGTAAACTAAATTTTAAGTCACATACAGGAGCCTCCTTATTAATAGAGCAGGAGATAAGACATTTTAAATTAAACATAATTTACAATAAAGAAAGTGTAAACATTAGATGATTCTTTACAGGAAGTGTTTAGGAAGGCTGTGCAAGTCTCATGCAGGGGGGTGTGACTAGTGCTGCATAAACAGAGTAATTTAACTTCTAAATGGCAGAGAAATTAGCAGTTAGACTGCAGGGGCAGAATCTATACACCAAAACTGCTTCATTGAGCTAAAGTTGTTTTGGTGACTCCAGTGTCCATTTAACCATCAAACCAAGGCTCTCCTGCCACTAGAAACATGTTCCATGGTATGATCATTGTAGTTTCAACCATCTAACCTTTTCACTTCTTAATATATTAAAAATGTACCTTTAACACCATTGTAGTTACATTATAAGAAGCTGTTGCTTCTGCAGCTAGAGTATTACAGATACTCAATAGCACTTTGAATGTGAATGTGTTTTCTTCCAGGGGTGGCCGTGTGTAACATTCCTTCAGCAGCTGTGGAGGAGACAGCAGATTCAACTATTTGCCACATCCTTAATCTTTACCGAAGGAACACGTGGCTTTATCAGGCGCTGCGGGATGGGACACGGGTGCACAGTGTGGAGCAGATCAGGGAGGTGGCTTCAGGTGCAGCCCGGGTGCGTGGGGAGACCCTTGGCCTCCTAGGATTTGGTAAGTTTTATTTTTTTCTGCTAGAAAAAAAAAATCAAGTTATTTAACAAAACTGGATATTTTCAGAGATTTAACAGAATTATTTATTTTAGGCCCCATGTCAGCTACAAACATGCAGAGTTGTTCAATTAACGGAGTATTGTATAATGTACGCCAAAAGGGCTGAGATGTCCTAGGGTTCTTGATTTTGTGTTCTCTGCTCCCAGGACGTGTCGGTCAGGCGGTGGCTGTAAGAGCAAAGGTATTCGGATTCAACATTATCTTTTATGACCCGTACCTTCAGGACGGCACCGAGCGCTCACTAGGGGTGCAGAGAGTCTATACATTGCAGGACTTGCTCTACCAAAGTGACTGTGTTTCTCTGCACTGCAGCCTTAACGAGCATAACCACCACCTCATTAACGACTTCACAATCAAACAGGTAAATATGCCCAATATGCAGATTTGAAAACAAAATAAAATGTAATAAGTCATCTGAACTATGCGGATGTCAACATGAACAGACATGTCAATGTAGCCTTATTTATAGTTATATTTTGCTGGTCTATCACAGCCCTGGGGTATATTTTTATTACACAGAGACAGCACTGGTAACCTCACTATCTATTGCAGAACATAAATTAAATTTAGATTTTTGATTAGTCTAATGAATTTCCTACTGCAGCTTAAAAATTGTGTATATTGTTTAGCACTCTTCTTTTTCTATGCGAAAACAAAATAAATTGTCTACTTTACTACACCCGTTTTCTTAGCAGCAGCGGAGTATTGGGGGGAATTGTTGGACAGATGTCCCAATCAATAGGATCTATTAACTGACCTTGTCCCCACCAACAAGTACAAGTCACATGTTGTGGAAAATTTGATGGATCTGGCAGTATTGTAGACTATTGCTTTATCATATATGTCCAATTTTAGTCCCCGGTTTGATGCACAGGAATAAGATCAGTGACTTAGTTTGGTTGTAATTATCATTCCCAATAATTTGGAATTACATTCGAGCAGTCTGAGTTTTGCTTTCTTCTTATTTCATTCTAGATGAGACAAGGAGCCTTCCTGGTAAACACAGCAAGAGGCGGCCTTGTGGATGAGAAAGCACTAGCACAAGCTCTGAAGGAGGGCAGAATACGAGGAGCCGCTCTGGATGTGCATGAATCCGAACCTTTTCTGTGAGTTTTTTTTTTTTTTTTTTTTAACTGTTCTTAAATCACCTACCTAAGGACACTAAATATTAGGTCAACACAATTTAAAGAAATATCCAGACAACGTATGGTAAATACACTCTACAGTGACTATTTTACAACACATTGCCTATGTGCCATGTCTGCTTATACAAAAGGATAATTGGATCATTTGAAGGAATACTATAGTCACCACCCTAATGAAGTGGTTCTGGTGGCTATAGCATGTCCCTGCAGGCTTAGAAATGTAAATGCTGCCTTTTGAGAGAACAGGCAGTGTCTACAACGAATGACGGCTACTAGAGGTACTTTTTGATTTTGGTCCTGCAAAGGCTGCATCTCTATGGGGAGCGTGGCAGCTGCATTGATTCATTGTATTTTTAAGAAGAGATGAGTTTTGCTGCATGTGGGCCTCCCAATCCTTTTACTATAGGAAAGCAGTGCATTAGCTGAGCTCATCCAGATTAATTATCTCTGTGAAGTTGGGGCTGCCCACGGACTGAGCAGCCTGGCAATGGAGGAAAAGCTAGGTAAAGCTCATCTTATCATGCATGTGGCAAGGGGTAGGCACCTAAACAGGTCACTACTTGTATTCCTATACCTGATCAGTTTCTAAATAAAACTCCATTATTTTACCTAAGGTGGGTGACGTAAGACTTAATGTGTGCTGTGCAAACTGTGCTACAGTAGGAATTTAAGATTTGTTTTTAGACCCCAGGTTTTTTAAAACTTTATTTATTTATTTTAGCCAATGCCATAAGCCAAGATCTGAAACTCCAGGAACCAGACTCCTTAACCCCTTAAGGACACATGACATGTGTGACATGTCATGATTCCCTTTTATTCCAGAAGTTTGGTCCTTAAGGGGTTAAAATGTTTCTCATGGTTTTTAGCGATATACCGTTTCTGATGCTACTCTGTTATATTTTTCTTCTGTTATTGTTCATATTACTGTTTGTGCATAGTCCTACAACAGTATTACAAATTGGTGTAATGACAATGACTTTCTCATCTAATATATATGTACAGTAATTCGTCCAGACAAAAGCAGTCTTATATTGTTATCACACTCTGGGGGGGTGGGGGAGACATATTTTTCTACCTTCAGTATTCTAATTTAAGAACCATTGTTTAGCCAGTGTATGCACTAAATAGGTGTTTAGAAAGACTTTAATTACTCAGTACAATGTGTTGCTCCAATGCTTTGCAGGTTTGCTCAGGGTGCTCTGAAAGAAGCCCCAAATCTGATCTGCACCCCACACACTGCATGGTACAGCGAGCAGGCATCCCTGGAAATGAGGGAAGCTGCGGCCACTGAGATGCGTCGAGCTGTCACAGGTAAGAAGTATGCCGTCGATGATTATTTATAAATTGAACTACTGAGCTTCACTCTAAGAAGATCTCCTTTATTTGTAGGTCGCATTCCAGATAGTCTCAGAAACTGTGTGAACAAGGAATTTTTAGTGGCATCCGCCCAGTGGCCTACGCTGGAACAACAAGGAGCCAATGTAGAGCTTAATGGAGCCACCTACAGGTGAGAAGTTTAGTTATTAGACATCTTGACACCAAACTCGTCCGCCCTACATCATCATGTAGCACTGGTAGGCAACCTAACCTACACCTGTCCAATTATAAAGACAACTCTGATCCATGGGCTTGGTAGTACAGTCTCATGATCTGATCCCATTATTTTAATATTTATACAGTTTGGGACGTTCTGTCTCTGTACAATAAACACATTCAATCTTAGCTAATTTTTTTTTTTAATAAGAATCTTTTTCCCGATTCATACAGATCTGTGTGTGTCCAGCCATTGCAGGGAGAGAAGCGCTGAATATCAACTACAATCTGTAAGGAATCTAACTTTTCTTTTCCTCTTACATTCAGAAGTGTAATAATCACTTGCACCTTCATCCCAATGAACAGGGTTATTCACTAACATGAACTGTTGTGTATTTACCAGGAGACTGCAGTTTGTCAGTTAATTCCTAAAACTTCACAGCTTCGGGTTTATTCACTACCAAACCTTGTCTCTTACCACTACATTGTAGTATTAACATCTGAATTGCAAAAATGTAGGGAGGGAAGTGATGGTTTTGTATAACTTTGGAAATCTGCTGTAGTGACTGATATCAATATTCACTTTTTATACAAAAATAAACAAAAAACACCCAATGGGTTTTATTCAAGAAACATCAACCGCGGGGTAGAATTGTAAAAGTTAAGCGGTCACCATAAAACCCAATGGAATGTTCCAGTTTAAAACCTTGCTCCAGCATTGAACTGGTCCTCTCACTGGGATATTATATGTATTTTCTTGGTAGAGAAAGGGTTACACCCCTAGTCCACTTGACTTAGTTCCACACTGCCTAATCTCAATTCTGTGCATATTGTAGGTCTGTCTTCAGTGCACCTTTAAAGCTGGCCGACGTACTAATCTTCTCTCTTGCAGGCAGAGCTTTCCCCCCCCCCTCCATTGTTTTATAATGATATAATTCTCTTCTTTCCCTCCCCCCCCCTTGCCCGCTCAGATTGGGTGCTTGTAGTCTGAGCTGGCAAAACAATCCAATCACAGGCTTCTCTGTGAGTAGGGCCCTGCAAGGCCAATATTTCCAAAATAGAAGTAAATTGTTGCCATAGGAATTTAGCTGGGCTAGTCAGAGCAGGGGCTCACTGTCCTCTAAAGTTCCTTTGATCATGGATTATTGGGAGGGCATACGAAAAAGCTAATTACCAGTACTCTCTTAAATCAGGCGCAACCTTTCTTTTTAAGAGTGCAGCTAATCCTATTAGTGACCTAATGGAGCCAAAATTAAACATATATCCCCACTTAGTGGTTTCTTACCTTGATAGCCTCTCTTTCATTTTCTTTTACTCCTGAAATAAAATCAGTTGCAGCCTAACATGGAGCCATAGAAACTTGATTGGTGGTGTTCAGTTTAATATGTCTTTATACCTAGTGCATAATTAGGTAGCAAATTTCTAAGGGAAAACTAGTTTTTTTGGGTAAGTGGATGCTTACCAATAATCCTGCGGTTGCAACTGGGTCTGGAAGAATGATCAGAATATGGTACCAGACGTCCCTACAGTGCTTGTGCGTAAAACCTAACTGCATAGAAGAAATGGGCAAAGTTAGAATTTGAGGTTTCATTTAATTTTGCTAAAAAAAAATATTGCATTATGCTAATTTTAGACTTGCAGGTTAAGTGTTTTGTAACTTTTTCCCAACTCACTATGGATATATCTGTCATGCAGTGCTTGTACAAACTTGGGATTTGACACTTCATATTGTTAGACAATACATGAAGTGTGCTGCCCTGCATATACCATGTGAGGCAAATCTGTTGATTAATCAACGGTGGATCATATATTAAACTGATTTTCCTCCTGCATCATACAAATATTGCTAACACCTACCCACCCCAACATGAAATAATCTGACCTTTGACACCAAAGGCTTTACGTGATGTCAGCCATGTTGGTCAGATACCAGTGGAATGACATGAGTAATTTTTCTCCATTCCTCTTTAAAAGGATATTTTCTGTAGCCTAGATATTGGCTTGAGTTTTTTTTTCTCTCCAAAATTCCCTTCCTAATTGCCTAAGCTCCAACCCTTTCTTAAAGGAACACTGTAGTCCCTGCCAAAAATGTTTAGCTTACATATGTGGTTTTGGTGTATAGATCATACCCTTACAGTTTCACTGCTCTCTTCTCTGCCATTTAGGTGTTAAAAGACTTCTATTTCTGTCCATGCAGCCCTAGCCCCACCTCTCACGGCCTGCATGAAAAATTGTTTCTAAAGTGAACATGAGATTAAAAATTCAGTTTTTAACTCCTGCTCTGTAAATTGAACATTTATCACACACAGAAGGCTCCTGCAAGGTCTACAAATTCTAAACTGTGCAGAATAGAATACATTAAGTGTAAACATTAGATGACTCTTTGCAGGAAGTGTGTAGGAAGAGTGTGTGAGTCACATGAAGGAAGAGTGTGACTAGGACTATATAACCAGTGATGTAACTCTTAAATGGCAGAGAATTTAGCAGTGATGCTGTAAGGACATGATCCATACACACAAACAGCTTTGTTAAGCAAAGTTGTTTTGGTGACTATAGTGTACCTTTAACTAAACAAGTTAATGCAGCTAAGCTCATCCCTCCTTTTAGCCCAACACACTTTTCTTTAGTTAGTGCTTTTCAGAAAAGCACATAAGTAAATGTGTTTGAGGTACAATATAATTAATATTATGAACATTTAGTCATAATACCCCAAACACTGTAGAAATCTAAAAATGTATATATTTTTATATTAAAATTACATCCTGTGTCTTTCACAAAACTATTAAAATAAAATACAATAGTGTGTCTGCGTGACAGCCACCAGTGGCGCTCCTGCTGTGAGAACCTAGTCAAACTCACAGCGCACGTCCATTTCATTGGAGAATAGTAGCACTGGCCACCCACTAAGCCATACCCTTTATTCCAGTTTTTTTAGATTTACGAAGGCCCTGAATCTAAATTAAAATAGGACAATAGTGTTCCTTGAAACTGAACATAAAGAATTTAGTGAATAACCATCTTTCCCCACCATAGAGAAATAGAGTGAGTGTTTTCTATAAGCCCCCGGTACCTCAGCAGTCATTCAAAGCATTACGATCACATCACTCTGCTACCAGTCAGTGCATATTGCTGCAGTTACAACAGCACATACCCTGGACAGGGGTGCACAAAAGTCCAGTCTCACTCAAACACCAGTCCAATAGAAAAATCAATAAATACTAACATGCCCTCCCATTGCTTATTGCCAGACTGTCTCACTTACACTCGCATGATTCTTCTAGCAAAAGTCCAGTACAAACAGACCCTGGCATGTACTAGATAGAGTGAAACAGGATGTGAAAGCAGTCAGTAATACAGTGTGTGACACTGGCCCTTGTATGCCACATCAGCACAGTTTCTTTCAGTACATGCTAGATACCTAAAACAGAATGAGCACAATGGCATGGGGCAGCCACAAGGAGGCTCATGAGTGAACAGTCCAGCAATAATCAATTTGCACAGCGGTCAGCAAGACAAGCATCTCAGAGGAAATATACCTGCAATTTTAGCTTCCAGTCAATTTGTGAATCACTCTGTAAATGTAAAAAACGCCTAAATTTTAACAAAGTGCCAGCAGTCAGGGAGACCATGAGTTGCAGATTGAACTGAGCATAACTCTCCTTCCCCTGCACCCCATGGAGTAGTTGCCGTAGGAGTTATTATGCAAAGCCCCCAGACAGTGATGGTGCAGCTTAACAATAGCTGCTTTTAGAAGTGGTTACAGTGGCTGGAATCTGTACATGCAGTGTTTCTGCTTGAGACCCTGCACATTCACATATATTTGTACTTTTACGCAAAGGTGATAACTACACCCTGACTTTTTTTTTTATTTATTTATTTATTTATTTATTTTTTACACACACACACACACACAATATTCAGGGTTGTTATTTTTTATAAATCCCCCTCACACCGTCTTCTCCAACTCAGTGTGCACATACGCTTGAAGGGAAAATACATTTTAAATTTTTTTTTAAAAAAGTAATAAAAATGGCCCCTATAATATGCATGTAAAAACAAAACCATAAAAACTTCTTTAGACCTCAACACTATGAAGATTCTACTCTGCAACTAACTAGTTATAGAAAGTTATGGTATAGAGAAAGGTATTAACCACTCTAGACACCATAACCAGTACTAGATTTGTAGTGGTGTTTTTTGTTTTTTTTCGTTATCACCCAATTTTCTGTTGAGCGATTTGCCAAATCAAAAACCACCTCAAGTTCTGCCGAGATAATGCAAGAGAGGAATTTCTGCATTATCAGTACATCATCCAGTCTTTGACAGCTACGCTCCTAAAGCCAAAATCATTGTCTGCTTCTGTCATCTCTTCAGTGTCAAAGATCCTATCTTTGCCTCAAACTAGGTCAATCATCGCACCAACACTCTCCTAAATACCGTGGGACTGTAGCAAAACACTACTATTCCGGTGATGTATAAAATGATTCCAACTGCAGTTCCAGTCTTTCTATTTATGGGTGGAACTTATCTATATACCATAAATCCTGCATAGGAGTTTATGGGATAAGATCGGATCCTACAGACCAGAATAAGAGGCTCCTGCTGGACTCAGCGAGTTCCTGGTAAAGGAGGAATCTGTTGCTGGCAGATTTAGGTACTTTATAGGGACTATAGTCACCAGAACAACTACAGCTCAATGTCGTGTGTCTGATGTCTACATTAAAAGGCCTGCAGGCACAGGTTGTAAACCAGTGGTAGTCAACCTTTTTCTACCTACCGCCCACTAATGCATCTTTCTTGATGGAAAAATGTCCTTACCGCCAACCAGTTTCCGCGCCAGTGCAGAATATTTTTTTAGAAAGGACGGTGTTTTAAAAAAAAAAAAAAAAAGTACGTACATTTATCTTTTTATTTCTACTTAATGCAAGTTTATAATGTTTAACTTTGTTTTCTCATTAAACTTTATAAAGTAAATTGAAATTACCTTTACTAGTGATTAATGAGATCCTTGAGGTTGATGCTGCAAGACTAAATATTTGATATCTGGTTCGATTTGCGTAAGGAACAAACAAAGGTCTCCTCTTTCGGTGATATTCAGACGACTTCTCTGTTTGCACATAATATGATTTCTCATCTGTGCGTCAGCTCCCCTCCTCAATTCCCCTACCCACCTTTTTTTTTTCCCTTCCTTTTTTCAAAGACACACACACAAAGACACACACAAAATATTTTAGTCACCCTCCTGTTTCCTACCTTTTAGGTGCAGGAGGGTGACATTCCCTGGGGTCCAGTGGTGATTCAGGTGGATGGGAGTCAAGAGTTCCTACTCTGACTCTCTTCTTCCGCCCGCACGGTCTGTAGGTTAGCTGGGAGGAGTGACGTGCAGTCACTTCCTCCCAGCTCTGTGATGTAATCACAGGGGGCCCGGTTGTGCTTTTAAAGCACCCAGCGCTGACCTGGCCCCCTTACAATCCACATCTATCGGGTGGCCCTGACAGCGTGGGCCACCCGATGGACCCCTTGGACGGCGGCCCCGGTTTGCCAAGCGGGCCGCAAATGGAGATGGCGGTACCCGGTCGCATGGGTACTGCTGGCAAGCACCCGCCAGCACACCCAATCTCACAATGAGGAAATCCCTACCAGAATCCTGAAACGCCCACTAGTGGGCGGTAGGGACCAGGTTGATGACCCATGTTGTAAACACTGCCTTTTCATAGAAAAGGCAGTGCTTACATTACTGCCTAGTAACACCTCTAGTGGCAGTCACTCAGACTCCTACAATTATTTTCTATGAAAAGATGCTGATTTGCACAGTGTGGCGTTTTGCCATGCATGTGCAACAGCCTCACACTGCTTTCCTATGGCAAAGCATTGAAGTGGCTGAGATAGTCAAATATGATTACCTCAGCCAAGTGAGTGGGGTCAACGACAAGACTGGAGCAGCACTGAAAATAAGGCGGGTTAACTCAAATTATTAATGGGAGCAAGAAATGTAAACAGCACTTTTAGAACTATAGTGGCATGATTACAAGTGTTCCTCTAACCCTTTAAAGAGGGAGGCTATTGGACAAGTTCTGAACCAAAACAAAACCTAGAATTTAAACTGTCTATTCAACCATAATTTGCCTCTTTCATATTAACTCACACTTGTTACATAATTTGTTTAGGAGAAATGGGGCTTCTATATCAAATATTTATTTTTTTAAATTTTAAATGAATACATTCCAAAGTGTGAGAAATTAAGAAATCAATTTTCAATAAAATAGCAATAAAAATAACATTTGAATGCTATGATGACCCATGAGTACAAGAGTACCCCCATGTCCAGGTTTCAGTGTTTTGTAAAGTTATGGGTTCAAAGAGCGCTTGCCCATTTCAGTTTTTAGACATTGAAATTTGCCAGATTGGTTTGCTGGGCCTTTGAGACTGTATGGCAGCCCAGGAATAAAAATTACCCCCGTCATGGCATACCATCTGCAAAAGTAGACAACCAAGGCTATTCAAAAATAGATATGTCCACTTTATCACATCCTGGCCAAAGTTAGTGTTCATTTTGTTTATTTTTTGCATTTTTCACACACAAAAAAACATCATACATTTTACTCACTTGGAGTATTGTACGCAGTACTGGAGACCGTATCTTCAGAAGGATATTGATACTTTAGAGAGAGTTCAGAGAAGGGCTACTAAACTGGTTCATGGATTGCAGGATACAACTTACCAGGAAAAGTTAAAGGATCTTAACATGTATAGCTTGGAGGAAAGACGAGACAGGGGGGGATACGATAGAAACATTTAAATACATAAAGGGAATCAACACAGTAAAGGAGGAGACTATATATAAAATAATAAAAACTACCACAACAAGGTGGAGAGTCTTAAATTAGAGGGACAAAGGTTTAAATAGAATTTCAGAAAGTATTATTTTACAGAGAGGGTAGTGGACGCATAGAATAGCCTTCCAGCTTAAGTGGTAGAGGTTAAAGGGATCCTATAGTGCCAGGAAAACAAACCCGTTTTCTTGGCATGGCTCCTAGAGTGCCCCCCCCTTACCGGAACCCAGCGCCGATGTCCCTCAGCGCTGGGTTAGGCTCCGTCCGCATTAGACCTCCCCATAGGGAAAGCTTTATTTAATGCTTTCCTATGGGGAAAATCTTATGCTGGAAGTCCGCCGAGGGCAGACTTAGAGCTGCAATGTAACCATTGCAGTTCTCTGGAACTGCAATGTTTTACATTGCAGTACTAGGTGCAAAAGGGGGCACAGCACCCAGACTACCTCAATTAGCTGAAGTGGTCTGGGTGCCTACAGTGTCCCTTTAACACAGTGAGGGAGTTTATGCATGTATAAGGCTATCCTAGCTATAAGATAAGGCCAGGGACTAATGAAAGTCTTTAGAAAATTGGACAGACTAGATAAGAATTCGGCCTGCTGTCACATTCTATGTTTACTGCTCTAAAACGCTAATTTCTGTTGCGCGATGTCTCCTGAGTACAACAGTACCCCTCCATATACAGGTTTTATGGTGCTTTGGAAACTTACATGGTTAAATTTAGGGCCTGCAAATTAACTTCTCTGAGCATTCAGCTAGGCAGGTCCCCCGATAAATAATTAAAATCACCTAATTATGTAAAAATTATACATATACACATACACTTATAATTAAATATATATATATTCTAAATGTGTTTAACAATTACGTGATTTTATATATGGATCTGCCTGACATCTAAAGGCAATCTGTCAAACCAGCCGGTCTGAGTCACGTGATTGCTGTATCATCACAATCACATGACTCAGATACACAGGAAGGGCTGCCACCCTAATGGGGCATTCTTCAAAAACAAGACTTTAATAACATCATCAGAAAGGGAAACTAACTTCCCAGGAAATTCCGTTTACATACCACTATATTTAACAAAATACATATTTGTGACATGTGAAAATTAAAATTTAGAAATCCACACCTCTTTATCCTGAAATCTTGGCTCCCTGTCAATCATTATTATAGCTTTTTACCCTTTGACTGACAGCTTTGTCTATGCAGACTGGCAGGTGCTGTCATGAGAAAATTTATTGAAAGTGCATTTGATACCAGAAAAAAAAGCAGGCCTTCTACACTTCATGCCTTCACTTATTTGGAAGGACACTTTTAAATACAATTTATTTGCAGATAGGTTTAGGAACCTGGATCCACGGTCCAGGTTATAAGGGACAGCAATTTTAAAAAAGAAATTTAAATCCCTGTTTAGTAACTTGTGTTTCAGCATGGTATTTAGTGGATATAACACCAATGAAAACAGACGCCTTAACTATGCATTTTTTCTCATTGGGTGTAGAACTAAAATCAGTTTGTAAAAACTGGCCTTTGCAAGCCCTCTCCTTTCCCAGCCCAGACTTTCTGTGACTGCCCACAATGAGCTGCATTGGGAAGTCAGTGATTGAAGTCTTTGTCAGCTAAAGTGCTCTTGGTTTTTGGAGTCTTTCTTTAAGCATAAAACCAGAAAAGGTTGTCCAATGTGCCTTCCATTCCCAATAGCTATCCATTATGTAACTTGATCAAGACAAGCACTTTGTCCAGTTGTGGTTACCACATAATGACAAGTTAATATGTATCCTCCCCCCCTTAATTTGTGTGCATTTGCTACTTGCTCATCACTACTTAACGGAATACTGTAGTGCCAGGATACAAAGCTGTATTCCTGGTACTACCAATCCCTCTGCCTCTCACAACCCCCCTCCCAGGTAAAAAAAGGTTTAAAAACTCTCTGCCCCCTCCTCCTGTCACGCAAATGCTGCGCGTGCATTAGACCTCCCCATAGAAAACCATTGAATCGTGAGGCCCTCCAGCATCAGATAACTGACCAAAAGTCAGTTTGGATTCCGGAAGCGCCCCCTAGTACATTGCAGCACTAGGTGCAAAAGGGACATTAAACCCAGACCACGTCAATGAGCTGAAGTGGTCTGGGTGCCTACAGTATTCCTTTAAGGTTTGCACAAAACTTTTTGTTCAAGCATAAAACATATCTAGCATAGGTTACTAGCCTGCTTTTTCCCTCTTCACTCTGGCTACAAAACAAACTAAGCGCTGAAGCAAACTTTTCTCCATGAAAATATGTCTGCACTTTCAGAATCCCTATATTACAGATCTGGAATACTAAAACATATTTAGCCCTGTACGCAAACTGCTTCTTCATAACCGCAACCTGTTCAACAAACAAAACACCATGTTTCTTCTCTTGCCAGAGATTGCCACGTCAGTGGTGAAATATGCTGCATCTATAGTATGACGAAGTGTTACTGCACAATGGCGATGGCAGGGCAAAATGCCAACATAAAGGCTGAAAGGGTTAACTGGTTTAAGGTTTAGACTCTGCATTATTTTTCAGATGTGAGAAATTCCAGTCCAAGAGTTGTGAGGGGAAATATATATATTTATTTCCCCTCAACTCTTGGACTGGAATATATATATATCTATCTCCACAGCCGGGGTGAGTCTAGGAACACGTGTGCAGCATAACCTAGACTAGGGTATCTCTTTTCACAGTTTTATTATCAACCTATATCGGACAGAGCCCGACATTATTGCATGCCCAAAATCTATGAAATGAGCATAAATGGTGTTGGTGCCCTTTAATGATTTTGTTCTTCATTTTTGGCATGTTTTGAATATTTTCCCTCCCAATTGAATCTAAACTGCAATTATGGCTACTCCTACAGCACAAGTTTTCCCCATATGAAGTATGGATTACCACACTTTAGAAATATCCAACCCCCCGCAATAAAGCTTGTTCAGAGGGAAACTATCGGAGCCATTCAGCCCTATCCTCACAAGTAATTCCTAGCAGACCTGTGCTCAAATGCCTTTCATCTGGTACAAAACAAATCAAATTCCTCTTAAAATACAACCCAAATTAATCTGTCAGATTTACCTGTGGAGCCTCTTTCAACAAATGTAGATTTAAAAAAAAAAAAAATTAAAAAAAATTTGATTAATTCGTACACAAATAATTTAACCCCTTAAAGGACCAAACTTCTGGAATAAAAGGGAATCATGACATGTCACATGTAATGTGTCCTTAAGGGGTTAAGTCAGTTTTCATTAGATAACCGTTCAGAAGTATATACTGATCAGATTATAGTTTGGCGTCTTGTAGGTTATTTTCTGCGTTTCATTAATTCTGGTACATTTCTAAATACAAGCACATCACCATTTTAGATCATTATAAAATACATTACTCAATCTCATCCACTGTTCACCCACCTTAACAGAGTTCGTTCTTGGTAGACGTTTCCAGTCAGTGAAGATTCCAAAACAAACCAAGGCTTTGCCTTACAATTTCATTCATGTCTGTGCTTCAGATTATTTGCACAAACAAAATGTTTTATGGTGAGTGTTTCCCTTAAGAATACAACCTCAGCCTGTAGATTACACTGAAAACTATTTCAGACTCATTGAATGCTATCTGCATTGTAGGCTTATTAGATATTCAGGGGCACATAGTTCCCTAAAGTATTTTTTTTGCCTCAAGGGACACTACAGAAACCAACACAACTTTAGCTTAACTAAGCAGTTTTGGTGTATAGATCCTGCATCTCACTGCTAAATTCTGAGATTTAGGGTTTAACCCCTTAAGGACCAAAATTCTGGAATAAAAGGGAATCATGACATCACTGCTTCTACAGTTGTAGTCACACCTACATGCATATGACAAACAGCCGTCCTAAACACTTCCTGAAAAGAGACCAAATGTTTAAATAATGTGCAGTAAATGTAGCTTAAATTTAGAATGTCTTATCTGCTGCTGTTACTAGCCTTCTAGTGCCTCCTGTCTGTGGTTAAAGGGACTCTCCAGTGCTAGGAAAGCAGTTTTCCTGGCACTGCAGGACCCTATAATGCCCCTCTCCCTCACATAGCACGAGGACGTCCAGCATCGTTTAAAACACTTTTTGTGTTCTAAGAACACAGAAGTCCCTCTAGTGGCTGTCTGATAGACTGCCACTAGAGGAGGACTTAACCCTGCAAGGTAATTATAGCAGTTTATAAAAACTGCAATAATTACACTTTCAGGGTTAAGGGTGATGGGCGGAAGTGGTCTGGGTGCCTGGCGTTTCCCTTTAAAGTTCAGTCCACAAAACAGGAGTTAAATGTCTAAAGTTAGCGGATTAAAATGAAACCATTTTTTCCATGAAGTCAGTGTGAGTGACAGCCAGGGTAGGTGTGGCTAGGGCTGCATGGACAGAAACAAAAGTAATTTCACGTTTAAATGGCAGAGAATTGAGTAGTGATACTGCAGGGGAATGATCTATACACACAAAACTTCATTAAGCTAAAGTGGTTTTGATGCTTATAATATCCCTTTAAGTTTCTTTCGAAATTGGCACTTTTATAAAATAATCATCACTTTCTAAATCCCCTTAGTAACAACTCCCAGCTGTCAAGCAGATAGCCGTGAGGGTTTCCTTCTTTGCTCACCTTTAACTGCAGTTCAAAGTGGAAGTCATGTGGTCTCAGTGCCTCTGTATGACAGGCATTGTTGGTGGATTTTGGAGACTGTGTCCCAATGCTTTTCTATGAGATGCAGCTGAGCGAACTCATCACAGATTGTGCATTAGAGCTGCAGCAGTGAGAGTCTCTCCCAGAGCTGGAATAAAGAGGAGTTTATTTTTAACCCATTTCAATGCCAAAATGGGGAACCCAGTAATCTAAACACTCCAACCCTTTCATAGGCACCATTCCATTCAAGCATTTGACCTACATACATTCAAGGCTAGCACAGGACTTGCACCATCATCCTGTATTTTTCATTAACATAAATACAAAATGTATGTCAAAGGAAAATACAGTAATATATATTTATATTTTAGTGTTCCTTTAACTGCGCAGATGCTGGATCACTGCCCAAAAAGTGATTAAAGCACATTAATATGAGTTATTTCCACTTCCCCAACTCATCCCATTGTTTCAATAGTGTTTCCTAAGCTATAGGATTGGATCATTTTCTCTCCCAGTAAAGAGACAGTTCCTCTTTTAAGGCGTCACTTCATTACCACAGAAATCTTTGGTTCTCATCAGTATTTCTCACAGAAATTGCAGCAGAACTTTGTGTGACATTGTAGATTCACTGAGTGAGTCTGGTTATAGTATTCTAGCACTACTTAAAGTACTCCATCTAATTGATAACATTCTTTCTTCCATCAGCAGATTCCCCACTGGTGTCCATCACATCAGCCAGCAAACCCACCGTCTGAGCAGAGATATTTCCACTTTCCATAACCTTCCCCGGGGAACCTGCCTGACCAGCAATTAACAATGAGTGCTGCACTTAAACAATAGAAGGAAGAAAATAAAAATGAAAGGCAATGAAAAGGCATTTGAAAGTGGATGTGCGTGCTCAACCTTGGACAAAAAGTAAAGCTGATTAAACCAGCCGTGAAAACAGATATTTACACGTCATGAAGAATGCAAAACCACCTTTAGTTTAGGTCTGGTTGGTTGACACTTCTGCAAATACAAGCACATTTCCCAGAGCCGGGGCTCACCATCATTCTAACATGGACCTGTGAGATTACCATAAAGAAACCTCATTAATGGGGGAAGGGCAACCCAATAAATTATGATCTCATGGCAAGTAAAAATGATTCTGGTTGCTTGTGAAAACATGGATCATACTAGAACATTTGCCTGTTCATTATTAAAAGCTCTGTCATTCTATCTTCCAGTGGAAAAGAAAATTGTTATATTTCATCTTACTTGTCCTCTACCTTGTAAACAGATGGCGTAGGGATACTTAATGTGTTTGTCTGTCCAGTCCAAATGGCTCAGGAAAATCTGACTAGGTACATAACTGTATTTTGTAATGATGAATTCCACCTTTTTAAAATCTTAAATTTATCTTAAATCCATGTAGAATGACCATAGTCTTGCACTTCTATTTTCTTGTTTTTGTGTTCTGAACTTGGTTTTATTTGATGAAATGGACAATATATTTGGGCATGAGAAAGACTGTTCCAGACACTTTGAAGTGAAATATACTATAATTAAAAGAAAACAAAAAAGTGGCATTGTTAACAAATCTAGCCCCTGACTTGCTTCCTGAGCGGTCGCATTTGAACATTGATAGTTTTAGATGTAAACAGTTTCATTTAAGTTTGTCTTTACTGCCTTGAAAGATTAAAAACAAAACCCCCCAAAAACTTAAAAATTATATCATACAGTTCACACACACAAAAAGAAAAACAAAAATGGGTGTTGTGACAGAACACCAGGACCACACCACTGCTCGACCAGAAGCTACCAGGTCACGACTGGAACTATCACAGGTTCACCAATCAAAATCAGTCTATCAGGCACAATATAAGGACATAAGAATCCTTCTCTCCTTTCATAAGCACCATCCCATTCAAGCATTTGACCTACGTACATGAAAGGCTAGCCACATGACTTGCACCATCCTCCTGTATTTTCCTTTAACATACATTTTATCCAGAGAAGTAAATGCAACGCGACACAAGGAGCATTGCAGAAGAAGGTGGTTTCACAGCAAGACTATGTATTTGTGTCACATTCGCAATCAAGTCCAAGCTGGCAAACTGCACACAAATCGCTTTAAACCTAATTCCTGCATATTTAAAGAAGTGAGGGTGTTGAAGTTTGAGTGTTTATGTCAAATAAATATATAAAGTTTCCTGAAATTATGGGGGAGAAAAAAAAATATATATATATATATATATCTTTAGGTGACTATGGAAAGCAGAAAGCTTACATGGGATGGGAAAACCAAATAATTTTACAATATAGGGTGCTAGAAAGTAAACTAAAACTAATATACATTATTCTGGTCTGACATCCGAGACCAACACTGCTAAAGCGAGAAGAAAAAGGGGGTAATCTGAAGTGTGTATTTGCCACTTGGGTTCCTAAAATGAAAGTAGTATTAACCCTGTTACTGTTCAAGACATTAGGGCTTTGTTTTGTGAATATAAATATATATTCTCCATCCTAGTCTCTAGTAAATAACAGGGTTAAAGGTTAAAGTAGTATGTGGAGGGCATATTGTTTAAGCACTGAGGAAGGAGGAAAAAAAAATTTGTCAGGAAATAGGAAAAAAGCAGGAAGTGAACAACCCAATACTTATGGGCTGGTTATGGGATTTTGTAATCTAGGTTTCTTTTCCTCCCCTATTGCAGAACACATGCATTATACGCCAAGATTTACAGCCCAAAAGGGAGAGGGGGGAAAACAACAAACTGTTCAGTCTTTGATAATAAAAAGGATGTTTTCGATGGAGCTACAGGTGCTGCTTCCTCAAGGATTGGGAGAGGTTGGAGCATCACTCCCCACAGTAGGTCCCAGGCAGATGAGGAAGGGTCCCTTAAACTCAGGTCCCAGTTTTGACACACAGCTGAGGCTGTTACCAATATATACGTGCACATTCTCACTCATCCTCATCGTCTTCATCTTCCTCTCCATCTGACAAAGCTGTGCAAGGGCGTATCTGGCGATAGCCGTCCAACCATTTTTCCATCATCTGAGTCACCAATGGGTGGTTCCTACGACGGGAACTCTTTTGCATGGATACTAGCACACCACCTTCTGTAACACAACAGTCCAACCATTCTCGCAGGAGCTTTTCCTGCTGGTCCTCATTGCCGAGCTACAGCAGGAAACGGAAACAAAACATTACCTGAATGACTGGAAGTACATTTTACCAGAATATTGGCTAATAGCCTGTTCTTGTAGGTATGATTTAGGTTTACAGAGAAATTATGGATAACAATTCAGTATACTACCTGCAGTTACATTACTTATAACATAGCATCTATTAGCTTGCACCTGACAAAGTCCCAGTTTAAAGGATAGATGGAGATCAAAAAATAAATAAATCAGAAAATACCATCAGTTTCTAAACAAGCAAGCACATCTCTTCAAGCTCAAAATCAGAAGACCTGCTTACATTTAAAAAAAAAAAAAAAAACCCATAGTTTAATTGTTAGCAACTATCTAAACAAATGTAATCCAGAGAAAATCATTAAGATAGTTATTTGATCTTATTATTATAACTAGTATTTATATAGCACCTTTTTCCCAGAGGGACTCCAAGCGTGATCTCAGAATTAACCAAATCGACAGCTGAATATTAATAGATATTGGTGTGGTACTCATTTTAATCGACCTCAGAAGGATGAATGGCTGAGTTGACCTTGCATATTTGAACAGGCTTTGTAGTCGGAATTTACCAACTAAGCTACCTCAGCAGTTTTGCAAATTTTTCACCCCAGCTTTTGCAATTACATGGAATCATAATCTGGATGAAGGTGTAAATTATACCATTATACTCTAATGCTTTAAAAAGACATTCCAAGCATATAACCACTTCTGTTTGCAATAATGGTTATGGTGCTAGGAGGCTATAGATAAAAACTAACTACTTTCAGTCAGTTTCTTCACATGTTTATAAAATTAACCCTAATCAAGACTTTCAAATCCATAAATGCTTTATAAATTACAAAATGATGCATCATTGCAGACAAAGAACACAACCAAACATTCTGAATGGTACTATACTGCCATCTACTGTACAAAGATTGCACAAGACAGTGTTTCAAGTAACATGTCAACTATGTGTCAATCAATATGTCATCTGTAATAATGGTAATATTATAATGGTCAAAAAAAGTTCTGTCCAAACACGGCAAGCATCATTGCGCAAAACTGTGAACCATTCTATGTGTAAATCAATGGCTACTAGCTGATTATCAAGCTTTTATGAGCGTAACTTGTGTCTCTTCCATAAACTCCTGTCCAACTCTGGTTTGGGAGAGGAGTAATTTTATCATTTAGCAGCAAAGTCCATAATGAGGGGGGTTGGTTGGTCTGCCTCAAGTTGCATTCAGCTTGTCCAAGTTGTATTTAAAAACACGCCGAGGTTAGAAACACAAACCTATACTTCCAACAGTCATGTCTGAGCGATTTATTTCAGGGGTGGGCCAGGAATCTAAAGTGACTTGCTAACCTTCTATACCCCACTAATCTCACCACATCTAGCTAAAATCATCAGCCTCAGCCAATCCATTGCACCTCTTCATAGCATGGCAAAGGCTGCGCCAATCAGCATCTCCTTAGAGTTACATGTCAAAAGTGAAGGAGATGAATGTCTGTACAGCAAAAATTGCAGGACCTCAACAGGAAGATCATTTTATGGCTCTTTTTGAAACAAACACTACAGGCGTTCGTGCAACTCAATATAAACACTTAAAGAATATATACCAATTAGTGGAGCGTTATATAAATATAAAATAATTGAGGGGTCCACTTACCCCATCAATTGAGTGTAATAACACACTTAGGAATATAAGATTTAAAAGATTTATATTCCTAAGTGTGTTATTACACTCAATTGATGGGGTAAGTGGACCCCTCCATTATTTTATATTTATATAGCACTCCACTAATTGGTATATATTCTATACCATATATTCTTTAAGTGTTTAATATTGATCATGGAAATAAGGGTATTCCACTTTATGTGTTGAGCTGCTTTTTGTTTGGGTACTATATTGTATCACTCACTATCCTTGAAGAGAGAGAGTTTTCTGTTTTTCTTTCAATATAAACACTTTTCTGCCTTCTCAGAAAAGGCAGTGTTTACTGGTTCTGGTGCAAAGAGACTCTCCCCACAGACTCAACAGTACAGCAAGCTGTATTAGCTGTGGGCACTTACAATGTCCCTTTTACAGCAGACATATTGTAGGAAATAGGTATTATGCAAAATTATGTAGCCTTGTAATGGCCAGATTGTAAAACATGCTAGTACCATTAAAATGTGTGCCTCTTTCTACAAGAACATTGAATATTTGTGAATATAGATAGCCATTCACAGGGGTATTCCACTGGGCTAGTTTGCCATGCTACTTGGTTGACATTCTGATCAGTTTCTTTGTGTATACAATATCGCCAAGGGGGACAAGTGAATCAGCACAAAAAAAAAAAAAGTTTTACTACTTAAATGTAACCGAAAACCCAAGTACATGTATACACAGGGCTTGGAAAAGCTGAAACACCTTTACCAGTCATGCACGCAATGGGCCAAGATAATTAAATGTCAAATGCTGGAATACCTTTGCAACCAACCAAAAAACAAAACAAACACGTATTTAACAACTCTTAAATTTTAGACCTCTAGATGACTTTGGCAATGTTTGAAAGGACTAGTGTTAATTACTGTAAACCCAATTCCATAAGGGTGTTTGTGAAACTTGATCATACGGCACCACCGAGGACCTGGGGCATCTGAGAGTGAAAGGATTGGTCCAATGGAGCAGCCCATTGGTGGATTGCTAAAGGGAGCTGAATCCCGACAGGTGGGAGCTAAATGTAACCCCCTTCTCCCCCCCCTCCACCCTCCCAGCCCTTGCATCTTGCAGCTGCTTAGTAGGAAACGCCTAATTCCCAGGGTATCAGGGATTGATCTACCAAAAGGCTGAGACCTAAATTGTTCTTTTCTCCCGTCCCCCCAGGATCCACCCCTAAATAAAAATGGACACGACACATTGACATTTCTTGTCCTACCTGCCCCCATCACCCTAAAAATAGTGAGGGGGTAAGATGAAAACGAAATACCGGTTAAAAAAAACAAAAACAAAAAAAAACACACACCATTTGATGTCTTTTCAGCCCCAAAAAAGGCTAAATAAAAATCCATAATTCTTGTTGCAAAAAACAAACAAACCAAAAAAAAAAAAACAACCAGTGCAAAAACCCAATGCTAAAAAAAGTAATCCATCTTCACCCATCAAGGGCACCGTGAAGACTGCGCTCTGCAGGACGGGGAAAGGCTTGTAAAGCCTTCCCATGCCCTGCAATTTGACTTTGTGCACTCCTATTGGTTGATTCCAAGCCAACCAATCAGAGTGCTCTGACAGGTAAATGAAGAGACTTACCTGTCAGAGCACTCTGGTTGGTTGGCTTGGGATCAATCAGAGCACCTAGAGTCAAATTGCAGGGTGTGGGAAGGCTTTAGAGGCCTTTTCAGGCCCTGCGGAGCTCAGTCTGCACGGTGCCCTTGCTGGGTGAAGAAAGATTAAATTTTTTTATTGCGACGGTATTATGGATTTTTATTTGGCCTTTTTTGGGGCTGAGAAAAAAAAGACTTTAGAAAAAAGACAAATTGCAAGTTATTTTTTATTTACAGGTAGTTAGTTTGCTTGTTTTCCCCTAACTATTGTTAGGCTGAGGGGGTAGGTAGGTCTTTATTAAAAAAAAATAATTGGGGGGCTTAGGGGATGACTAGGGGGACAATTAGATGTAGAGGAGTTGGGAGGGGTTAAAAAAACAAACAAAAAAAAAAAAACAGGATTTGACTAGGACAGCACCACTTTAAGCCTATCACTCACTAACCCCCCTCCCCTCAACATGCTCTAGAGATTCCTCATCAAGAAGTCTATTCAAATCTCTAACACTAAATCTGCCATATGGTAAATACAGCTTACCAGTCCTAGGACGAGCATCAATAATTCAATAATAAATTGACAATCATTAGACGAGAAAAAAAAAAAAGGCATCATCTCACCTCTTGCGCAGATAGAAAATGAATATGCAGAAGTTTCCGTTCACTGTCCACCAGTGGCAGAAAGGTAACCGTAACATCATCGTCTGTGTTTAGGTTTGCACCAGCCCCACGATTGTCATAGCCATCATTCTCCATGGCTACAAGAGCTGAGAAGTGGCCCCGAGTATAGCCCAAAGCAATGGGGCTTTTCCAGCAGAAACTTTGCTCCCACAGCAGAGGCAAATACACTCCTAAAAAAGAAAGGGGTGCATAAGTTACGTCTCTCTACATACACAAAATCTTTACAAACAGAAATTGGAATTGCATTCGATGCACTATGACTGTTGATCATTACTTCTAGCAGAGCAACAGTAATGCTAAACTGCTCCACAACAAAAACTAAGGCATATTTTATTTTTCAACCATGTCACAACAGCATGTGTAACATGCCAACATACTGGACGGCCCCAACTTTCAGCTCAGATACCATCCCCCCACCCCACCCTTTCCATCTTACTGTGGTAATCCCAGAAGCAGACTGGTTGCCCATGGCAGGGTATTTACACAGAATGCCGATGTTCCCTCTGTCTGGCACTCTTAACTCAGGTGTCGCAAAGTACTTTTCTGCCCACTAAATACTGCAGCTGTAGTCACCCATCCCTTGGAAACCAGTTGGTAATCAGCACCCATTAGTCCCAGCTGCTTACAGTGACCGCTTAGCAACAATATTGGAAACAAGCACTTAGGGTCAAACTGCATCAGAATATTTGAGGTCACCCACCTTTCAAAACAATCTGCATAATGGAACAACAGTAATAGATAGCTATACACATTCACACTTCTAAATCTCAATAAAAATTGTAACATTTAGTGCTAGTTTTATTTTTGACACCTAGATGGAACCAGCTTTTAATAGATCATATCTCCTACAGAAGCAACCAGGTAGAACAATCTGGTAAACTAGTTACTTAACACTTACTTAAGAATTGCAAAACCTTTCTGATTGATTTATATTTATTTTGTAGAGAACAAAAAATCTTTTTGGAGTGATTTTAAAGTCTAATCTATGGCATCAATAACAGGACATACCTTGAAAGCGAGTGTACCCCAGCGTCTCCCCACGAAAGCTCTTGTAATATTTCACTCCATACACTATGATTGGTCGTCTTAGAATGTGCGCAAGGACAAAAATGTGCGTTTGTTCCAAGCTTGCTCCGGGCTAAGCACAAAAATACAAAACCCCAAATAAAAAGTTATGCCATAAGATGGACAAGTTCTTAACGGCTAGCAAACATGTTAATCAATTCTTGCGTAATCAATATAAGATAAGTAGGGGAAAAAAAATACATGAAATACACATTCAAAAGCATGGTTTACAAACCTACTTAAACATTTATAATTTGACAAAAGCGATAATTCGAGAGGGGACGTTTCTGTTCCAGCATCCCAAAAGGTTTCTGAATACCAATAAAATAAAAAATAAAAAATAAATAAAAAACCCAACAAAAAAACACTCCTTTGTTAGCCTTAGTATGTTTTGTATGGCAAACTGCCAGTAACTCCTCTCAGAAATATAACGGCCTAGATGTATAGACCAATTACAATGCGTGCATCCATTTGCTGACGTGCATGCTGCTTAAGTGCTGCTATGGGAAATCTGGGAATCGAGAACATTAATACAAAGCAAGAAGAAAGCATGTGAGAGAGTGGTGAATGTGGAAGATGAGAGCCCATGCATTAAAGATCAGTAAAAGCTTTTTGACAGGAATTTGGGACTTTGTTCTCTTGGCATAAGGTAACAATTTAAAAGGACCAGTACTGGTTTGATCTAAAATGATGTTTACGCATTAGGAGAAGTTTAGCAAAGTATTAATACTTTCTAAAAGAAGCCATGCAGTTTATGGAAAGCCAATAATAAGCAAAACAGAGACCCAAAAAAAGGGAAATAAAAAATCTATCCGAAATCAAGTAGATTCCTTTTAATTTCTTTATAAATATGTCTCAGTCAAGCAGAACACAAGCTAGCATACACCTCGTATGGGTCTATTCACAAGATTGCGAATTCTAGAAATTGCACATTTTAGGGAGAAAATACTCTATTTTTGCCTGAAGCGTGCAATTCCTTGTCAGTTCTCCACAATTCCTCATTTCATCACTAGAATCAAGTATGAAAAGGACAGGCAAAAATGAATAATTCGCACTGGAAGAAGGCTTTATGGTTTTTAATTTTGTATCAATACATTTTCTTGTTGAACCATTTGGAGTCCTCTGTCCTATCCCTTGGAAGTGGATCTTGTAGTCAGAAGTGGCACTCCTCAGCCTTTCTTAGAGACCCTGGAATTTTAACCTCATCTCCCCGCTACATGTGTTTTACTGTTCACACTGCTTTTTTTGGTTATGTTAGTTTTATTCTGTCATCAAAACAAAAAACACTAAGCCCTCAATGAATACTATCCTAGCAGACTATTTTCTACCCTACCCTTACCTTTTGTGTCACATTTGTGCCAAGTTCCATAGCTTGCTTTTTACATATGAATAATTTATTACACTAAAATTACTAGAAGTGTTTTTTATTCCCTCAACATAAGCTCAGTTTAAACCTCTAATATAAATATATATATATATATATATATATATATATATATATAAATAAAATTAGAATGTGGTAAACTAGAAAGATCTTGTAAGAAAACAGATGGCATGCTGTCTGAATATTTCTTAGTATGTTAACCCTTTAATCTACAAGTGCAATGGTCAGGTGTTTCATCTCCCAGGAGCCAAAGTCAGTGCTCCACATGCGCAACAGTACAACACTGAGCTCTATAAAAGATACAGCAAGACCACTGGATCCTCCACAGACCATGCCTTTACCCTGCAGCTGGGGGAAACGACAAAACTATTGTGGTAACTCTGTATATTCCCTATGCTTGACAAAAGACTAACACAAAATAGTCCCTACTTTGACTTCATATATCTTTTGGCAGCATTGGAATTTCAGTGAGATTCCAACAAAGTCAGTGAGACAAAATTTTCTAAAGATAAAATCTTTATGAAATAATCATTTTAGAGAAAGGGGGAGCGAGACTCAGACTAAATTGGGATTACAATTCAGTTTCCTGTTCTTTTTAGGAGTCACCAAGCTATGACCTTTGAATTCATCCATTTAGTCATAGAGCGCCCAAAAACATGCCGTGTATTTGGCTCAGTCTTTTGCTCCTGGCACATTTAGTGTGGCTTTATAAATTAAAGCTTCCCGCATTCTATTTGTCAAGCAATGTTCACAACAGATCGCTGCTCTTTTTTTGGATCAAAAAGATAAAAAGTAGCACAATAATGATGTTCTACTGTGGCAAACCTAGCCACTTGGACTAAACAGAGACAATATGGTTTTAAGGGTTGCCTGTATATTTCCTGCAATTGTATTTGTGCCTAGTTGTAATCTGCTGTATCCTGTATGTTGTATTGCCTGTATTAGCTATCTGCCGAAAGCAGATAGCTGTATTCTATTTCGTTTCACGAACAGCGCCTTTGTGGGCTGTTCGTGAACCGAATGAACTATCCTTTAATAGCCCACACACTAAGAGACTATTAGTCAATGTTGCAATCGGCAATTAGAGACTCTCCTAGGTGGCCGTCGTTAGACTACGGACCACGCGGCGGTCGGCCATCTTGGATCCTTTGACTCTCCAGCGGTGTTCGGTCGTCGAGCGCGTGGTACTGAAAACGGCTACTCGACGGCGCGAACACCGCTGGGCTTCCAGGCCGTTCGGGAGTTCCGGGCTCTTCGGTATTTTACTCCCCGTATACCAATCGGTATTTTAAGTGTATGTTACGATGAATATGTTTTTCGTGCGGCGTTCGGTTGTTTTAGCTGGGATCTGAGCGGTAATCTCACGAACTATGTGCTCAGACCTCAGCTATCTACCGAACGTCCATTTGTTTAAATCAATCAAGTATTGAGAAAGAAATATATTTTAAAGTAAATTGCCAGTTCTGCATGAGGGATAATCCACTTAACGGTACATTCCAGTGGGAGTGTCCCTCTTGTGCAGCAGTGCCTGATGGGAGAAATGCCCAGAATGTGAAGTTCCCCATGTAGTCCCCTACTGTGTTACCCCTGCTATGGCAGTATGGAAACCCCTTGCATGGGGACTTGCATAAATACTGGAGCTGCAAATAAAGACCTCAGTTGACTCCCAGAACTGTGTTTCGTCCGGTTACTGGGGGATTTGGGATATTGCATTACTTTTCAGAGCTTGACTGTGGATTACTGTATGTACCAGCAGAATTCGTGGGATTTAATATTGCCGATCCGCTACAATTGGTGGCAAGCGACGGGATCCAACCTTACAGCCGAAAAGCGCGTTCGGATGAAAAATAACCGAACAAAAAAAGGGAATGGCAATTCATATGCAGCAAAGAGCCGAAAGAAAACAGTGAATGGAGACGGATTATGCTACACTGAAAAGGCAGACACTAAAGGAACTGCTGGAAGCTAGAGGGAAGATAGCCAGCAACAAGTCCAAAGCCGTGCTGATCGCTGAACTAATGGAGGGAGACAGAGCTCACAACAGCACACCCCCACCAGCCAGGGAAGAAACCCAATACCAAAGGGAAATGCGAACCCAGATGGAGTTTCTACCACAGCCAGTACCCCTGGACATCCTGACGGTCCTGATGGCTGATGTGCAGGATTACGTGATGGCACACCACCCACAGGAGGCACCGTCCAGGGCAGAATCCATCACTGCCTCCATCTACGGTCAGGTAAAGCCGAAAATCCCCTATCATGCCTTCAAAATGTTTTGTGAGGAGAAGGATGAGATCGATGGGTACCTGCAGGACTTTGAAAGGCTATGTGACCTGCACGACTTAGAACAGGCAGTATGGGTACCCCTGCTGGCAGTAAAACTGGCGGGGCGGGCAGCAGAAGCCTATCGCGCTGTCCCCAGGGAGGACAGCAAAGACTATGCAAAAGTAAAAAGGGCTATACTGGAGAGGTATGCCATTACGCCAGAAGCTTATCGGCGCAAGTTCAGAGGATTGCGCAAACCGGAAAAAGATTCATACGCGGAATGGGCACACAAGCTAGACCAAGCCTCGCAGGGGTGGATACAGGCGAGCCAAGCCACCACCATGGAGGAATTGCGCCAACTCATGTTATTGGAACAATTTTTCAATGGATTGTCCCCAGAAGCACAAGAATGGGTGAGGTACCGCAAACCTCTCATCCTACCTGAAGCAGCCAGATTGGCCAATCAACATTTTGATGCAAGGAGGCATCATGGGCCAGTTAATCGGAGCTACACTCGACCCCCTATGCAACCTAGCACAGTCACGCCCGCAACCTCCAACCCCACTCCGTTTAGACCGGTCCAAGGGAACCAACCACCTCCCTCCCGCTACAACGGCAGGTCCAACATCCAGTGCCATACCTGCCGACAGTGGGGACATATGTCTAGAGAATGCACCCAGAACCGGAGCCGACAAGCCTGGAACCAAGTGAGGCAGAACCCAGCACCAAGGGCGGCGGCCCATCACTACCAGGTGGAACCTGACACCCAAGAACTGCTGAGCATCCAGGCAGAGGAACCCCTGGGCATCCTGCACGAGGTGATGTCTGTACAAGCCACTGACAACCGGCAACATCATCGCCAACTAGAGACTGTGGAAGGCAAAGAAGTACAGGGACTGCGTGACTCAGGAGCCACATTGACTCTGGTGGCTCCACATTTGGTTCCGGGTACCGCTCACACTGGCGGGTCTGTGGCAGTACGGGTGGCGGGGGAGCAATGTACCGCCTGCCCACTGCAAAGGTACATTTGAACTGGGGTGCTGGGGAGGGGGTAGTGGAAGTGGCCATTATGAAAAATTACCTGCGGATGTGGTATTGGGGAACGACTTGGGCCGGATGACCTCCGCATTTATACCCCAGGCCCCTATGCAAGAAGCACATCCTGTGACCACCCGGCAGCAGGCTCGCACCACGGTTCCACCAACGCACTCTGAGGCTCAGGTAAGAGACCATGACCCGCATGACCTAGGATACCCCGACCACGTTTGAAGCCAAGGTTAAGTCAGACCCCACGTTGCAGGTATACCGGGATAGGGTAAGCACCGATCAGGCCTGGTTAGAGGGGGAGCAGTATATCTGGGAGAAAGGTCTGTTATACCGGGTAGCAGAGAGAGTAATAGGAGGCTCCGTCACGGTACACACCAAACAGTTAGTGGTCCCCCAAAAATATAGGCAGGAGCTCCTTAGGATAGCTCACGATATCCCCCTGTCTGGCCATTTAGGAATGACCCGTACACGTTATCGGCGGACACACGTCTTTTTCTGGCCAGGTATCTCCAAAGACATGAGGCATTACTGCACCTCATGTGATATTGGTCAGCGAGTAGGTAAGAGGGGGGACCGCCACAAAGCGAAACTGTGCCCCCTGCCCATTATTGAGGAGACCTTTAGCAGAGTGGCCGTTGACATAGTGGGACCATTACCTAAGCCTAGTCCCTCCGGGAAGAGGTATATCCTGACCGTGGTGGACTACGCCACCCGGTACCCCGAGGCCATCGCCCTGCCTAATATTCAAGCCGAAACGGTGGCCGAGGCCTTGATGAAAGTCTTTTCCAGAGTAGGGTTTCCTCAGGAGAGAATATCTGATAGGGGGAACCAGTTCACGGCCGAAGTCACCCAGCAATTGTGGAGGATAGTCACCCAGCAATTGTGGAGGATAGTCACCCAGCAATTGTGGAGGATAGTCACCCAGCAATTGTGGAGGATAGTCACCCAGCAATTGTGGAGGATAGTCACCCAGCAATTGTGGAGGATATGTGGCATTAAGCCGATCGACAACTCTGCCTATCACCCCCAGACCAACGGCTTATGCGAAAGATTCAATGGTACCCTGAAGCAGATGCTCCGTACGTTTTGGAGAGGCCCATAAGGACTGGGAACGATTTCTTCCCCATTTGCTATTCGCATATAGAGAAGTACCCCAAGAGTCGACAGGTTTTTCCCAGTTTGAATTATTATTTGGGAGAAGAGTGAGGGGACCGTTGGGAGGGAGAGAGTAGCGCAGATGGGACCCCTATTGTACCATACGTGCTAGAGTTCAGGGACCGCCTGGAGGACTTAACCCAGGCCGTACGCACCAATCTCCAGGCGGCCCAGCAATGACAGCGCCGCTGGTATGACAGGGAGGAGAGGACCGAGGACGTGGCCGCCATATGCACACCAGCCTCAGAAGATCAGGAGAATCTGCCACTACCCGATCTGTTAGAGCGAGACGAGCAGGCAGAGCCCTCCAAGGGGGTTCAACTGGGGGAGCGGCTAAGCACTCAAGAGCGAGCTCAGGTACAGGAGTTGATAGCGGCGAAAGGCGCCACTTTCTCCAACTTGCCTGGGTACACTCCGCTGGCCACTCACCGAGTTGAAACCCCTGGACAGCTACCGAAGCGGCAGACCCCATATCGGATCCCTGAATCAGTCAGGGAACACATGAGGAAGGAGATTGAGGAGATGCTGCAGTTAGAGGTTATTGAACACTCTGATAGCCCCTGGGCATCGCCGGTAGTCCTGGTACAACCCGGTTTTGTGTGGACTACCGGAGGCTAAATGGCAAAACTGTGTCTGATGCCTACCTGATGCCCCGGATAGACGAGCTGCTGGATAGGATGGCAAGAGGCCAGTATCTTACCACCATAGATTTATGTAAGGGATACTGGCAGATTCCATTAGCCGAGGATGCCATCCCCAAGTCGGCGTTTGTCACCCCGTTTGGCCTGTATCAGTTTAAGGTCATGCCATTCGGGATGAAGAACGCCCCGGCGACCTTTCAGCGGATAGTAGATCGGCTACTGGATGGGTTCTAGGATTATGCATGCGCATACCTGGACGATATCGCCATATATAGCCACACCTGGGCAGAGCATTTACAACACATAAGGGCGGTAATTGACCGTATTAGAGAGGCAGGGTTGACACTGAAGCCTAGCAAGTGTCACATAGGGATGGCCGAAAATACAGTACTTAGGCCACCGGGTAGGAAGCGGGCAACAAAAACCCGAGCCAGCTAAAATTGAAGCCGTAGCCAAGTGGCCCACCCCTAGGACCAAGACCAAAGTACTCGCCTTCCTGTGTACCGCAGGATAGTACTACAGAAAATTCGTGCCCAATTATAGTGCCCTGGCAAAACCCCTGACTGACCTGACTCGCAAGAACTTACCCCGACAGGTCGTCTGGGCCCCAGAGTGTGAACAGGCATTTACCCAACTTAAGACGGCTCTAACTAATGCACCTGTACTTGCTGCTCCTGATCCAACTAAACGCTTTCTTGTCCACACAGACGCTTCAATGTTTGGATTGGGAGCAGTACTGAGCCAAGTTAGAGCAGATGGCAGAGAACACCCTGTAGCTTATTTAAGCCGGAAGTTGTTACCCCGAGAAGTGAGCTACGCCGCCATTGAGAAAGAATGCCTGGCCGTGGTGTGGGCCCTGAAAAAGTTACAACCATATCTCTATGGGCAACCCTTTTCACTGTTCACAGATCACAACCCGTTGGTGTGGCTGGAGACGCCAGGCTGCTGCGCTGGAGTTTGGCGCTGCAGCCTTTTGACTTTACAATCCATTATCGCCCCGGGAAACAAAACGGTAACGCCGACGGGTTATCTCGACAGACTGACTTTGAAATGTGATCTGTGAGCCCTCCTCCGGACATCCCCAAGCCAATCCGTTAGGATCAGACTGTGTATGCCGGCTTGGTTCTGGGGGAGCATTGTGGCAAACCTAGCCACTTGGACTAAACAGACAATATGGTTTTAAGGGTTGCCTGTATATTTCCTGCAATTGTATATGTCCTAGTTGTAATCTGCTGTATCCTGTATGTTGTATTGCCTGTATTAGCTATCTGCCGAAAGCAGATAGCTGTATTCTATTTCGTTTCACGAACAGCGCCTTTGTGGGCTGTTCGTGAACCGAATGAACTATCCTTTAATAGCCCACACACTAAGAGACTATTAGTCAATGTTGCAATCGGCAATTAGAGACTCTCCTAGGTGGCCGTCGTTAGACTACGGACCACGCGGCGGTCGGCCATCTTGGATCCTTTGACTCTCCAGCGGTGTTCGGTCGTCGAGCGCGTGGTACTGAAAACGGCTACTCGACGGCGCGAACACCGCTGGGCTTCCAGGCCGTTCGGGAGTTCCGGGCTCTTCGGTATTTTACTCCCCGTATACCAATCGGTCTTTTAAGTGTATGTTACGATGAATATGTTTTTCGTGCGGCGTTCGGTTGTTTTAGCTGGGGTCTGAGCGGTAATCTCACGAACTATGTGCTCAGACCCCAGCTATCTACCAAACGTCCATTCGTGTAAATCAACCAAGTATTGAGAAAGATAGATATTTTAAAGTAAACTGCCGGTTCTGCTGCACGGAGGGATAATCCACTTAACAGTACATTCCAGTGGAAGTGTCCCTCTCGTGCAGCAGTGCCTGATGGGAGAAACGCCCAGAATGTGAAGTCCCCCATGTAGTCCCTTACTGTGTTACCCCTGCTATGACAGTATGGAAACCCCTTGCATGGGGACTTGCATAAATACTGGAGCTGCAAATAAAGACCTCAGTTGACTCCCAGAACTGTGTTTCGTCCGGTTACTGTGGGATTTGGGATATTGCATTACTTTTCAGCGCTTGACTGTGGATTACTGTATGTACCAGCGGAATTTGTGGGATTTAATATAGTCGATCCGCTACATCTACATTATTGGTGTTTTAGTAACTATGATATGTAATACAACATCTACTTAACATGTTCCATGGAGCATATAATGTAAGAAATCTGTAGAATTGAGCACCTAATATGGCTTCTGTTTCCAACAAGAAGAGGAATGCTGAACGTGTTTGCACGCACTGTTTCAGCGTGCATGCAAGCACTCAGGTCCATGCACAGACTAGCAGCAGTACTGCATATGCCCAGAGGAAAGCATTCTTCTATAATTCATGCTTGGCTTTTCTTTAGCGACTTGTTGTAGAGGTTAACAGCCTCACAGGGGAGGATCTCCACAGAGAAAGTGTCACTTTTATTTGACCTACATGCAAATAAATACACCTAGAATGTGTGTACATGGAAGGAAAGGGGGAGAATATTTATCATGAGCTGTAGGGCTGGATTTTTGAGAGATGCACTTAAATCTGAAAACAGAATAGCATATCTATTGACATACACTGGAAAATAGCTATCCAGTTGCCAGAGAGGTTTTCATCTTTTGTAATAGATCCCAGATCAAGGAATACAATAAAATGATGCAAACACTTCCCTGAATTAGTCAAATGAGTGTCAATTTCTGGTTTGGAATGGTGGTGGAACACAGGCTCTCCTTACCTGGCTTGCTAATGACAGAATAAAAGCCCAGTCTTCCTGCCACTGTTCCTCTCGTAGAGAGAAATGTAATCCAAAGCTCTGAGAGTACCACGACTCCCACTCCTTCCATCGGCTGTAAAACCTGCAAACAGACAGTCAAAAGATGAACACAGAAAAAAGGAAAATGGTTACAGCAAAAAGGAAATTCTAGCAGATGACAACCAACAAGGAAACATATGGCCTAAACATAAACACAAAACTTTTCAATCTTTGGTTTGGTTGATCTGTGCATGTGTTCGACGCTGAATTTTGAATATAACTCCGTGAATATTGCTGTTAATGTATAATAGCACCATTGCTTAACTAACCAGTGAGAGCAGTCATGAAGACTGTCATGCAGAGCCTTTCTTAGCACCGAGTCTTTGTCATAGATGCCCCACGTTGCTTGAAGTACTGAGTCAAGCAAGCAGTCTCCCGCCGTGCGGTTCCAAAGTGCATAAAGTCTGCTGTCCAGACGGGTGCCCAGCTCCAGAGACCAATTAATAATAGGAGATTCCTCCTCTAGCTCTAGGATAAAAGGAAATAGAAAAAAACTGTGTTCAGCACACAGGAATAGATTACACTGGCAATGAAAAGAATTTTAAAAATCTAAGTGATTTTCTATCTGGAGACTCTGAACACTTAAGTCTGTTAACTGAACATGTGCAACTTCAGACATTTTGGGGTTTGTCCAAGAATTATTTGTATTACTGCTTCAAGTCTGCAATATTTTCAACTAAACAGAGTGATGCTCTTAAAAAAAAAAAAAAAAAAAAATTTTTTTTATATATAATATATTAATAAAAAATTGCCAGTTATTACACGTTTTGAGCTCCTAAATTATTGGATCTATACTTGTCATGAGATGTTTAATTTTATTTATTTAATATATTTTGACCCAGATATCAACCACCTGCTTAGTTTCAGCACACAATGTATTTATTACCTTTCTGCACATCTCGGTCCAGAACTTCATCAAAAAGCTTCTCTTGAACAGTAGGAGGCAAATCCTCAATATCTGATGAGAAACAAGACATGAATTAATTTTGATGGCAAGCATTTCTAAACGGCAGATAGCGACTTAAGGCTGTTCAGCCATGGATAAAGGAAAAATCCTCCACAAAAGATTACCTAGAATAATCTGTATATGCACCCCTTGTGCATTGGTGAATACCAAATTCCATGATCATGTGCAAGCTATGGAGGCAAGAGATCATGGGACCTTTAATTACCAGAAAGCCTTAGGTTGCATACTCTTCCATGTTAATACACAACTTAAATCTCACCATTTAACAGTATCAGGTCTTCCCTTCCAATGCAGACAATTTTAAAGTTACACGTTCAGCATCGTAAAATGTGTGTGCAGGCAATTTTAAAGTTACACGTTCAGCATCGTACAATTATGGGATGACTTCATGACCAGCCACTTCAGACCTGATGAGTAGCCTTTACAGCATATGGAAGACTATGAAAGACTATGAAAGTGAACCTCAAGAAGATTGGGTTTTTTATCCCTAGATTTTCAAGCAATTTAGTTTGTACCACATAGAGCTAAACTTGTACTCTTTGGGGGGAGAGCCAGCGGCCATACTGACAGGACACATTTCTGTCATGCTCCGGACGAAAATCTACAAAAACTAAATAAAAAGCAAATTTTTCAAATTTCTCTTACCCAAACTTGCCCTGATCCCTGTGGCAAAAGCCACGTCGCCCCTGGCTTTTGGAGGGGCCTGCTGGCCAGCCTCAGGACTACGGGCCCTGCAATATACCTTTCCCAATGCACTTTAAAACGCTCTGTTCATGTGAAGTATGTACTTTTGTAGTCCAGAGAGACCGACTGTCAGCCCTAATTCTCTGGAACTGTTTTGGGCATGGACCATGTGCACGGTGGGTCAAAACTATGACCTGCAGGAAATTCCTGAACCACTGAACCGATCTGGGTGATTTTGGGATATGTTGTTCACCCAGATCAGGGCTATCAGGGGATGTGATTTACGGGGATATGTTGTGTTTTGGGGTACTTATGGTACTTTATAAACGTGTGTTTTTTCTGCTTGGGAATAATTAAGTTAACGCATTATCTGCCTTAATTATATCACAGGCATATGGGAGGGATTGTGTACTGTATGTGGGAGTGTCATTCATTGTCACATTGTTTTCATTGTTTTCACTTTGTGTGCCTTTGCCCAACAAGGTCCACCTGGGCGTCACCCTTGTTGAGAAACCTGCATAAAAGGACAGCTGTGGCTTCCATTAAACAGACTTCTTCACCCTCAATACTGAGTTCTGTCTCTTATTGGGGGAAACCGCTATATCACTACCAGGGATTGCTATACTCGGTATACTCCCTTGGATAATCACTAGCTCTTGTAAGAGCTGTTCCTGTTATGCTTTCCTGGAGGAGAGGTATTTCCCACACGGTCCTGGATATCAGCCGTTGGTCCAGGGTAGGAGGAAGACTGCGAGATTCCAGTTAAGCTACGGCGGTTGTGGAGTCTGCGGTGCTTGTGGTGTCCGATGCGGTGCTTATAGCCCTCGGCATCAGCTAGGAAGCATCTGTTGACTGAGGTGTCCAGTTGGGGTACCAGGTGGTCCGTTACAATCCCCTTGTCCCAGGAATGGGACGCAGAAGCAAGAAATATAAAGCTGACAAACCTCCGGCAACTGCCAATATAGGCGATCTACTGTGGAGGCAACAAAACCCCCAGGGGCCTGTAATGGCGTCACCATCGGATGGGCCTTCCCGAGCATCTAGCGAGGCTTCCCTTGCGGAAAGTTTACCTGTGACCCAACTGGTAAGAAGATATCCTGCCTCACCTCTCAAGCCATGGGCACAGCAATCAGTCACGGAGGAGAAGCAGATAGACCTCTTAGAAGAGCTCCGCTGAAACATTGCAGCCAATATAGGCTAATTTCGGGAAAATCGGAAATCAAAGTTTCAGCAAGACTACACACCACAGAGCTGAATACTACGGCTCATGAAACCCTTGTCTCCAGTCTAGAACACAAACTACAGGCACTGCACCGTTCTCAGGCACAAACTCAAGACCTTATGGCAGCCTTAGAAGATAAAAGGTGTTTGAGGAACGTGAAAATACGCGGCTTAACAGATAAAATAGAGACAGGAGAACTCCCTCATTTCTTCCACAGGCTACTTATCCACCTCTTCAGCACCAAACAGGCAAAAGCCATGCCACTGGACGGCTGGTTCTGGATACCAAAGCAGACAAATGGCGACACTGGGACTAGCAGGGACATTATCGTCCGGTTTCAGCAGAGCCAGGACCGACTCTTATGGCAGCGGTCCGTAATAAAACACAGATTTTAGGAGCACTTTCTGACTTTCTTTCCAGATTTGTCTAAAGCCACCATGGACTGGAGGAGATCCATGTCCTCCCTTACTAAGGAACTCATACTTCACAAATGTCTCCTCCATGCAGGTTACTCTCCCTTAAGTCTCAACTCCCTTTCATGGAGGCATCTTATGCTCCTAACCCCACTACATACCTTGCTGAATGTTATGCAGTACAATACAACGCTCACTTGATATTATCTTACTTTTAATTAACAAAATCCTCAATCCTAATGTTACGCTACAATACTCTCTAGTCTATATTGTTGTTATGGCATCTCGTACAACTTTTTGCACATAATGTGAGGTCTGTAATATTTTTGGATGGTGACTAAAGAAAGAATAAAAAAAATAAAAAAAGTTTGTACTCTTTAAAAAGTTACATCAAATATTGTAAGTAATGACACTTACACCATGTTACAATATATTATATATATATATAAAATTTTCAAACAGCATGTATTAGATATAGGTGCAGTAGATAAATAGAACCGATGACTCTAAAAATTGAAGTGTGCTTGGGCAGGCTGATTGTGCAAGCTCTTCAATAGTCCTCAAATACCTAGTTTACAGTGTATACTCTCTGCAAAATTTCCTGATTTTACGCTGTCCACCCACCCAACAGAATCCAGACAATGGTCAACAGCCTAACCAAATTGTGGAAAAAAGTTACAAAACAAGATGAAAATTTCAATTTCTGCTTCAATATGTGTTAACTCTAATGAAGGATACAGATCCCTTCTAAAATCAAGTTTAAAAAACTATTTCTTAACCATCACAGATTTAGTAGATGTATTTCTAACGTGTGAATTACAACCTCTGAATAGAATGAAATGTACAAGGAAGTTCTGCTGTGCATAACCAACTTCTACATAGCAGTGAGACTAGAGGAGAGTTTGGGTACAGTAAAACACTGCTACGTGACTAATATGGGGTGGAGGCAGGCGGAGAATTTACAACACATGTTTATCATGTGTTCCTACCTGTGCACAGGATTTCATTAAGCCAAACCTCATTACATTATGGTCAACCACTAAAAAAATAAATTAAAAAAAAATTGTGTACCCATCAACCTTTGCCAAGCCACCACCCACACTGGACTACATGTTTTGGCCAAAAGTTCAAACGAACAGATGTAGCTAAATTTACCACCTTTATCAGGCATTTAAACAGATCAAAACACAAATCATTATTCGAGAGTATTTGTTAAATATAAATAACGAAATCATCATACCTGCAGGTAACGTGAAGGTTACCAAGTCTGTCAAAAAGTAACAGGCAAAGTCCCCTTTCCTCTGATGCATAGACGCCGCAATCTCCCTTCTTATTTGCTCAGTAAGCTCTGGACAAATCATGGCAGGGATACATTTAGCAGCATGCTGAGAAACCTGATGGAGAGAAAAAAAAAAAAATTAGCCCAAACACACTGGTATAAGTGCTTTGAAGTGGATAAAAGCTTACAAAGATCAGAAGAACAGCAGTGCTCTGACTTGTGATTGGCTAAATAATCAGTTAGGGACCAAAAACAAATTGTCTCAAAGCAAAATAATCCATGAAAGAACATATGCAGACAGGGTAGGTTTAGTTACGGCAGGTTCTATAGAGCTACAGCTATTAAATAGGCAAGATGCTGCACGTTGGCATAACATCTGCATTGATTCACGGACAGAAGTCCCCTTTCAGTGGATGCTGTTATGACCTAGTTTGTGAGGGTACCTGAGAACCTTCATGCCCTACCAGCAAAAGACGGTGTGGCATGCAAAAGGCCTGGCTAGCTAGCTACCCTCTAAACCATAGACTTTTCTCCTGTAAAGCAAATTCTCCCCTGCAGCTCAAAAGGAGTTAGGACAGGTACTAGGAAGATTCATTACAGGTTCATTAAAACATCAACAGAAGCATTTTTGTGCACAAATGGTTAATCTAGATGGACACGTGACAAACTGAAGACACTGATTCAGGAAGGATTAAGTCTGAAGAATATTACCTATGGGGAACGAATAGTATTATTACTGGTGTTTAAATAGCATCAACTTACTCTGCAGTGCTGTATAATATCATGAAAGGGAAATTTTACAATAAGTAATTACAAAATGTTACAGGAACAATAGAAGGACCCTGCTCAGACGAGCATACAGTCTAGAAGAGTGAAGTATAAGGGGGGACAGCAAACAAGGTGGGAAAGTAGCAGAACTGGAAGTGAGAGTCAAGTGTGGCCCTTTAGGAGGTGCAAGAGAGATTTGTGAAATAGAAGTTACTCTGTGAGGCCATAAGCATTTCTGGAAAGATGTGTTTTGAGGAACTTAAACGAATATTACTTAAGGGGAATGCATAGTATTTGTATTAGTATTATTGCACTTAAATAGCTAACATTCTGTAGGAAACTGAATCATAAGCATTTAATATATTAGAGATTAGCGAGATTCAATGAAATAATACGATATGTTTGATTATTCAACATTCTTCCCTCCACTTTACGGTTCTCTGACCAAAAAAAAAATATTTTTATAAAATCTGACCAGTATGGCCGACCATATATGCACCTTTCTCCTTAGGCCAAGCATGTCAAACTCGCGGCCCGGCGAGTACATACCTAATTGCCTAGTGTTCCAAGCAGAGTAGGCACCCGCTTTCCCCACATTGCAGGTGCCTATTCTGCTATAGTTTACCCGGTTGGGGGGGGGGGGAAGGGGACGGTGGATGCAGCGAGGGAGCTCAATGTTCCTGCTTCTCACTGCTCCATCATGCGCCGTCTGTGGTGATGCCGGGCGCCTGGGATATGACGTCATATTCCGGCACGCAGCATCTCTAAACTACAGCAGTGAGGAGCAGGAAGGAGATCCCCACTGGACCCCAAGAATTATTACAAGAAAGCGTGCGTGCATCTGTCAATGTGTGTGCGCGCCTGTCAGTAAGTTTGTCAGGTCGGTGTTGTAATGGCCGCAGCTGGACAGTGGAGGACCTGGAGGTGCACGGAGGCACGCAAAGCCACGTCACATTCCAACATGATGTTAACTTGCTCCACCTTCACAAAGTGTCAACAAGTAGAGGGAGGATCCGCTTTGGCACAGGGTGTGGACGGCGCCATTAGGGATATACCAGAGGCCGGGCTCCGGAGTCGCATACTGGCAGCAGCAATGTCAGTGGAGGTTGCTTGTTGGCTAGAGGGGGTGCTGGGATTTAGTAGAGGGGGATGCTGGTTTTTTTTTTTATAGAGTACTTTTCAAAATAAACCTACGTTTCTATGAAAATATAAGGTTTTTTTTTGCGGCCCACATAAACTTAAATCTTGTTTGTTTGTTTATTTGGCCCTTGCTAGCTTCAGAGACACAATCAAACATACAAGTACATGTTCTACATGCACAGATGTTAGGCACCAATATCGTAAGTGCCCTTTGATGTTCTTGTGTGTTACTCTACCCCCAGTGACCTGGATGCTTGTCCAATGAAGGGTAGGTGTCTTAGGGATAACTTTACCAACAGTACCTCAGATTCGGGGAGCTCCCTTTTAACTTGGTCTCTTCCTGCGTGAAAACAAGGGGATTAACATCCTCACTAATTTGCTTAGCATAACCCAGACATCTTGGTACCAGCTGTGTGTATTAACCCAGTACATTTATCCACAGGAATCTTCCATCAGTTCCCTGGAATGTAATGTTTGCCATTCCTATATGTAATTTGTACCGTCTAAATATCCTGCCTATTCAATAAACAGGTTGCCTTGTCCCTGCACTGTGCCTTGTCCAGTGTTTAGCTATCAAGTTGGGAGAGCTATGCATCATCTAGTGGCGGGCTGGTAATTGAGGGATACCATGGAATATGGTCAGGCTGCTAGGTGAGTAGCGTTGAGTTTGCTGTGGCAAGGAAACAAGTGATGCCATCCAAGCATCAATTAAAACGTTGCTTTAAATAAATTAAATTGTATTAGTCCTTTTGAAAGAGTCTCAAATTTCAGCCCCACATTTTAAAAATTCTATTAAACAATGCACTCCTATTAAAATAAACACCTGAGAAGCAAAACCAGGCTCATTTAGTCTACTTTTCATGCTGAAAACGGAATTATAAAAGTACAAAGACTATTTTTCTGCAATTGGCATGAAACCGATATATATGCCCGAAATATAGCACATAAAATCAAATCAGAATGACAAACCGCAACATAGAAGTTTTATTTCACTCAAATAATATTTTACTATTTTGCCAAATCCCCAAACATTGTTCCCTTATTTTGGGTGGTAATGTATAATTTGTTTGCTTTATTTATAGACACGCAGTGTGAAATCATACAAAATACCTAAAAATGAATGAAGGGTGAGTTTTGCGCTAATGTATGAAGCAAGGGGAGGGGAGACTTAAATTTAATCTATTCTGAAAGCACCATGGTTTTTATAAAGAACATGTGGCGGAACCAGCCTCGCCACTGGGCATTGGAGAAGACTGATTGCCAGCCTCCTGCCATGTGACTATGGCACCTGGGATGTATTGCCTGCTCTCCTGTACTGCTGAGGATTGCTACCAACTAGGTGGATTTGACTATGGAGCTTGTGTAGTGCCCTCTTTTGGTAGCAACAGTAATATGCACTACCTGAATAGCAAGACTGGTCATTTGCATATTCAGGTAGATTTGCATATTGCTAATTCTGCATGCAGGAGAGACATGTTGTGTTAATTATGTTCTTCCCCACCCATTTATAAATATGTAATTATGTTATAATAAGTCACTGTATGTTGCCTGCTATGATTTGACTGTTTGTAATTTTATTGAGTTTTCACAGCAATTTTAATGTAATGACCATATGGGTTAGTCCCAAGTAAAATAAAGTTTTAGACAGTTCTACTTCACTCTCAATTTGGAGTCCTGTCTCTTTTTGGGGGAATCTGCTACAAGGGATTGCTATGCTCTGCATATTACCTTGCTATAATCACTCCTAAGCTCTTTTAAGAGCTCGTTCCTGCTTCGCTCTGAAGGAAGAGAGGTTTGGCCTGCAGTGGTTGTGGTGTCGGCTAGAGTGCTTGGAATCCTCAAGAAGCGCTAGGAGCATCTATCAACGGAGGTACCCAGTCGGGGTGCCAGGTGATCCGTTACAGAACACATTTTTAAAATAGGTATAATAGTGAGATCACTTTACACAAGAGTCTTTCACAGAATTTTATTCCAAATCGAATGGGTGTTATCGCTCACCTCTGTCAGAAGTATAGCGAGCATGTCCTGCCTCTGAAAGCGAATTGACAAGTGCACCAGGGTGTAACCCACATCAAAAGCTGAAGGACGGTTCAAGAGACGAACTTCATCAGCTGACAGCTGTCTTGCGATATCTCCTCCTGAGGTCTTATAAGCTTCCACTGCAGAGAGATCTCCTTCCACCACACCTGTGGTACAGAATAAAAACAAATTTTAAAAGTCTGGAGCATGCTGGGTACAAAAACAGTCATACGGCTTGCCTCACTATATTCATGGAAGGATTTCAGAGGTCCATATTATGGAAATCGTAACCAGATCCAGGCGAGATTGCGTGGCTTTCTCAGCAAATACTCATAATAGTAAGAACTCATGACTATTTTATTGCTGTTCTGCCAATAAAATATTCAACCTTTGACACTTCCTGAATATGCAGACCCAAGCAGCTGGCGTTTACTACAGTGGTTTATAGAAAGTGTTCAATGTCAATATTTCCAAGAATATGATATTCTAGCCCTGTTCCCGATTACAGCTTAACTATCCAGTTACCATGGTAATCTAAAAGCATATTGGGGGAGGGGGAGAGGGCAGGGGTAGAGATTGAAGAAAATTTAAAGTATGTTCTGCAAAGCTGTATGGAATTTGCACATGAAATGTAGTTGTAAATACAAATGTAAACAACAACAAAAAAAACAAACTGTTAAGAGTATATCAATGTTATCTCCTTACAAATGTTGAGAATTATCAGGGTAAAATTAAAAAATGAAATAGTTATATTTATTTTTCATAACTGAGGTTTATTAAAATTTTGAGTGCAGGTTACATAACATGTTGTTCGGGACAATGCATTGTATAACATAAGACAGCACAGCAATCACATTTCCTTAATACAGACATGCACATTACAGGTAGTTTCATATTGCTTAAAGGACCACTCTAGGCACCCAGACCACTTCAGATTAATGAAGTGGTCTTGGTGCCTGGTACAGCTAGGGTTAGCCCCCCCCCCCTTTTTTTTTTTTTTAATAAACATAGCAGTTTCAGAGAAACTGCTATGTTTATGTTAGGGTTAATCCAGCCTCCAGTGGCTGTCTCTTGACAGCCGCTAGAGGCGTTTGCATGCTTCTCACTTTGAAAAATCACAGTGGACGCCAGGGTCCATGAGAAAGCATTGAGAATGCTTTCCTATGGCCTGGCTGAATGCGCGCGCAGCTCCTGCCGCGCATGCGCATTCAGCCGAGGAGGAGGAGGAGAGCTCCCCGCCCAGCGCTGGAGAAAGAGGTACGTTTAACCCCTTCCTCCCCCCAGAGCCTGGCGGGAGGGGGACCCTGAGGGTGGGGGCACCCTCAGGGCACTATAGTGCCAGGAAAACGAGTGTTTTCCTGGCACTACAGTGGTCCTTTAAGTATAATTGGCACATTGCTTCTTTTATGGTTTAGCTATGTTGTATGTTCCTGAATACTGTAGTGAAATTGTTATTTTTGAAGATATATAAAACTGTAGACCCGTGCAAACACTCAGATTGACAATGATTACAAATAAAGCTTAAGAGAAAGAAAAAAAAAACCAAACAAACAAAAAAAACACACAGCCAAGTACCAGAAATGCATTACCACTGGTTCATGTTCGTAAGGCAGGGGTGGGCAATCTGGGGCCCTCAAGATGTTTTGGACTACATCTCCCTTGATGCTTTGCTAGCATTATGGGAGATGTAGTCCAAGACATCTGGAGGGCCGCACATTGCCCACCCTTGTCGTAAGGAATAGCTGGTCTCTTAGTTACCAATAGTGACGTCAAGACTACAACAACCATCTTTAACTATTCATGGTTAGAGATTTGTTCATCCTAGGGTATCCTTATTCTAAAAAAAAAAAAAACTTGCAAAACTAGAATCTTCAGTCTAAGAGTGCTCCCACATGTGCACAGAGTCCCACTCATGGCCTGAAAATTCTAATATTGTATGTCACCAGACATCCTTAAAAAAAAAAAAAAAAAAATTAAAAAAAAAGGGGTTGGGGGAAGGGATATTTGTCATATACAATGAACAATATAAGCAATCTCGTAGCTGATCAGGCTCAAGGCATGTGAAGACACAGCATCACATGTCACAAAATCCAGCCCAGAGTAGTGATTCGACCAGTGAGACAGTCTTTCACCATCACCCGCATGACATGCTCTACTAAAATAATGACAGGATCATCAGCTGTATCTCATTGCAAATTTCCACTGGATGTCTCTACATTACACTAGCCTACGTCCAAAACTCAACCTTTTGTCGATTTAACCTATCAATTTCCTCTCTGCTTTCCATTACTAGATCTTTGCCAAATGGAAATTCCATGTCGCCACAAGAAGGCATTTTTTCCCCTGTAATTCACTTGAGACCTCAAATGTTTTCAATGTTGAAGACCTTTTTACATGGCCCTTATAGGAATTTATTAATGCGAGACATCACCTCAACCCCATTTACCTTTTATACAGTATTCATGCTACTTGCAGACCTTTCAGGGGGTAAAAAAAACAAAAAACAAAAAAAAACATGTGAAACCTCTACCACTGAGGTAGATAAACTTCCTTATTTTGGGGCTAGTCAAAATTTAAATTGGTGATACACAGTTAACCAAACTGGCACACCAGGGCTCGACAAATCCCAGACGCCTGGGACTTGTGAGCCCGTTCAGCCCCCAAGGTGACCGGCTGACTGAGATGGGAAGCAGGTAGGCGGCTCATGAAGAGTGAAGGCGGCCGGGTGGGCAGGTGGCTCATGGAGCATGAAGAGCTGATAGAGGAAGGGATGGAGGTGGATGGCCTACTTAATGCAGAGGCAACAAGGGAGCTGTGCTCTTCCTGCTCTGCTCCCTTGCACACCTGTGATGCCTACAGCTGGAATATGACAATTCTGGCCCTGGCATACTAAACCACACGCAAATGCTGAGCGGGAAGAGGATTAGTGCAGCCCAACAGGACCCCAGGAACAATATCCAATACAGCTCTCAGAAAAAAGGTAGGGATGCTGGGTGGACAAATTTTAATAAAATAATGAGTATATGTAAAAGTGTGCATGTGTGTGTCAGTGGGTGTGCGCATCTCCGTCTGTTTAGGTGACCTGCTCTAATCACATGGGAATAGGGGTTTTTATTTAGCTTTTTACCAAGCTGACAATTACACCATATCAGCCATTCACACAAATTAGATGAGCACACAAACACGGACCAGAAGATGGTTTTTAAAAATAGGACCATAATCACATTTAAGTTCAACTTTACGTTACTCTGCACTCTGTATAGTGTAGTGAAACGAGCTAGTACTTTATGTTTGTTTGTACTACTATCTTTATATAGTTCATAAAAGGGCACAAAATTTCTTGCTTATATAGAGCTCACTATGTAGTAGTGCTCTGTATCTTTGTACCAGGAACAAGCTATACACAGGCAGCATGCTCAGAGGATGTGATATCACTTTGTATGGTCTGTCAGGATGCCTCACAGTCAAAGCATAGAAAATACAATCTTTAAATGTGATATAAAAAGTAGAAAATGTAATATAAATAAATAAATAAATAAAAAGAGTGAGGAACGACAGTTTCTACCATGTTAAAGGCACACTATAAGCATCAGGACACTTAATCTCATTAAAGTGGTCTGGGTGCAGTGTTCCTGTCCCCTTACACGTGCAATACAAACATTGCAGTTAGAGACACTGCAGTGTTTGTATTGCGGGGTTAAGATTGCCTCTAGTGGCTGTCTACTAGATAACCACGACATTGGGCGTCCTTGCGTTTTGCTGGAGAACACAGGTTTTGGAATTTTAAGAATAAATACATCTACTTGTCCATCAGAATAAACTACTTGTTTTGACACAATAAGATCAATAAGAAATATTGGGGGTGCTTGCCCAGAGCCATGCACATTGACAGGGTTACCTGTTAGATTACATTCCAAAAAAACTGAATCCGAGTTAAAAAAAATAAAAAATAAAAAATCGCTAGCCTGGTTATTTTCTCTAACTTTACCATCAAAACACACACACACACACACACACACACACTGACCATTTACATACAAACTACATCAACCCACACACCGTGACATTCCATATTTCACATAGAAAATTACTTCTTTCCTTAGTGCGCAGAGTGCCAGCCATTGTGATATGGCGTCATGTGGTATCCCAGCATCCATTATCTCAGTGGATCTGCTGCTCCTCACACCTCCCCATCCCCAGCAGTCTAATGTGGCCCCAGCCAACTATAGGCACAGCGGACAGTCCATTCACCGTACTATTAACCCCTCCAACCCCAGCAGTCCGTGGCAGGGCTAAAAGAATAGAAAAACTGCTCGCCCAGCGCTCAATATAAATTTGACATCCCTGGGACATCCAATGTCGTCAAATCCCTTTGACGTTAGCACTCGTGCATTAGTTCCCACTCGGCACAATGTCGAGCGAAGGAGCCAGCACTGAAGGACCTTGACATTGGTATTGGAGAGGGGGGCAGAGGAACACTTTAGTATTAGGAATACAAAGCTGTATCCCAAACACTAAAAGTATTCCTTTAAACAGATATATAGCCAGCTACCCACCAACACTGCAGATAGCAAACCTACCTCTTCACCACCAGCTTCCCTTAAAATATCCTGCTACATGCATTTGCTATACAATATCTCCCCCACCTGCTTTTAAGATAAAATGTTAATATTTCTCAGGAGAAGTGGGCAGACAATGATTGGTTAAAGTTCTTTGATCAGGAACATCAGTGTTCAATTTCCTCAAATTCCAGGAAACAAACATGCAAACTAGTTGGCGTCCATTAGATTTTGTAACAAAGCACTTTCTCTCTGTCAACTGACTGCTTGCACTATGGTATCAACACAGGTACAAAGAACCATAATGCCCTTTGATGTCACTATAACAGGGAACTCTAGCTGTACAGCCCCAAACTGCTTTTAAATTAACTGCTGCAATTTACATTTGGGCTGCAGTATATTTGGCAAATATATTAGCTGGACACACAAACAAAAAACATACATCGATCCCCTAGCCACAAGTCTAGTCTATTCCACTTGAACGTTACTCGTTCTGGTTGGTTTTCCTTCCATATGGAGAAGACCCAGCAATCCTGTTAATTTCAGTGCTTTTTACAGAGACAGAACCTGCATGCCTCTAAGATGCAGTTAAATTGTCCTGTGCATTACAGATTTTCTTTGTAAGTCTTTTTGTTGTGTGAAACACACACACACACACACACACACCTTTATTTCCTGTTCCTTATGGCTGTGTAGTCCTAAATCTCTAATGATTACAGATCCACAAGGCGTAGCAACTGGAAGTGTGGGTCTCTGCTTTTTGTTGTGCAGGGAGACCCGATTTATAACTGGCATTTATAACACGCCAACATATTCAGAGTAACACTCTTCACAGATCACAGGCCTTCATCTCTCTTTAGAAGCTGGGAAACATGTCTTATTTACGGATGGTGAACAGAAGAATGGGTTAACATCAAGCATGTCAAGCGGCCCACACTGAATATCATTGAGAGTTTGACATGTTTACCAAGGCAGAGTAGGCACCTGCTCTCCCCACATTGCAGGTGTCTACTCTGCTGAAATTTACCCCGCCGGGGAGGAGAGGTCACTGCTCCCTCTGTAGTGATGCCGAAATATGACATAATTCCAGCAACACTAAACTGCGCGCATGAGGGGGCAGTGAGGAGCGGGTAGGAGAAGATCCCCACTGGACCTTAGGGTGATGCCCCACACCAAATGCCAAATGTAAGGAACAATAAATTAATAAATAAAATGGTGTGTGAGTGCGTGTGTCAGTGTTGCGATGGCCACGGCTAGACAGTGGAGGACCTGGAGGTACACAGAGGCACGCAACGCCACTTTCGGACATGACATACAAATGCTCTATCTTCACAGGTTTTCGAGGAGTAGCGGGAGGATCCGCTTTGGCACAGGGTGTGGATGGCGCCATTGGAGGTATAACAGAGGCTGGATTCTGGAGTCGCATACTGGCAGCGGCAATACAATGTGAGTGGAGTCTGCTTGCTGGCTAATTTTTTATTTTTTTAGTTAAACAAGGGCCAGGGTTTAGTAGAAAGGGGGGCTGGGAATTAGTCTGGGGGGGGACGGGGGACTGGGGCTTAGTAAAGTAGGAAACGTTTTATTTTTTAATATATACTGTACTTTTCAAAACAAACCTACGTTTCTATGAAAAGTTTTTTTTTTGCGGCTCACATAAACCTTAATTTGGACCGTGCTAGCCTTTGAGTTTGACATGCTTTGGTTACATGAATGTGACCCCTACTTACAGTAACAGATGGCAGCTGAAGGCCACATTCTGTCAGCAAGCTGAGGGGAGCAGGAAGGAAGGTTGTGCAGCTCTTGCCCTCTCAACACAAGACACCAGGGAGAACACAGTCTACCTACCATATTTTCTTCTTTGGAGGGGATGTGGAGGGACTTCTAAGTATGTTCAAGCGCCTGAAAACAGGTTTCTGTTCCAATATGTTGCGAATTGTGTTCATATATTGATGATGTGTGTGTGACAAAGTGTCTGTGTTTATTTGTTTATTTTAAACCCTTGCATTATGGTCTTAAGTAAAATATATTTATATTAAAAAAAAAAAAAAGAAATTCTACAGTGAAAGGCCTTCAACTGGTGTATGGATACAGTACAAGTAACTTTTTCCATTCTTCCATAGCCAAGACAAAACGCTTTGTAGTATAGTAAGGCATAGCATCTAATGCAAATGGCAAAATCTGAAGTTTCCTGTTGAGAGAACATCACATCTTAGTAGATCAGAATTTCAAAACAAAGTCTTGATTACTAGAAGATCTTGCCAATACTTGTATCCCCCTCAGCCCCATTCCAAGCAGCTGCTGGTGATGAAATGAATTCGCCAGGCTATTTATATACATTGTAACTCTAGGTCTGGCATGATGTATCCTGAGGATTTCGAAAACCAGCACGTAAACAATGCCCGTAGCTGTGGTTATGGGTAGTTTGGGCACGATTAAGTCAGTCATCATAAATATGGGCAGTCTATCCGACATGCCAAGTGTCTTAGACATATAAAAGTCTGGTGTGTGGGTGGAAACTAGGCTGTGGAGTGTGTGTGTGTGTGTGTGTGTGTGTGTGTGTGTGTAGGAAGAGTTGTGTTTGAACACAAAAGAACAAAAACAATAAAATAAAAGCATTCCATTCACATCCAGAAATGAAGCCTGCTCACTTTTCACTGGATGCACTTTATACAGACAGAATGCGAGTCATCTGGCTCTATTTATAGAAGCTAGGAGACAGTACAAACAGGCGCTTTCCTCTTGTTATGATTCAAGTCATGACAAATGGACCTTATTTTAGCATTTTCACAACAGCTATTTAAGTGTATGCACATAGTTTGCACACCCTTAATTTCCCCCTGTCCGTTACGAGAAAACAAATAAATAAAATACACCGGTATAAACATGACAGGTTCCTTCCCAGGCAATGATTAAGGATATGGGGAGTAGACGTTGAGAAGGGGAGAGCAACATCTTCTATAATTGACCAATTGTATATATGAACATGGCATCTGAATATGGTCAGAGAGATTTAGACAGAAACGGTTACAGTACAGATCACCACTCTGAGGGAAAGTTTGGAAAACGGATTACAAAGTTCAACCAATTTCTGCGGATGAACACATAGCTGCAAAAGTCTTTGCCAAAACGAAGGGTTAAAGGCGACCTGTCATGCCCCAAAGTATGATTAGTTGAAGCATAACTTCAACTAAAAAAAAAAAAAGTTAAAGGACCACTATAGTGCCAGGTCCCTATAAATAGTTTGTATAGGACTGCTTTTTTAAACCTAAATTTAAAATAACATACAGAATATTTCAAGAAGAATTTTCACTTACCTACACACGCATTCAAGAATAGCCAGTCTGTTTTCCTCATTCGGTTCTTTATTTGCTTGAGTTTTTTAAGATCCACCTCTATCTCATCCTTGCTTCCCACTGCCCCGGCAAGCTCAATTCTCTGAAAATCCATATCCGAATCTCGCTTGGATGTTGGTGGGGATCGTCTTTGGCTGTTACTACTGCTGCAGACACCTCTCCAACGAGCGCGATCTTGCTCATTAATAATTGAGGAGGCTTCATCTGCATCAGCCAGCTCTATAGCGTCCATATTGTTGGGTGTAGGGTGGTCACACACAACACATTTTTTTGCTTTGGCACAGTTCTCATAAGTGCAAACAGAGCAAGTCCAATGTTGACCTTTAATATTCAGTTTATTCCGGTCGTTATATTCCTCACAAGGATCAACGGGGCTTGGGGTGGAGCGTAAACCAGACCCAGAAGACTGAGGGGATTCTGTCGGGCTACGTGTCCTTCGCTGGGACAAACACTGTGTGCATCTAATGGCTCGTGGCCAGTTCAGATACGTGCACATGTGGCATGACCACTTAGTGCCGCCTTCCACACTATATGAAGACTTTACACGTGGTCTGGCGCTTGAATCTGGGCAAATTAACGGACTTCCACCTCCCCTTTCTATAGTACCCACATCAGGGGTGCTGCTTTTGAATGGTTCTTCAGTGATTATAGCGCCACTGGGTCTTTGGGCGCGACACATGGTGCACTTGATAGCAGATGGCCAATTCTCATAGGTACAATATTCGCAAGCCCATTTTATGCCATGCTCAGTCATTGTGGCCCTCCCAGTGACGTCCAACTTTATCTGTCAGGATTCTGCAAGGTAAAAAAAGTAGTAAATAAAGATGAGAGACAAATCATTACAAACATGTTAAAGGAGAGTCAGGGAAAGGGTTACACAATAACAACAAGTTTAAAAGCGCCCGCACAGAACTTGCATAATTTAAAGCTACACTACGCAAAGTTAGAAACAAGATTGATCGGCCTTAAATTTGAAATCCATTTTTATTTGTCCCTTTAGTGCATCCCCCTGTAAATGTTCAGGCCAAGTAGCTGAAAGTAGTACAGATTTAAAATATATATAAATATATATATTTTCCAGTTTGGATATTTTGACATGCACTTTAAATGGGTTATTCACCAAGTGAGAAATTGAAGTTAAGATTTGCAGGTTTATCATTCAAAATGTTAATTCACTGGTGTACACAAAATTTTGGAGAAAAATAAGAAGGATTATCATGTTTATGGAACAGTATATTGGGTTGAAGACAAACATTTTTGCACTCCAACGTCTTGTATAATTCAACAGAACAATCCAGCCATAAAAATATCTAAATTTTTAGCGTGTAAAAAAAGTACAGTCAACATGTTCCCACTTAAAAGGAACACTATAGTGTTATAAATACAAACATGTAGTCCTATCACTAGTGTCCCTGTGCCCCCACGCTCCGTCTGCTGGTAAATAAAGAGTCAAACAACCAAACACGTACTTTATTCCAGTGTCGAGAAAGGTGCTTAATCGCTCTGCGCTATCTCAGACGTCAGCGATGTAGCATGACACATTTTGCTGACCCCATAGAAAAGGTTTGGCTCAATACTATTCTATGGGGACCATTCTATCTGCCATTTGGTAGAGGATTATTATCTTGTCTTCCACAGGACGCTACGTTAGCACTAATATTTTTAGAGTAGCTTTTGAGTATTTTGACAAGGCTGGTTAATGCTAACGTTAATAGCCACGTTGTCAGAGTTATGAAGTATGTAGAATCATGGAATTAAACAAATTCATTTAAGATTCACATGTTCTACTGTATCCACATTGAATAGGTTATAATTTTGTATTATGGCATTAGCATATATATTAAAAAAATAAGTACATAATTGATTAAATGCAACAGATCACAAACGGTTTGCTTCCTACAACAGTGACAAATACCATAAAAGCACTATAATTCTTCAGTGTAAATTCCAACTGACCGACCCTCAGAAAAGGAAAATGGCTAAAAATAAATTACTTAAAAAGGGACACTCCATGCACCAATACAATTTTAGTGCATTGGATGGGTTTGTTTTTGCAAACTTAAATATTTATAGTTTTTGCACACAAAAGAATGTTTTGCAGAATGTTGCACCATAAGCCCCCCCCCCCCAATACCAGAAAAAAAACCAAAACGACTATCATCAAAAAGGCATGCACACAGCTTAGCCATTGACCGTACTGACCAGCAAGAGAAGGAGGGGCCACCTAGGGAAACATATAGTAATTATATCACTACCTGTTTATAGTTTATGTGACTGAATGCAATAAGATTAATACATTAAAAGCAACTCACTCATTGCTTATGAGACAGTGTGCATACCTTTGCCAAGGAAGTGTTTCTGGCATCAGGGGCGTGGCTAAGGGGGCAGGCTTGTGGTGCAGCATTCGGCAAAACAATTTTTGAGCAAAAACTATTTTAGCATGCAAAAAAATACATTAAAATGAAATATGAAAGCATGATAATGATAACCTATTGATTGCACTTGTTTTTTTGGTACCCGGAGTGTCCCTTTAAGGCCTCCCAGCAGAAATCTAATTGAAGTTTGCACTGTACGGCAATATGTCTTGAATGTACATGCAAATTAAATTATTCAGGAATTTGCAAACATTCATCAGTTTTGTATGCAGTTAGATCTTTAGGGTTTTAACCGGTTCATATCAAAGAGTTACAGCAAATCATATTCTATTGTCCAAAAATCGCTAACAAGTTCAAGCAAAATCCCAGCTGCCTTTTCTTCACATGAGCAAGTTGATTTCCTTTATTTTGTTTCTGTATTTATAGCATAGCTCTGCAGATTAGCTTTAGTATTTACGCCAGTGGTAACATCAGCTTTCAAAAACATCCCTAAGAAAGCCCATAAAAAGTATGTTGTGCAAAATTTCACCAGTAAAAGTGTGGTCATCCTAAAGCAGTGTTTCCCAATTGGTGTTCCGCGATTTGCCCATTGGGTGGCCCATGCACTTATGGCCAACCAATGGGCATTGCTGAACAGGGGCCCGGTCTGGCATCCCTGTAGCCTGTCACTCCCAGACATGAAGAATGCCGCGCTGGAGGTAAAGAGTGGGGAGTGAGCTGCAGCAAGCAGAGGATCACTGTGCTGACCAGGAGGAAGTGAGAGAGAGACTGGAGAGTAAACCTCCCACAATACACAACATTAATGGGAAGGCTCTGGGCTATGGCCCCACATGTCAGGCTGGCTAAGGATCATAGGAAGGGGAGTTTAGAAACAGCTAAGTCTCCAAACCTAGCCATTACTGAGCTCCGGGGATCCCCAGCTTGCCAACATAAACTCAGCCATCACCCAGTTGGCTAATGTAAATTCAGGGGAGATCAAAGTATTTCTGAGGTTAAAATAAATTTTAAAAAAAAAAATAAAAAAAAACAAAACAAAACAGAAAAACCACCACCACACAACCTTCTAGTTATACAAACTCTTCAACCACAAAAATTGCTAAATATAAAAAGCATGGCCTATTTGTGTGTGTTTGTCACGGTGTATGTGTGTGTGTATATATCAAGTTGTGTGTGTCACGGTATGTATCAGAGTGTACATCTTTATTTCAGTGCATGTGTAGGTGCCTGTGTGTATGTGCCAGAGCCGGCATATCTGTGTGTATATGTGCATCTGGGTGGGTGGGTGTCAGTGTGTGTGCCCCAATATGTATATTTGTAGGTCAGTGTGTGTATCCAATTGTGAATGTGTCAAGGTGTGTGCAAATGTGTCAGTGAGTGTCTGTCTGTCCCTATATCCCAGCAAACCGATCCCTGCAAACAAACAGTACATCCAAAAAGGAAAAAACCTAAATACAAATTCCAAAATGATATACAAAACACCAACACTACACAAAAATGTACATCTGCATTTAAAAGTTTACGTCCAAACACACCACTGCATTAAAACACTAAAATTATACACAAAACACCAACACTACAATAGGTTTACTATCTGGAGAAATTATATACACATTTGGTTTTCACACCACGTCTGGGTGGTATGTTTATTCCTCATTCTTGGGTCCTCTACCAGACGCCTGGGAGTTTGAGGGTTCTGCGCAGTATCTTAGCTGTTCCAAAAACTGCACTCTACTGGACAGCAATCTCAGGATGTCACACCTGGAATCTGTTGAAGCAACTCCCCCCAACTTGTGATAGGAGCACTTGGGGCTGTGACTCCCAACTGGGACTACTACAGCCTTCACTTTCCACATCCTTTCTAGTTCTTCTTTCAGGCCTTTGTGTTCCTCCTTCTCCCGGTTCTAGTCACTGGGTATTGCCACATCCACCACGACTGCAGTCTTCCATTCCTTGTCTACCACCCCGATGTCGGGCTGGTTGGCCAGCACTTGCTTGTCTGTCTGGATCCTGAAGTCCGACAGGATCTTAGCTCTGTCATTCTGGACTACCCTTTGTGGTATCTCATATCTGGATGGCAGTGTCAATCAATATTCTGTGCAGATGTTTCGGAACACAATCCCAGCAACTTGGTTGTGTCTCTGTGTATGCGGTTCCTGCTAACATTTTGCATTCTGCTACTAGGTGCTGGACTGTCTCAGAGGCCTCTTTGCACAGTATGCACCTTGGATTTTGCCTGGTGTGGTAGACTCCAGCTTTTATTGATCTGATGCAGAGTGCCTGTTCCTGTGCTGCTAGGATTAGTGCCTCAGTGCAGTCTTTCAGTCCTGCATTTTCCAATCACTGGTAGGATTTTTTCATGTGAGCCACATCCACTATCTGCCGGTGGTACACCCCATGGAGAGGTTGGTCTTTCCAAGGAACCTCCTTTTTCTGCATATTCTCTGTTGCAGTCTCAGGCATTCCCTTAGCAGTTCATCTTCGGGAGTCATCTTTGTGATGTACTTGTGGATGTTCTATGTTTCATCCAAGACTGTGGCCTTGACACTCATCAGGCCCCGACCTCCTTCCTACCGGTAGGTGTACAGTCTCTGGGTCCTGGATTTCGGGTGGAATCCTCCATGAGTAGTTTCCTGGTCTTGACATCCATGGTGACCAGTTTCTCTCTTGGCCCGGTTATTATTCCAGCTGGGTACCTGATAGTGTATATGTGTTGATGGCTTGGATCTTTGGATGTTGCTAGCCTCCTTGCCTCTTCCTCATGGTTGCCATGCGTTTGTGGTACCCCCAGGTACTTGTAGCTGTTCTCTACATCTTCTATTTGGCCTTCTGGAACTTCAACTCCTTCTGTCCTGATCACCTTCCATCTTTTTGTTATCATCCGCCCGCACTTCTCTAGTCCGAACGACATTCCGATGTCCTTGCTGTATATCCTAGTACTGTGGATCAGTGAGTCAATGTCCCGCTCATTCTTGGCATACATCTATTTCATCCATGTAGAGTAGGTGGCTGATGATTACATTATATATGTTTGTACACTATGTCAAAGGGTTCCACGGTATAAGAGCTTATGCCCTTTCAACACTACTCTCAATGTGTTAGTACTGCTTACTACCTAGCAAAAGTTAATGACAGGCATATTAGCCTTCATGCTCCAATTTGTAACCCCTCCTCCATACTCCAGGGGAAAAGGGTATTTTAGCAAGTAGGGTGACATACACATTCTTCTTGATATAATGGTTTTTCCACAACCTCGGACAGCTAGTTATGTTACTTTTCCCTTTATATGGTCTTAATATAGTGCTGCTTGACGATTCTGCTTACTACACTGAGCTCTATATTTTCTGTTTTATTGACATGAACACTCATGCTATACTGATTT